AGAAGAACAATCCCGACGTTGGAGTTCACGTCGTTGCTGACGGAAGGCACCAGTTCGATGTCGCTTCAATCGACTTGGTACAGCGTCGACTCAAGCAACGCCATGTTCAGATGTATGTCCATCTTTATCTTGTTATAGCCAGCTCATTGATTTTATTAGGATTGCTGTATGTCGTCACGGTATTACCCTTGCAAGCTGACTCACGAAGAGTGTAGATAGCTGGAACACTCGGTACAGGACTTTTCCTGGGTTCCGGGAAAGCTCTCAGTGGTGCAGGCCCCCTTGGTGCCCTTATCGCATACGCCCTCGTAGGCTCAGTGGCATACTCGTACGCTCGCACACCCTTTCATCAAATCTTTCTAATGATTTTTAGCTCCCTGTGTTCCATCGGTGAAATGACGTCTCATGCCCCAATTTCAGGGACATTCCCCCATTTTGGTATGTGGGATAGTTCGTATCATTTGAAATGCGACATTGATCGACGCAATTCAGCCGCACGATGGGTCGACCCTGCACTTGGTTTCGCAGTAAGTATCAAGTTCCTCAATTGAAGTGCGCTATCGCTAACTGATTGCTGTCCAGGTCGGATGGGTAAGTCAACTCCTTCGCGGTCCATGCCGTTTCTGACAGTCATCGCAATTTTTTCAGAACTACTTTTATGTGAGCTAATTCATTCGTCCCTGCACGTAACAATGTACTGATCGGATCCACAGACCAACGTGTATGTTTATTTTTGGTCTTCTTGGCATTACGTTTACACCCAATCAGGATAACTGTGCCGGTGGAAATCACAGGCGCTCAGATTCTTATCACTTACTGGGATTCCAATGTGAGCCAAGCAAACAATTAGTTTCCAACCATGTTGATGAAGCTTTATCATGTAGCCAAATCACGCTGGTATTTACACCGCAATTATCATTGTTTTTGCTTGCGCAACGAACATCTTCGGTGTACGGTATGTGGCATTTATGCTCCGTGTAGTGCATGCTCACAACCTTCCCTCAGGTATTTTGGCGAAGGTTAGAAATAACTATTTTTGAAGCTGCTCCAGTCAAACTCAACCATATAATCTACCAGCGGAATTCGTGTTCTCGATCATTAAACGTAAGCTTGATTCCTAATGCTGGCGTGGTATATCCGCCTTACCCACTATCCCAAGTCACGATGATCACCGGTCTCATTCTTGTTGGTCTGATCATTGATCTTGGCGGTTCACCAAATCACCACCGGCTGGGCTTCCAGGTCGGTATCAAAATCAACTGGAAATGAACCATTTGTCCTGACAATGAGGGTAGTACTGGAAAAATCCCGGTATTTTCGCAGGTGCTGGCCTAGAACCACAGCATGTTGGCTTGGACCGCTTCTTGGGCATTCTGAGTGTTATTGTTCAAGCATCATTCTCATTCCAAGGCATGGAACTCGTCGCAATGTAAGTATACCCTTCCCTTCCATCAAAAGAAGTTCATTTATCAAATCGATTTATAGCGCTGCTTCCGAGACCGAAAACCCCCGCCGGAACATCGCAAAAGCCGTACGCAGGGTATTCTTCCGTATTCTAGTTTTCTATGTAAGCCTTTATTATTTTGGTTGGAATGATGCAGGTCCTGATGGAGGGTGCGCGCAGATCCTCGGTATCTTTATCACGGGCCTTATTGTTCCTTACAACGATCCCAACTTACTCCAATGTGAGTTCTCACTACTCGAGCTTTACAAGGCAGGTCTGATACATTCCTCACAGCCACGGGTACTGCTGCTCAGTCTCCCTATGTCATTGCCATGACGAATGCTGGAATTAAAGGTAACATTCACGCTAATCCGGACCCGATCGTTGTTCATGTCTACACGGACAGTCTTACCAAGCGTAATCAATGCCGGCGTCATGACGAGTGCATTCAGTGCTGCAAACTCGTTCCTCTTCTGTTCATCTCGTATTCTGTACGGTCTTGCTCTCCGAGGGCAAGCACCCAAGATTTTCGCAAGGTGCACGAACTCTGGACTTCCGTTCATCGCTGTTGCATTCTCTGTGCGTCGTCTTCAGGATCATCGAAATATTGCATGGCACTGATTACATATAAAGAGCATATTTGCATTGCTCGCGCTCATGAACATCAAGTCTGGTGGCGCAACAGTGTTCAAGTAGGTGTGCTCCTAGTGGTGTACGATCGATACTCACGTTTGATTTAGCTGGTTCGTCAATCTCTCAACTGTGGGCGGCTTCTTCGGTTGGGGATCTATCAACTTGACCTACATATACTTCCGTAAGCCCATCGTCCGCCTATCTCCCTTTCCAATCCAAGTCTCATAAAACATGCAGACCGCGGAATGAAATACCAGGGCATTGACCGCACAAAGCTCCACTACTGGAGCCCCCTCCAAGTACGTACCCTTTATCGATACGCGGCTCCGCCGAGTGCTGACACTACCTCCAGCCATGGCTTGCGATCTGGGGATTGAGCTGGTGCATTTTCTTCATCATCATCAACGGCTTCGAAGCCTTCTGGACTTTTACCGCCTCCGGCTTCCTCACTGCCTGTGCGTCTGCTCATTTTCCCGTGAAGTCTTGATAGACTCACAATCCCAATTACCTCTTGCAGATATCAACATACCGTTGTTCTTCGCTCTTTACTTTGGCTGGAAGTTTATGAAAAAGACTGAGGTCTGGAAACCAGAAGAGATGGACTTTGTGACGGTAAGTGTCTTAGCGGCTACTCTTCGACTCGATCTGACGTGTGATATTAGGGTATTCCCACCCCAGAGGAGACAGAAGGGCCAGAATACCCTCCCGAGGGTTTCTGGCAAAAACTTGCTGAAGTCTTGTTCTAAGTGTTGTTGTACGGATTTAGTCACTGTCCCCGGCTCTCGTTTGGTCAGAGCTGTAATTCCCTTTTTTTTATTTTTGATGTGTAGCGATGGATGGCTTGTCTATGTTGTGTTAAATACCTGTAATGGTTTGTTGAGAACGAAACGATTACGCTCTTTAAAATGTCTACTGTGCAGTGCGGCATTGAATATATCATAATCCATCGCTAGTTTGAATGACGCTAGACACCGAAAAGTACATCTCTTCTTAGATGATTTGTGGACGGGCGTGATATACTCAATCGTTGAACGCAATGTCACTTCCTGCCGTAATAGTTGTTACATGGACATTCATGTACATCCAAGGGCCATCCGCGCTGAATTGAGATATACGGACACGTTGATTCTGACACCTGTCGGATGATTCAATGCATCGACAACTCGACGGATGACGTTCGTCCCGGTGGACTCTGAGCGTCACCGCCATTTCCGATCACCGGCCGGGCGCGCGTGCCTTGCCTCAAGTAGTCAACTTGAAGGATACTTGTAGCATACTACTAGCGTATTCCCTGGTGCCTGTATTGCGACTAGTTGATGTAGATGCCAACTTATTCTAGAATATGATAATATTAGCAGGTGTTGGCTAGGCCCAGTAGAGACATGTTGGAAATGCCTCTATGTTGACATGTGGCAGGCTGGCTAATCATATATACTTACCACCAATACCAATTGCCAGCTTAGTTGCGGATCAACACCACTCAATTGAAACCCGCGCGCGCACAAAAACGGTTAGGGGCAAAGTGATGTTTTGTGATGTTTGGCACCGCGCCGAACACACACGTCGGGACTCGGCGGACTAGAGACTTCGTCATCCACATCCGAGATATTTGACAACTCCACATCATGTCTACAGCTCTCATCCTAGGTGCAACAGGCGCAACAGGCAGACTTCTCCTTCGCGAGCTTCTCGCAAACGACCAATGGTCCAAAGTCGGCGAATATGGGAGACGAGTAACCCCCGAAGCCGACCTTCCCCAGAATAGGGGCAAACTGGAGCAGAAAACAATCAACTTTGAGAATCTGGAAGCAGCGGGGCTGAAGGACGGGCGATGGGATGTCGTGTTCGTCACCCTCGGGACGACTCGCGCGATTGCAGGGAGCGCAGAAATGTTTGAGAAGATTGACAGAGAGTGAGTGGAGTTCTTTTTTTTGGTCATACCCGATTTCATCTCATGTGTCGCCGTATCCAGGTATGTGGTGAACGCTTGTAAGGCTGCAAAGACAGATGATCCGGAACATCCACAACGTGTTGTGTATTTGTCGGTGGGTTTTACCCCAAAACACGTCATGCGCATCATGCGAATTGATGTGAAATACAGTCTGGTGGTGCTGACCCATCCTCTTACTTCCTATATCCGAGGTACGCAAGCATCACCACGGCCGGCTCTTCCTCAATCCTTATCTGACTTTGTTTCCTTCAGGTCCAAAGGGCTCACAGAACTGGGCATAGCACGCCTTGGGTATGCGGACACCATCGTCTTCCGCCCAGGTTTCCTCAAAGGAGCTCAACGTGCTAATAAAAGGTTTGCAGAGACCATAGCCGGGTGCGCTTTTTCTTCCCTTCAATTTCTATTTCAATGTTGATTTGGCTAATTCAAGCTACGTGACGGGCGCTGCGTCGCATTTTACGTCCAGCGTGGAGATTCACGTTCCCGTTCTCGCAAATGCCATTATGAAAGCAGGCATTCTGGGTTCATCTGGCCTACGGCCCACTGTGGGGGCTACTAAAGCAGGACAGGAAGATGCGGAGTTTACTTTGATAGATAACAAAGGCGCGCTCGTTCTTGGGCAGGAGTGATTCATCGTTGTGGCAGCCTTTTGGTTTCAGTGTTATGAATGTTCTGTTGGACTGGACGATTATCTAGGTACGTATATATGTGCCGTGTAAACAGTAACAGACAACAAGAAAATTATAAGCCAGTAGTGTCTTATACAGCAAGTATAATTATGCATGCGAATCCCTGTGGGTCAGTGATATTCGTAGATGAGTGAAGGAACATATGTGCGTAAAAATAGATTGTGAATGATATCTATTTGAAGACATTAAGTTGGTCGGTCCATACGATGAAATGAAAGCATACATGCCTAGACTGTGGGTAGCTGAACCAATGGCTTATTCCGGCCTAACCAATATTTAGCGTTCATACACGCGGCGGGGTCCTGCCCTCAGAAACAGTGTCCGTTGGCCGGTAACTGGGTAATCCGCGCGAGTAATACCTCCCGCCGGAGATAAGGGTCGCAGGGATTCCTAACGACCTTTCAAGTAGTGGTATCAACTTGTGAGAACCAGAACTCCTCCTATCCACACTCGGACGCGGTCGATCCATCGACCCAGACACTAACCTATCCACGGCTGATAGTGGCCGGTCGACAACAGGCACAGGTATATCCGCAGGAAGTGGTTTATCCACTACAGCTACAGCACCGGTACCGCCCAAAACAGGTTCAGCCTTCTCCACAGGTGAGTTTGAGGGATCGGACCGTGACAGGCTCATCACGAGTTCGCTTCTCCGGGGTTGGCGGAGGGAGGGGGAGATCTGCATGGAGTGTGAACGATCGAGGCCGTTCGGTCGCAAACCGGGGCCTGAGTCAGCGTCTATCCAAATTGAGGGAATGGCAGTTCGAGGAAGACCTGCTGTATGGGGAGGTTCAGGAAGGGAGACTGTCGGTTCCGGAGCGCCTGCAATGCCAAAGTTAGAGAGTGATGGAAACGTGACAAGGATACGCACGGTTAGGCAACTGTTTTCTTAGCGGGCGGCAGTACTCTGCGCCGCTGTCCATATCAAGGAACGAGCATCCTTGTAAGGCGTCTGGAAGTGCAGGCATGGGTGGTGGTTCATCTTGTGGAAAATGAGATGCCGTTGGGGTGCGCAAGCCTTTAGGTAAACGGAGACTGGCATTGGATGCAGTGCGTGAGCGTGTCTTTGCTGCGGATAGACGTGAAAGCCGGTTTGGGCCATCTTTGGATCGTTTACTGCGAGAAGATTTTACGGATTTAAAAGACTTGATGGACTTGACGTCGGTTGGTACATGCTTCACTTGGGAGACGAGAGTGGCTTTGGATAACACAGCTTTAGCAGTGACACCCATGACTTGTGCGATGTCGGTGTTGATGGTAATGTCTCCCAGTGTTTGGGTGTCATCGATATCGTCCACTTCCTCGTCGCTCTGATCCATCTCATCAATCTCGGCAGCCATGCCCTCCGCTTCTCTCCAAGCCTCCTCGAGCTCATCCTCGAGCGTCTGGATACGGGATAGTGCGCGTTTCATATCTTCTCCCTGACGCTCGAATGCTTTGTTTAGTTTGCGGAGTGCAATCCCGAGAGCGGACGCCCAATGTCGGTGCTGAACCACCGAAATTTGGGCCTGTTGGTCTGACATGTGCAAAACGGATGCAAGAATAGAGTCGCACGAAGCAATAGAAGTCGCAACCTGTGATATTAAGCCTCCCAACACATTCTCTTTGTCACTCTCTCCCGAGCTGGCAAATACACCCGCACATGAATTGAGCGCCTGCATGAGCATGGTTCGTCTATTCATTTCGAATCTCCATTTAACCTGCGCTGCTAGGCGCTCTTCTTCAAGACGCTCTGCTTCTTTTACCATGTCTGTGTCGAGCGCCTGGAGAGATAGGAGACGTATGAAGGACTCTTTTGCGCTTAACCTGATAGCACGTGAGACTATCTCCTGTAGTTCGGGTGAGGTGAATGTCCATTGGGCGGCCTCATAGGGAAGGCCCTTCCAAGGAATTTGCACGGATTCGAATGAAACTGTAGGCGGGGGCGCAAGGGGAGGAGGAGGCTGGAATGTCGTTACCGATGGTTTTGACTTGAGCGTTACTTTTAGCTTTTGAGCTGGAGGTGTCGCTGCAGGGGGTAACGAGGGAGGGCATGAGGCTAAATTCTGTGAAACTTGAACGCCAACGTCTGATGTTGCGCGTGTGTGTAAAAAAGCGCCCGAATGTGGCAAGCACTGCGGGAGCGAGGCATCGAGGGAAGATGATTGGCTTTCGTCCAACGGGCCTAGGGAGGCTGGACGGAGGGAGGGAGAGGTGATTACAGGAGATGTCAAGCCGACAGAAGAACATCCGTCGGTGCTAGAGCTTCCGTGGGGACTGTTCATATCGACTGAATTTTTTGTGCGGGAGCGCAAGCGTGGGCCGTTTGGTAACGGAGGCCGAGAGGGACGGTCTCGTACAAGTGAAGGACGACGACGGGGAGATTCAAAATCTGATGTGACCAGATCCATAAGAAGAGGACCACACACGAAATTAGAACCGGATGGCTGGTAATTAACTATATGTTGCAAAAATCAGCTAGTGTTATAATAGTAGGCGTTGAGGCGGTCGAAAAACACAGACTTGGACACATGGCACGGCATGACCAAACCCCAATTATAACCGCTCTGTCCCTTGATGCCTGCCGTATGTCAATGGGACCCGAAATGTAAACGGATGAATCTAATCTAATCAGCGGGTCATCGTAGGATGTGAAAGCTAAAAATGGAAATTTATGATAAAAAAATTTATATGTTTTTTTTATATGCAAGGCCCGCGAATTTCGCATGATTTATTACTCGTCCAACACAAGTCCGCGAGGCCGATTGGCGGTTTAGTCGGTCAGTGACGCAACATTTGTGTTGTCATTAAGTTCTTCCAGGGTCATGAACTGACTGCGTACTACGGCATATTCAGATTAACGAACTGGACATGCGCCGTCGCGAAGGCATTATACTTCCCTCTCACGGACGTACTTGGAAGAGCGAGGCACACGGAATATGGCTCAACAAAGAGAGAAAACATCGTGGGTTTCTGTGATCATGATTCGGGAAGCTCACTCTATTCGTTCAAATATACTATCATTGTAGGCTCATCGGTGCTAATCATCATCACCACCGCCAACAATTCTAACATCGCTTGCCCATCGTACTATAAGTATGACTTACATGTTTTGTACGTTTACCACGTTGATATTTCTCACTAAACCCTCCAGTAGACCAAAACAAAGTCTACTACACGTTGCATCAAACATAATTTTGTTCGTTTCAATCGGATCGAGCTCAAAACACGCCTCCAGCTCCTTACTCTTACATACATCCTTGCTTCACTTTCACATCACCACATTTCCCACTTAAATACAATAAAGCATCCCTCATCTGACCCACCATAACCCAACGTCTGTCTACTATGGATGCAATCACTATTGGCTCATGGGATCACTCGCCATCCCTTCCTATTCCTCTCGACATACTTTTCGATATAATTCAGCATCTTCCTATCCAAAGCGTCCTGGCACTACGGCAGGTTCGTCCCCCCGTTTTCATTTCACGGGATTTTTAATCTGATTTTTATCTTCCAGGCTAGTAAAAGTTTTTATGCTATCACCCGTCTGCGCAGTCTATGGGCTCTCCTTCTGCAGACTCTTGTCCACGAACAAAACATCCCTATACCCTCCTTCGATGGAAAATCCTTCGACTGTTTGTCAGCCTTGGAGCTCGAGCGGCTTACATGTTGTGCACTCGCTCTTCGCAGCAACTGGACCAACCCTGATCCGGATGCGAAGAGAGAAGTTGATTTTTACAAGCCCACCGAGCCGGATTCGCGTATCATTTTCATGGAGTTTCTCCCTGGCAGAGGAAATCGCTGGCTGATTTCCGTCACGATGACTGCGCAACCCAGAAAATATGTTATCCAGTGCTGGGACGTTGCTGTCCTACAACCCGTCTGCATAGCAGAACTAACACACATGGAGGGGCCATATGGCGGTATTGTTATCAATGACGATCCCTCTTCTCCAGCCATTATAGTGATGCAGTCAGCACTGTGAGTGTAAATAGTAACACCCGATTTGACGTTCTTGCTAATTGTCTATCGTAGAACAGAGATACTCACCATCGACTTCGAAGAGGATGACCCCGAGTCAGCATTCGTTCCGCTGAGTGCCATTGACGGAATTAGAGAGATTCACCTACTCAGTGGGAGTACCCTCGTCACCCGGCGTCCAGAAAACGGCGGAGAAGTGACCATATGGGACATCAGCGATCAGCCTTGCGAAAAAATCCAGCTGGTGAACCCCTCACTATTACAGGTTGGCTTATGTTTTCCATGCAATTCCGCACGTCGCTGAGTTCTATGATTTGACAGAACGATCGCTGCCAAGCAATGCACCTTTGCGACGATTACATGGTAATCGTCCGCCAACAGACTGTCGAGCTCTACTCGACCATTCCGCGACCCAACATCATTGCAACGCCAGGAGCACCAATCTCTTACCCACTCGCACAGCACACCTTCCAATGGCTCACAGAAACCGTCAATATGTCACAGCAAGTCAGCTGGCATGCTGCGCGTTCCCACCACCCCTCGCCGATCAACATCGTCGTTCGATTTGGAAGTATATATCCCTGGCCGGTGAACATGTTACATCATTTCGTGCTTAACCCAAATCCCGCGTACGTCCCATGGCGGGAGACTTCTCTATACAACCTTCCATACTTGATGCAGCCCACTCCAGTGCAGACGATAGGCTCTCCAGTGCGTCTGTTTGCACCGTCGTCCGTTGCTCTCGGACGATATGGTACCGTTCTCTGGCTTGACAGCCATACCGAAGACTGGGCAGGACCTAGCGACTGCGGTCAGCGACTTGCAGGACGGATACTGACAGCTACGGGAGGATTCTCAACTAGCCAACATGGCTCACATGATTCCATGGTATTTCGCGTGCGAGATGACGACCTGTGGAACAAAGTGGCGATTGATGAGGAATCTGGGAGAATTGCGGTTGGTTATGTGAACGGTTCGATAACGCTCTTCGAATATTCTTAACTTGGACTCTTCATTTGCTTTTGTTTGATTACCGTGTTTTTGGCATGGTCATTCTTCTCGATACCCACATTAAGCTCACATTTAGCATGTTTCACCGTTTTTTCTCATCATTGTCATTTAATATCCCTTGGCCAATAATATTCATTGCGGTAGTGTACAACTGCGTGCTTCGTTCCTGCTAGGTTCCCATTCCGAATGGACCACAGTCACAGCCAATATATTGCGTTAGGATGCAATGAGGACCTAAAAACCAATATGTGCCGTGTCATAATCCCATACTCGGAAAAGTACGTCAGTCCGAATTCCCTCAGTGTCAGTGTTTTACGCGAGAGAATGTTTTCCTATTGGGAAAATTATGAATCCTCGGTACTGTTTACACGGCACAACAAGACGCAGACTGACCTGGGCGAATGTGACGGTTTCCACATTGACAGAAAGCGTTTGGGCAGCTAAAAATTCACGTAACGCTGGCAGGATGTGTCAGTTCACAAGACGTTCGTGTATGCAGGAAAGCAATGAGACATACTTGCGTCATGTAAGGCGTTCCTCCACTTGCCGTACGGATTTGGAGACGATTGTCTTTGAAGTCCTTCCCATTTGTGCCGCTGGACGAGGACGCTGTTGCTGACGCAGTGTCTGATGAGTCAATAATTAATTGACCGTCACGTAAAGCTTTCTCTCTTACAGCCTTTTCTGCACGGGCTTTCTTATCTGCTTCAATCTGGGGAAAATTTACCGCAGCCTTGGCTCTGGCTTCTCTACCGCACGCGGTTAGATCGGATTAATATGGATATAATCCATGCACATGGCAACCACCTCTACATTTCTGTTCACCTTCTTTCACAATCTCTTCGGCCTTCAGCTCATCTCTCAGTTTGTTAATGTTCCCATTTGATTTAACTTCTAAAACACAAATTTCACCAAGTACACGACTAAACTCACCTTGCCAGACTTGAAACGAATAGCTTCATTCGCACGTGCTTCTATGGCTTCTTGTTGGGCCTTCACGCTGCGCTTTGCAGCTATCTTTTCCCGGAGCTCAGCCAACTTCTGCCGCTTCTCTTCCTCCATAAGTGGCTTTATCTGAGGGTCATCTGAGGTGAGAGATACGGCACGCACGCCACGGGGTACAAACCTCTTCCGCAGACCCCTCATGGCCACCCTTCTCGACATGGTAATTAGCCAACGCCGTGTTCTTAAATACTTTGCCGCATTCTGAGCATTTGGTACCCTGATAAGGTGTGCTGAAGATAGAGGCTTCAAAGCCGCGATTGGAATACACATACATTAGCCTTTGTTTTAGCGTTCGATATAGCACCTGGGCCAGCCTAAGTTCCTATCAAGCGCTGCAGACATCAACATCGACGTCAACAGGATTCCCTGCGCTGCTCGATGCACTCGCAGGAGAAGCGGTGCTCGGATCGGTTTCCAGGATGTGATCCATAGCAGGCTGAAAACTACGATTATTAGTCGCTCTCAATGTCCCCACGTATCAAACAATTTGATCTGTACCGACGGAAGCAAGGATGGCCAATACTTGTGCTCGAGTTCGTATAATTCCATCTGGACCCACGAGGAAGGGAAGGAGATAAGAGGCGTACATATTCGTGGCATAGACAATGCGGGACCACAATATGCTACCCCGGTTCGTCACGACTGTATAGGTGGAAGAATTATGGGCCATTTCATGCGTGGCTGCGGCCATCGGCGTCTGAGTGTGCAAGCTTAGAAAGGCGTATTGCCCAGCGTGTGCTTGAGCATGGTGGTACAGGTTCATGACCAGTTTCAATGGCCCGACGTCATTTCCTGGCTCGCATAATCTTGGGTAAGTTGCACTATTCCTGGTAATGAGCGGGTTGAATCAGACTAGCGAGAACAAGTACCCCTCGAGTTCCTCCTTCGAGAACCATCCCACACCATCTAGATTGAACTGCGCTTGATGTTTGAAGTCCTTGTGCGCGTTTTTACTTCCTTCTCTGTGAACAAGATATTTATGTGTCCACCTTCTACTAGGTCGATATTGCTTGCCTAGTCATTCTCTTCTATGATTCTGATGAGCAGAGAAGCGGTGTTGTTCGAATTTATACGACTTAATTGCCTTGACCGTATCGAATGTTGCTTGACGTTGAACAGACTCGACGAAAGCGGCCAGCCTAAAATATACACATTCCTTCCTACAAACAATATTCTCAAGACATGTAGTGCTCTACACATATGTCGCTCCTGAGCTCAAAACTTTCGAGTCGGTATACTGAGTACAGTACGATAAACTCACAATAAGCATGGGACGAACTGACAGAAATCTCTTGCCTCGAGTATCACGATGCTGAGCGGGTATTTGACAAAAGGCGAGGCATTATGCAAGAGTTCGATAAGGTGGTGCACCAGCCATTTCTGTGAACAATGAACATATGTAAGGACTCAAAAGATAAAATAACATGACCAAATTCGGAATAAGCATCAGCAAATTGAGCAAGGCATTGAAATCTAAATTAAGAATTTCCTCCTTTCTCGTTCCGCTCAGTGAGCCAGTGATACAACTTGCGATGAATGAATTTACTGTTGACTCACATATCAGGCATCGCTCGCCATCCCTTGATACTATTCCTCTCGACATACTTTTCGATATATTCCAGCATCTTCCTATCCAAAGCGTCCTGGCACTACGACAGGTTTGCCCCCCTGTAAGTTTCATTTCACGGGGTTTTTGTATCTGATTTTTATTTTCTAGACTAGTAAGAGCTTTGATGCTATCACCCGTCTGCGCAGTATCTGGGCTCTCCTTCTGCGGACTCTTGTTCAGGAGCAAAACATCCCTATACCCTCCTTCGATGGGAAATCCCCAGTCTCTGTCAGCCTTAGAGCTCGAGCGGTTTACATGTCGTGCACTTGCTCTTCGCATCAACTGCACTTACACTAATCCGAATCTGAAGAGAGAAATTCATTTTGGGGCGACCGTGAAAGATCCGGACGTTTTCTTTATGGAGTTTCTCCCTGGCAGAGGAAATCGTTGGTTAGTTTCTGTCGCGATTCGGGCACGCAGAAAATGTATCATCCAGTGCTGGGACCTTACCGTTCTACAACCTGTGTGCATAGAAAAACTGACCTACACAGATAGGCCATACAACTGTGTTGTTATCAATAACGATCCCTCTTCTCCAGCCATAATGACGATACAGTCCAAGCCAGAAGTGTGAGCGCAAATAGTAGTAACACCCGCTTTAACGTTCTTGCTGATTGTCCATCATAGAACGGAAATACTCACCATCGATTTCGAAGAGAAAGACCCTGAGTCAGCGTTCGTTCCGCTGAGTGCCATTGATGGATGTAGAATGATTCACCTACTCAGCGGGAGCACACTCGTCACCAAGTGTCTAACATGCGACGGAAAAGTGAGCATATGGGACATCAGCGATCAACCTTATGAGAAAATGCAGTTGGTGAGCCCTTCACCATTACACGTTGGTTTGCTTTTCCCGTGTGATCCAGCACATGGCTGAATTCTATGATTTAGGAGTACCATTGCAGAGCAATGCATCTCTGTGACGATTACCTGATAATATTCTTCATCCAGACTGTCGAGCTCTACTCGACCATTCCCCGACCCAACAACATTGCAACGCCGGGAGTGCCAATCTCGTATCCACTCGCACAGCACAGCTTCCACTACCGGATCATAGAGAAAATCAATATGTCAGAACAAGTTAGCTGGCATGCTGCGCGCTTGCACCGTCCATCGCCGATCAACATTGTCATTCGATTCTGGCCGGTGGACACATTGCATTATTTCATGCTTGACCCAAACCCCGTGTATGTCCCAGGACGGGAGACTTCTCTATGCAACCTTCTATACTTGGTGCAGCCCACTCTAGTGCACACGAGATGCTCTCCAGTGTGGTCAGATCTGAAGTCGGACATTGCTCTCGGACGATATGGTACCATGCTCTTACTTGACAACCATGACCAAGACGGGATGGAGTATGGGGACTTCAAGTAAGTCGCGGAAAAATATTCATTGAATCAAACCGCATAAGCAAAATCCAATCTACTATGTCCTTCAAGCTTCGACAGTTGTACCATATGTATGCTCCAGATCATGACAAAAATTGGGCACCTCTAAATAGAACATTGTCACGATAATAATCACATACCGCGCTCCGTGCACAACAGCCTTTGAACTCAGACAACACGTACATGCAGGTGTCACAATCCTCATATCCTGGATGCCTTTGAAGATTGACAAAACACATCTCAACAGCGTTGCCATCTTATAGTGAATTTCACGCTCACACTGGGCGGATACAACACTGGTAGTGTAGCTGAATGCACTGCGAATGATTGAGAACCAGATTCTAGCGATTCAAACGCACGCTAATTAATGCGGGACATGCGAACACTGCATTATAGGTAGCAACGAACAGCTCGCATGGTTGACTAAGGAAAACGTGGAAGTGCGCTCCGTAATGGGTATATATCTACCACATTGATAATGCAAAGGTTGGCGAGAGTTCGACGTAATAAGGGGATGCAAATCGACTTAGGTGAGGATGTTGACAACATCATTGTTGAGAACATCGTCAACAACTGTGGGGTTGTGTTAAAAACAGCTCAAGAATCACAAGGATGGTACTCGCTTGCAGTGATGTCAACCAACTGACGCTTGGTGAGAACGTTCACTGTATCATCGTCCAAAACATAATCGACGTCTGGAAAACTGTCAGCGGCCAACTATAAGTTGCAGTTAGCGCCATACCAGCAAATACGTCGGCTATGGACGCCTGGCGGGTGAGGATGTTCACTGTATCATCGTCCAAAACGTAATCGATGTCTGGAAAACTGTCAGCGGCCAACTATAAGTTGCAGTCAGCGCCATACCAGCAAATATGTCGGCTATGGACGCCTGGCGGGTGAGGATGTTCACTGTATCATCGTCCAAAACATAATCGATGTCTGGAAAACTGTCAGCGGCCAACTATAAGTTGCAGTCAGTGCCATACCAGCAAATATGTCGGCTATGGACGCCTGGCGGGTGAGGATGTTCACTGTATCATCGTCCAAAACATAATCGATGTCTGGAAAACTGTCAGCGGCCAACTATAAGTTGCAGTCAGTGCCATACCAGCAAATACGTCGGCTATGGACGCCTGGCGGGTGAGGACGTTCACAGTGTCGTAGTTCGCGACATCCTCCACATCTGCGCATGTCAGTTTGTATTCTTACAACAAGTTTTGGGACGCACAGGCCAAGACATCAACCAATTCAGGAGAGCGACTGTCAACAGGGGCAGCGAAAGCAGAGCTGCAAAGGACAGCGAGGGATGCGAGAACAGTGAGCTGCATTGTGAATTGTCAATGAGAGGAAGGTAAGCAGCTGAAGGCGGTGGAAGAGGGTAAAGAACGATGGAACAACTAGAGAGGAAGGTGATTGTTTTTTATACCCAATTATTTTCTGCGATGGGAACAGAATGTCATATTGGCGACCAGGATGTGCAGTTTAGGACCGTGAAAATGATGGAAAGAACGATTTGTTTCTAGTACAGTCGTGTCGATTGGTGCCACAGTCTGTTCACGCTGTGAATCATCTACCCCCGTGTCAGAAATGCGCATCAGCTTCGAACGGACCGTGGCCGCATCCGCCGACATTAACTCAAGCTTTACAGTTGTGCAACAGCAAATCAAAATCAGCGAGTCCTGGCTACGTTGTGGCATGCCTACACAATCAAAACTATCGATCACAAGATGAATATATACATATTATTGGGAAAAACTTAAACTTACATATCATCAATTCAGTACCAGATATCAGACATCGTCGCGGCCACGATTGTTAGCCCAGCATCAAGTAACCCACTGCTACTTTAGAATTCAACAGAACCAAATAACGTCACATCGCTACCTATTGGTACCGAATCAACGTCTCACAAACGACATGCAGACAGTTCACTAGAACACAAATCTATCCGCGGTCTCAGATATCATTTTTGCTATGCAGAACATACTATAGTAAGTACTTGCAAAAGTTTTACAAACGTCACTCTGTGGATAATGACCAACCGCTTCAGCTACATTTGGCACAATCAAGTGATATCCCACACAACCCTGGGTTCTACCAAGTTCTGCCAGCAAATTTTTCGCAGAGTTCTGCCATCCGCCAGGCACAACAAGTTGAACCTGCCAAACCGGTTGGCAGAGCTGGTCAGTTCTGCCCACAACACTACAGACGGCTGTGCATTGTACGGCATGTCCTTTTTAACTCCATACTACTTCTATGAGATCCAGTGATTCCAGTCGAATTAAACTTACCTCTCCCTTTCTGTCTCTTCCGAGGCTTGTCTACCCTCTACGATATTTCTAGTCGAAGCGCCAGTCTTTTGTACACTATACATTTATTTGTTCACAACATCCTGTATGGCTACCTGGCACGGGACGGTCGCTTTCGTATGGTCAACTCTTGCATTTCTCTATTTTGGTGTTGTGTTTGCTGCTGACCCAGAACATGCTATAACCTACTTCGACAATGGACCAGTCCGACTGTTCTTCTTCCATGATACGCCTGTGAGGCATTCATATCTGTCTCAGTGCTCACTTTACCATAACTTTGTCTTCTAGAGTGCGATATACCACGATGCCATCTCCCGGAATATATATATTTCTCAGGATGAAGGCAAGACCTGGGATCGCGCAGATGGCATACCACCTGGTGACGCTGCAATGTTCATCGAACACCCATTCAACAATCGTGTGGTGCGTTATTTTCCATACTCTCTTTCGTGTATCTTTCATCCTGCCTCGAACACACCGACGTGGCTTTCGATCTCACCTAATTCTCTAGGCATTTGTATTAACTGATACCTTCATGCATTACCGCACTGAAGATCGCGGAAAGAAATGGGTCACATTCTCCGTCCCTGACCTAGTAGCCTACGTCTCAAAACCACTCTCCTTCCACTCAGACCCCCGCAAGTGGAAGTATACCCTTTTCCAAGGCACCAAGTGTATACAAATTCCTTGGGGCGAGCGTTGTCAAGACGTGGTGCGTACCTCTCTTCCAGCTCATACCAATTGCAACCAAATTTATATGTAGACATACTACACACAAGACGGATTCACCACAATACCAGAAGTACTCCAAGATGACGTCTCTCACTGCCGATTCGCTCATAGCAGCAAAGACTTTCAACCTGATATTCATGACGACCTCATCTACTGCGTCGCTTACGACTCTTCTGCAATATCCGACTCGCGCAGTATCAAACACAGCCGCCTTTATTCCAGCACAGATTTCTTTGCCACCAGGAAGAGTGAGGATCTTGGCATTGGAAATCAAGCCAAGGGCGTCGTGACATTTGCGATCATGTCTAAGTTTGCTGTTGTTGAACTTAAGGACTTAACGCCCAGCAGTGGTGGTGACATGCTGTTATATGTTTCTGTAGACGTCAAAGAGTGGGTTAAGGCACGGTTCCCCTCCCAGGTGCGCTTACGGGAGAACACATACTCCATCGTCGAGTCTACGGTCCACACCTTAGCAGTACACGTTGTCCTACACGATACAAAAGCCATTGGTTCCCTGTTCGTCGGCGACTCCAATGGCACCTACTTTGTGGAGAGCTTGAAAGATACAAATAGGAATGTGGTGGGGTATGTTAATTATGAGAACATATACGGCGTTGAGGGCGTAGGTATTGCCAATGTCGTTGCCAATGCGCAAGACGTCACGAAGTGGATGGCAGCCAAGCAATTACGGTCGGTTATCACATTCAATGACGGTGATGAACAATGTCTCTTAAGTGTTTTCTTTTGTATTGATTGTATATCTTCGCAGGCAGCTCATGGGCTCCTCTTCTCGCTCCTAGCGGTACCTGCTCCTCCCAGACATGTTCGCTACATCTGCACTCAGTGTCAGACACGCACAGCTCTGGCTCAGTTTTCTCGTCCCCTGCCCCTGGTTTTGTCATGGGCGTGGGTTCAGTTGGGACGACGCTCGCGCCATACGAGGAGAGCAACACCTACATGAGCACTGACGCTGGCCTGACATGGAAGATGGTCCGCGAAGGCCCATATAAATTTGAATTTGGCAATTCTGGAAGTGTCATTGTCATCGCCGATGACCAGCAACCTACAGACTCCATCATGTACTCCACGGACATGGGCCATACCTGGTACGTCTTTGCGCCCTTGTGTGTATATATATTCCACCTTGCTGAAACGCCCCACCCTATAGGAAGACATACAACATTGGCATCCAATTTCGTGTCAAGGGCTTAACTACGGTATCGGATTCAACGTCTCAGAAGTTCCTCCTCCTTGGCCAAGTGATGTCACAGTCCCAACAACCCAGCAACAGCCGCAACACTATCATCCACCTCGACTTTGCCACCCTTGGACGTCTGAAGTGTGGCCCTGATGACAAGGAGCTGTGGTACGCAAGAGCCAGTCTTAATTCTGAGTGCATCATGGGCGCCAAGGTCAGCTGCTGATGCAAACCTTGTCATGTGAAATTTTGCTGATATACTTCAAAGCGACTCTACTACAGGCGCAAGGCTAATGCAGATTGCTACATGGGCGAGAAGTTAGGTCCGGAGAGTCATAATGATAAATGCCCATGCGAGGACTATGATTATGAGTGGTATGTTGTTTCTCGTCTGTCTCCCCATCACGCCCGCTCATATATTGCTCTAGTGACTATAACTATGTATGGTATAACGATGTATCAGGCGACGGTAAATGTATTCCTTTGGGTCCAGAGCGCATACCCAACACAGAGTGCACTATCGGGTCTCCCAACGAGAGATACATGGGATTATCAGGGTATCGCAAGATCCCTGGGAACAAATGTGAGGCTGGCATTCGTAAGGATGAGCCCGTGTCCAAATATTGTTATGGAGGCGAGTATTTTTGAAGTGGTGGAGTGTTTGTCTGATGCATTATTTGTAGCTGAACCTGCTGAAGGAGAGGTTGTTCACCTGATCGTATGTTGTTTTTGTCTTTGTCTTTAGTGGGTGACTTATGATATTGTAGCATACATTCCCCAGCGATATTGTGCAGAGGGAGTATGTCATGGGGTCAAAAGTGAGCACCTTGTACGTGTACCATATCAGACCTCAGCTTGCATATTCTTCTGTAGATCATCCTTGTCCGTCTTGCTGACCTCTCAGTATGGCAATCCAACAACGAGGGCCGTACTTGGGTACAAAAGTTTCCAGAGGAACGTTTCTTAGCGTTCTACATACACCCATACAGCCCCGACCGCGCATACCTCATCACCGACACCAACAAGTTCTACTATACAACAGACGTAGGCCGCTATTGGCATGCCATGAATGCACCTTCGCCCCCTAATTCCTTTGGAGCCAAAGTGCTCCATTTTCAACGCAGGTCCGAATACATCATCTGGATCGGTAATGTGGACTGCCAACCGGGGTATGAAAACTGTCGTGCACAGGCCCAGTACACGTGGAACAATGGGCGTACCTGGCAGTTGGTGGAGAACTACGTTGTCGACTGTGACTGGGCATGTGATGAGCCGCGGATCAATTCATTTAAGATCCTATGTAAGTCATATGAGAACAAGCAGGGCTCGCAGGTATTTTTCGGAAAAGAGAATGCATTGCAGCTCGTCTCTGGGACAAATGCAAATGGTTTTGCAGAGATGACGAAGTTGTTTGACAATGTTGCGGGGTTTGCCAGGTTTTCACAGTTTTTGATCGTTGCAGAGGTGTGTCTTGATGATTCTTTTGTGTTGTGTGCGCGTGCTGGTTGATTCAATGTTTCTGTATTTGTAGTACCTCCAGACCACGCGCACACTTGACCTCAAAATTTCACGGAACGGACAGACATTTACTTCTGCGAGTTTCCCTCCTGGTATGCATCCAGACTCTCATGTAGGCAGAATTCCAACTCGAAAAACACTGGAATTGCTCATGATGTTTCCTAGTCATACGGCATCCTTGATATCAGCACCAACATCATCTTCATGTACATGACAATGAACGAGTGGCCTACGCCATGGGGCAACATCCTCAAATCCGACTCCAACGGAACTTACTTTGTAGTGTCCATCGAGAATGTGAACAGGAACAATGGTGGCTCCATCGACTTTGAAAAATTTGCAGGCTTGAATGGAATTGCGATGGCCAATGTGGTGACCAATCTTGCAGAGGCTGTATTCACGGGTCGTAAAACTCTGCAGACGAGGATCACACATAATGATGGTATGCTTTGTGATTATCTTTTGCGGCTTGTTGATGGTTGGTGCATCAGGTGGCACTTGGAAGGCACTTCGGCCCCCTTCAGTAGATTCGCTGGGTCAGAAGTACCCTTGTTCGTCATTGGTATATAAAATATATATTTCATGGACCATCACCTGGCTAATTTTGCCGCACTATCTAGGCCTGCGCACTCCATGTCCATGGATTCACAGAGCGCGTTGATGCCCGAGTGACATACAGTAGCCCTTCCGTCATCGGTGTCGTTATGGCAGTCGGGAATGTGGGCGATGCACTTGGCCCCTACGCCGATAGCAATACATTTCTATCACGGGATGGCGGGTTCATATGGGAAGAAGTGCGCAAAGGCCCACACCTGTGGAAGTTCGGCGACTCAGGTTCTGTTATTGTGATCGTGAATGACGAAGAGCCGACGGACCACGTCTTGTTTACGACAGACCAGGGGCTTAGTTGGCTAGAATTCAAGTTCATGTTTGACAAGATCAGAGTGAAGGATATTATGACAGCGCCGGAGGGTAGAAGTCGGAAGTTTATACTGCTGGGCCAGTATCCTGGGACAGCCGGCTCGGTGATCGTGCACTTGGATTTCTCATCTCTCACACATAGAAAATGTGAGTAGTGTGCTCTTATGCTCAATGATTGATGTTGAACTCGTCCTTCTAGGCCTCGTGGATGTGAAAATTCCTGGACATGACTTTGAGCTGTGGAGCCCCAGCGAAGAAGGAGACGAACTCTGCTTGCTCGGACAACAGGTGAGTCGCCCAGACTTGAGTTTTTCATTTGTCATCCATATCATCATGTACAGACGCTCTACCATCGCCGCAAACGTGATGTGAACTGCGTTGTTGGACACACGCCCAAGGCACCAAATAACATCATGCGGAACTGCAGATGTAGATCAGAGGATTTTGAGTGGTGAGTTATAGGTGTGATATTACTCGCTTAGAGCTGACTTAAATCTGGTCACGAAAAGTGCATTCAATCATATTTGTAATACGGATGGTGAATGTGTTCTTATACCTGGCGCGAGTCCACTTGCTCCCGATGATTCATGTCGCGATGGTGAAGACTATTGGTACGAGCGCACGGCCTACCGCAAGGTCGTCTACTCTACTTGTGAGGGTGGCGATCGCATCGACCAAGGCACACAACACCCGTGCCCTGACATTGAAGTTCCCGACCACGCTACTTCTGGCCACAGAGCAATGTTCTGGATTATGGTGATTATGGTCTCCTTCACGATCACAGCGCTTGTCGTTGCATGGTGCTGGTACAACAAAAGTAAAATGGCGAGAGGGCGAGTGATATTCACTTAGTATGTGCCCATTCTATGCTCACTGTTGATACACAGGGCGATTCATTTACCTGAAGACGACAATTCGCCCCAGTCAGGTCCTGGTGTGCTTGCTACGATGGCATCTGTGCCATGGTTCCTGCTTGGGCTTTTGGGTGTTGCCTTTAAATATGCGCGTGACGTGTTGCAGGGTTACCGTGCAAGGCGTAAATGCGGAGCTGTGTCTTTGGACGAAGATGCGCAGGTCTTGCATATTGAGGATAGGGAATAAATTGGGCAGCTACCAAACAGTCATATACAAGTGGGAAATGTAGAAAGTGCTCGAGCTTCAATTTTGATCGATGTGCTGTGGTCTCAATCCCGATGAAAGTTAGAAGTTCCGGAGATATTGGAACCACCGGGAGGAAAGGAAGAATTGAGTGTGATTCTGTCGATTATGAGCTCCATGGTACATGGTACATGCCCAGATTATATACATTCGTGAGTAGCTCAACAGCAAGACAAAGAAATTTCTGAATCGTCAGTATATTAGTCTTGTACAAAAGCCCTATGTGACAGGTTGCAAAAGATGACCCTTAGTCCCGATACAGGAACGCAAAATATGGGTTTTGCCATTTGGATCGGACGATATCTTTGATAATCAACAGCCCACCACGCATCGTGAAGGGAGATTCAAATGGTTGTTGTCGATTCGGAATTCTGTGGCAGGCCGGTGAAGCCACTGATTATGACTGTTGCCTTGCTGTCCTCGAGCGACATGAAGGACAGCACGACGGTTGTGACACGCTGGGTGACAACAGCTAGCTCGGCAGCAACACATTGGAGTGGCCTTCCTCCGTCCGGGTTTACCGATGGCAACAAAATATTGCAGGGACGCATCTCAAGAAACCTGCTGTCTCACACAAACAAGTGTCGCCAAAGTGCGAGGAGATGTAGATGTGAGACAAACTCCATCAACGAGCAACGATTACAGTAACAAAGATACCCGATCGAATTCAGTTAGAAGCAGGAACAACACCGGCTGCTACTATGCTGTCTGGAGTTGACAATCCATGAGCGTGAGCCGGGATTGGGAGAAGCAGGAGGAGAAACATAATCCTCGTCACGTATCAGGCTATCATCATCTCTGGGAACTCCTGCTGCGGCGTACCGCTATATATGGATGTGTGAGATTTAGAATACGACAAGAACAAACGAGACGCGCATACCAGTCTACCCAGCGCGAGAGGAACATCAACGATAGTCGGCGATGTAGGACCTGTATGAAGGGGCCACCAAGTTGATAGTCGACCTAAGCGGGATATGAGGGTTGAGGCCTAGGAAATGTTGATGGCGGAGGATCGGACGGTGGGTGGTGCTGGTATGGATTGTGACCAAGAGAATGTAAGTCGAATAGACAATGATGAAAGTTCCCACTCGCGTTCTCGTCTGGTGTTATAAGTGGACGAGGTAGAGGGGATGTAGCAGGGAACTGCAACGGAAGTATCGAGTCAGGTGAGAAGCAAAAGGCAAAACAAACAAACGTCTAGGGGATTGCGAGGCTGAGCGCTGATCAGTGGGAAACAGGGTCCGTGTTAAAAGAGGAAGGAAACAGCTTGCGCAGAAAGCAGAGGCAAGCATATGGGTCCTGGTAGACAAAGGTCGAGAGATGGGAGATATGACAGGCACTATCGGCGTATGGGACGTGTTACATCAGACTGTAACAAAGAATAGTGTGGTGAAGATGGAGGAAAGAGCAGAGCCACATACGTCAAGTAAACCAGCATGGAATAGATGTTCAGATTTACTGGTCTGTAAGAATATTGGCATATAAATGATGGATGTATGAGGGGAATACATACACTAGGCTGCGGTTCTTCTGCAAACCCAATGGTGGCGAGAACATTGGCTGGAATGTTGAATATGTAGATCTTGGTGTCATCCAAGGCCACATAAGCCAGTTGGCGCGAATCGGGCGAGAGGACGACTCTGATGGTGGAATATTTCGCGTCGAATGAAGCGAGGAGCTGGCGGAACTCGAAGGCCCATAACTTGATGGTGTTGTTGGAGTAAGCACCGACGAGAGGAACACAGTCAGCTAGACAAGTGGGGTCACGAGTGTGTTGAAAAGGAGCCCTGACCCTAGTCTTGAGCGATGTGCCAGCAGCAGACGGCTGCCAGCCAAAAGATTGGAGAACGTCCGGGAAATGGCCGACTCTAGAGCTACTCTACATAGACTCTGGGACCAAAGTCTTGGGCCGGTCTAGGGCTTCGGCAGCTGACTTCAGGCGGAGTTCAAACATTCTAGTGTCACGCTGACACAATCTCCCGCCCCCTCCCGCCGCTTGCCTGCTGCCGCACCAAACAGCGCTGACAGGGAATCGGGCGGGCGGGTGATTGCGTAGGCATTAGCCTTAGGAAAGGAAGGCAATTAAGAAGGGCAGATGGGCGGGAAATGGACAACAAAGGCTACTGATAGTGTGCATTTTGAGCGGAGCACGAATGCAGGCAATCGATGGCAGGCGGGCGGGAAGGCATTTGGAAGGCAAATTCACGGTGGCGGGCAGCGGCGGAAGAGCTGAACTGGTGGCACTGCTCGCTTAGGTAAGCTCCCAGGACTCCTATTTCCGTGAACTCACTGATCATGTATTGGGTTTAATGTGAGTTATACAAGGGTAATTGGTCAGCCAGCGGTTGCGTGTTCTCGCGGTCAGTCCGCTCGAGGCCTGTCCTCTTGGCCTGCGTGCTTGCTGCTCTCTGGCCTTGCCATTGTTCCTCTCAGCAGCATGTGTATTCTCCGGCCTATATTCTTGTCGGGAGGCGCCCCCTTTTCCGATGTTGTTTCAATTCTTTTCAAACTCCTTTACTCCTATAGCGGAGTTTTGAAGATTACCTGGCAGACGTCGAGTATAGGAGGCTCTCGCCTCCTTGCTAACTTACTCTCGTCGTCTCGCCAGGTAGGTATTACTATCTAGTTTGCTTGTCTCTTGCTAACTTACTCTCGTCATCTCGCCAGAGATTCTTTTAGTCACAATATAATTCACTGTGTTTTCATCGAGTTTCAACTCTCATGTCTGATAATGGAAATGGACCTTCACAACCTCCCGCTGACTCGTCCCAAACAATGTCCTTCAGATCTGAGCACCCCACACGGCTTTCAGACGCGGAATGTGTGGAGAAATGCAATGAACTCGTCGAACAATATCGAAGACGAGAGAATCCCAAAGTCGACACTATCCTTGCCTTGCGGCAAACGCTTCTCGATTCACCAACCGTCGAGGAGGGAGGAAGTCTTCCTGATGCCCTCGCCGTCTTCGTCAGTATGCTCGACTCCATTGATAGAGCGAATGGGAAAGCTGCCGAACGAGGAAAAGAGCGAGGTCACGAACGAGGAAAAGAGCGAGGTCAGTCTTCCCAACAGCAGGAAGCGGATGGGAGAACCACTGAACCAGGAGATGAGGATCAAGAGGGCGAAGAAAGAGTCAGGAGAGAGCGGGACAGTTCCGAGTCTTCTGATGAGGATGAGCGACCCTCCAAGCGTTCAAAGGGCCGTCTTGACACCTCCAAGTTCCCATGGCATGAAAAACGTGTCAGCGCCATTGCCGCTTTATCACCGGATATCAAGCAAACCTTTGAACAGCTCGAACGTTTCTCAGTCGATCCCAAAGGGGTCGTCAGAGATATCCTTTCCACTCCCGGATGTCCTCCATTTCCCCCAGAACAATGGCTCAATATTGTCCAATGGAAAGTCGTTGACTTGGGCAAGGTCCTCGAGGCGGCGCACTCAACCGACTTGGAGCCAAAACAAACGCACGTCATTGATGACAAGGTTGAGCTCTCCTTTCGGGCAAGTAAATCCACAGCCGGAATCCACTCCGCTTCAGATCACAACATTGCCTTCACCAAATACATCAACGCGCTCACCTTCGTCTTCCCTCAGCGCTGGGAAGAATACACCAGCTGGAATGCCCACATGTCAGGTCTCTTCCACGCCTTCGAAACGTCACGTCATTCGCGAGTTATTGAATACGACAAGGCCGCCCGCACCTTGGTCTCACTCCAACGACACATTCGCCTCACTGATTATTCCGCATTTGGCGAACTCCAATACACCTTCCTGTCCTCCTTTGGTGTGGGTCCCAATTCCTCTGAATCAGGCACTGGCGGAGGAGGGAAGTCAGATAGGACAAGTGGAGGAGGAGGAAGGAAACGAGAACCTTGCCACAAGTGGAATCGGGGCACCTGTCTCAAATCTTCCTCCGAATGTTACTTCTCGCACTGCTGTGACAGGAAAGGTTGTCGAGGAGCTCACAAAAAATCAGATTGTCCTCGCCTCGGCAAAACCGGTGAAGGATCCAAATAGTGTTATTGCCGCTTCTCCTCGCTACAGGCGAAAGAACGTTTGGAATGGACGTTCTCATCCCCAGAGCCCAACTGCTTTGTGGACTGAAACTGCTCTTCCTTTACCTCGTCCTCCGGCTCATGAATTTCAGAATTCCTCCGCTCTTCGTACCATTTCGGACAATTCTCATCTCTTTCGGATCTCTACTTGTATTAACATCGACGAGTTTGAATCTCTACTCTCGGATCATCCTAACCCGGCCTTTGTTCGTTCAGTTTGCGTTGGTCTCCGTGAAGGGTTCTGGCCTTTCGCTGACACCCATTTCGGGGTTTGGCCTCTCACTCACGACAATTCCTTTCGTCCTCTCAACTCTGCTGCTGAGAAAGATTTCATAAAGACCCAGATTGACAAAGAAGTGGAACTGGGTCGATATTCTCAACCTTTCGGGCCTGATCTCTATCCTGGCATGTATAGCATGCCCGTTCACGCTGTACCAAAGCCTGGGACCAGCAAGTTTCGTTTGGTTACAGATCATAGCGCCGGGGAGTACTCTCTCAACTCCATGATTTCTCGGGAAGACATTGCGGGGGTGACTCTCGATAATATCGAGCACCTTGGCAGTGGTCTCCGACACTACCGTCGGACTCATTTGGGAGGAAACTTGCAGCTTTGGAAAGCTGATGTTTCCGAAGCCTATCGACATATGCCCATGCACCCCCTTTGGCAGGTTAAGCAGATTGTCACCTTTGAGGGAAATCGTTTCGTTGATCGACGCAATGTTTTCGGCGGACGCGCTTCTCAACGGATCTACCATGCCTTCATGGCCCTGGTAATCTGGATCGCAATTGTTAAAATCCTCATTTTCTACATCTACATCTATGTGGACGACTCTTTTTCCTTTCAGCGCAAAGAGGAGATGGAGATGTATGCACCTTATCGCAAACTTTTGCCGCGCAACCTTTGCAAGCTCCTCCGTTTGTGGGATCGCCTGGGGGTTCCGCATGAGGAGAGAAAACAGATCTTCGGGGAGGAGTTGCCCATCATTGGTTTTGACGTGGATCCCAACATCTTGCGTGTTCGCATGTCCGACCAATCGCGTCTGGATCTCATCAGCTCAATTCAATCCTTCGCTATTCAAGGGACCCGTCGTTCCCTGCGCGACTTTCAGCACCTCGCTGGGCATCTCAACTGGGCTCTTAACGTGTACCCTTTGCTTCGACCTGGTCTTTCGGCTCTATATGCCAAAACTGCAGGCAAGCTCGAGCAAAGGGCTTTGATCTGGGTCAATCGAGACGTCGTTCGAGAACTCAATTGGCTCATGCGTCATCTCCTCACTTCTGACGGTGTATATTTCATTCGGTCTGTCAGCTGGGATTTTCATCATATGTCCCAAGCGACTCTCTCGGTTTACACTGATGCTTCTGCGAGCGGAATGGCTTTCTGGTATCCATCCATCAATCACGGATTTCAGTGTGACCTTCCTGGAACCTTATCCTCTGACACCATCTTCTTCTTCGAAGCTCTCACTGTCACTGCGGCTATTGTGGATGCCGTCCGGAGAATGCACCCTCACGGACGTCTTGCCGTCTTCACTGACAATGCGAATACCGTTGGAATGTTCAACACTCTTGCCGCTCTTCCGCCTTACAATTGGTTGCTGATGCTCGCTGTTGATGTTATTCTTGACGGAGATATTGACTTGCGCGTTTTTCATGTTCCCGGTGTCCATAACACTGTTGCAGACCATCTTTCTCGTTGGCAGAATAACGAAGCTCGGGAAGTCTCTCCGGGCTTAGTAATTTCCTCTTTTCAACCCCCTCGGAATGCGCTGGGGGCATCAAAAAAATGATCACTCTTTCTGCCAACTCCAAGCAGCCCGTAAGGGAGGCTTGGACTCTGGAGCGTCTCGTTCTCGAGCGCTCAATCTCACTTGGTCTTGCCCTTGATCCTTCGACAACTCGCACTTATTCGTCTCATCTCAACTCTTACTTGTCTTTCTGCGCCCTGCACCACTTTCCCGTGGAACCTACCCCGGATACTTTATCCTTCTATGTAGTGTACATGTGTCAGCATATTCAGCCGCGCTCGGTTGAATCCTACCTCACCGGCATCGTCAGTCAACTCGAGCCTTACTTCCCAGCAGTTCGCAGTATCCGGCAATCTCACTTAGTCAAACAATCGCTACAAGGTTCGGCGCGTCGGTTTGGACGTCCTACGCGTCGCAAGCAGCCTCTCATGCGCAAGGACTTGGTACGGGTTGTGCATGACCTTACCAGGCCTTGGGCCTTTGACGACCTTCTCTGGGTCTCTCAACTCTTGTCAGGCTTTTTCGGTCTCATGAGAGTGGGCGAGTTAGTATGGCCTGATCAACTCGACCTTCAAGACTATTCAAAGTTGTCACTTCGTCACTCGGTTCGAGTGGACGTCGACTACTATTCCTTCCTTCTGCCGAGAGACAAGGCGGACATTCATTTTGAAGGGAATCAGGTCCTTATTCAACGTTCGGAGGATGATGATGATCCTCTTGCACCCTTCGTCGCGTATCTCAACATGCGTGATGCCAGATTTCCTCTTCAACCCTTTCTGTGGCTGCGCAGCACTGGAACGCCCCTAACGCGGGCATGGTTTATTCGGCGTTTACGCGCCTTCTTTCCCGCCAGCATAGCTGGTCATTCATTGCGCGCTGGTGGGGCTACTTCCCTTGCGGCTGCTAATGTGCCGCCTGCTAGCATCCAGCGTATCGGACGTTGGCGTTCTGCTACATGGGAACGTTACGTTCGAAAAAATCCCGTCTTGCTCCAAACGATGCTTTTTCATGGGCAAGTTTCCGTTCATGACTTGCCCATGTGATTTCGGTACGTCTCTTTCATCACTGCGTTCAGCTTAAGTTATTTATTACGTGTCTATTCTTCCTTTTCACACCGATCCATCTATTATTCCATCCATCTTTAATCCCTCCCAACCCTCCCTTTACTATACCGTATAGCGGTCGAGACGACTTTTCTCCTCTTTCTGCAGTTTTTTCTGTCTGCTCTATATGTATTTTTAGGGTCCTTACCAGTCTCGTAGTCTCTTAGTCTCGGTCTCGCGTTTGCTCGTGATGTTCAGGCTTATTTCGCTATGTATTTCTAGTCACAATACTCAAAGGGCTCCCTGTTGTCTGCAGGGAGTCGCGTTTATCCGGTTTACTCCGCGTGTTTCCCTCTGCCATCCGCCTGAACCAATTACTTGGGTTTAATGTGAGTTATACAAGGGTAATTGGTCAGCCAGCGGTTGCGTGTTCTCGCGGTCAGTCCGCTCGAGGCCTGTCCTCTTGGCCTGCGTGCTTGCTGCTCTCTGGCCTTGCCATTGTTCCTCTCAGCAGCATGTGTATTCTCCGGCCTATATTCTTGTCGGGAGGCGCCCCCTTTTCCGATGTTGTTTCAATTCTTTTCAAACTCCTTTACTCCTATAGCGGAGTTTTGAAGATTACCTGGCAGACGTCGAGTATAGGAGGCTCTCGCCTCCTTGCTAACTTACTCTCGTCGTCTCGCCAGGTAGGTATTACTATCTAGTTTGCTTGTCTCTTGCTAACTTACTCTCGTCATCTCGCCAGAGATTCTTTTAGTCACCCACCACTCCCACCTCATCGTTTAAGCGGTCGAGACGACTTTTCTCCTCTTTCTGCAGTTTTTTCTGTCTGCTCTATATGTATTTTTAGGGTCCTTACCAGTCTCGTAGTCTCTTAGTCTCGGTCTCGCGTTTGCTCGTGATGTTCAGGCTTATTTCGCTATGTATTTCTAGTCACAATACTCAAAGGGCTCCCTGTTGTCTGCAGGGAGTCGCGTTTATCCGGTTTACTCCGCGTGTTTCCCTCTGCCATCCGCCTGAACCAATTACAGTACTAACATGACCGAATTCGGAGTAAGGGTGTTGAAAGAATTTTTGAGCAGAGTCCTTTCTTAGTACTCTGTCCACCATGGATGAACTTACTATTGGCTCATATATCAGGGATCGCTCGCCATCCCTTGATACCATTCCTCTCGACATACTTTTCGATATATTTCAGCATCTTCCTATCCAAAGCATCCTGGCACTACGACAGGTGTGCGCCCCTGTTTTCATTTCACGGGGTTTTTGTATCTGATTTTTATTTTCTAGACTAGTAAAAGTTTTGATGCCATCACCCGTCTGCGCAGTCTCTGGGCTCTCCTTCTGCGGACTCTTGTTCAGGAGCAAAACATCCCTATACCCTCCTTCGATGGGAAATCCCCAGAGTCTCTGTCAGCCTTAGAGCTCGAGCGGTTTACATGTCGTGCACTTGCTCTTCGCATCAACTGGACTAACCCTAATCCGAATCTGAAGAGAGAAATCCATTTCGGGGCGACCGTGAAAGATCCGGACGTTTTCTTTATGGAGTTTCTCCCTGGCAGAGGAAATCGTTGGTTAGTTTCTGTCGCGATTCGGGCACGCAGAAAATGTATCATCCAGTGCTGGGACCTTACCGTCCTACAACCCGTGTGCATAGCAAAACTCACGTACACGGATGAGACATACAACCGTGTTGTTATCAATAACGATCCCTCTTCTCCAGCCATAATGGCGATCCAGTCCAAGCCAGAAGTGTGAGTGTAAATAGTAACACCTGCTTTAACGTTCTTGCTGATCGTCTATTATAGAACGGAAATACTCACCATCGACTTCGAAGAGAAAGACCCCGAGTCAGCGTTCGTTCCGCTGAGTGCCATTGATGGATGTAGAGATATCCACCTACTCAGCGGGAGCACACTCGTCACCAAGAGTCCAAAACACGACGGAAAAGTGAGCATATGGGACATCAGCGATCAACCTTATGAGAAAATCCAGTTGGTGAGCCCTTCACTATTGCAGGTTAGCTTGCTTTTCCAGTGTAATCCCGCACATCGCTGAATTCTATGATTTAGGAGTACAGATGCAGAGCAATGCATCTCTGTGACGATTACCTGATAATATTCCTCATCCGGACTGTCGAGCTCTACTCGACCATTCCCCGACCCAACAACATTGCAGCGCCGGGAGTGCCAATCTCGTATCCACTCGCACAGCACAGCTTCCAATATCGGATCATAGACAACGTCAATATGTCAGAACAAGTTAGCTGGCATGCTGTGCGCTTGCACCGTCCGTTGCCAATCAACATTGTCATTCGAGTTGGAACCTCCCATTTCCGGCCCGGGCACACATTGCATCATTTCGTGCTTGACCCAAATCCCGCGTATGTCCCAGGACGGAAGACTTCTCTATGCAACCTTCCATACCTGGTGCAGCCCACTCTAGTGTACACGAGATGCTCTCCAGTGTGGTCAGATCTGAAGTCGGACATTGCTCTCGGACGATATGGTACTATGATCTTACTTGACAACCATGACCAAGACGGGACGGAGTATGGGGACTTCAAACACCAGCGACTTGCAGTACGGATACTGACGACTACAGGAGGATCCTCGACTAGCCAGCATGGTTCACATCGTTCCATGGCATTTCGCGTACGAGCCGGCAACTATTGGAACGGGGCAGCGATTGATGAGGAGTCTGGGAGAATTGTGGTCAGTGATGTGGAAGGTATGATAACACTCTTCGAATATCTTTAACTTGGTTTCTCCTTTTGTTTTTTGTTTTGATTATTGTCTCTTGGCATGGACATCTTCTCCACACACACATCAAACTCACATCTAGCATATTTCACCATTTTCTCGTCTGTCACTTTATAGCCCTTATCCATGATATACGAAAGAAAATTTGTGGTGGTGTACAACTGCGTGTTTCATTCCTGCTAGGTTTCCATTCCGAAAGGATTCCAATTATTCCAAGTCACAGCCGATATATCGCGTTAGGACGCAATGAGGACCTAAAAACCAATATGTGCTGTGTCATAATCCTATGCTCGGAAAAGTACGTACCGCCGACGGCGTCAGTCCGAGTTCCCTCAGTGTTTTGCTAAATTGATCGCGAGAGAATGTTTTCCTATTGGAAAAATCATGAATCCTCGGTGCTGGGCACACCGCGTAACAAGATACAGACTGACCTGGGAAAATGCTGGGCGAATGTGACTGTTTCCACATCGACGGAAAGCGTCTGTGCAGCTATAAATTCAGCTACTTCACGTAACGCTTGCAAGATGTGTCAGTTCACAAGACGTTCGTGTATGCAGGGAAGCGATGAGACACACTTGCATCACTCGGCAAAGTGGTCGTGTAAGGCGTTCCTCCACTTGCCATACGGATTTGGAGACGAGTGTCTTTGAAGTCCTTCCCACTTGTGCCGCTGGACGAGGACGCTGTTACTGCTGGAGTCGTTGACGCACTGGCTGATGCGTCAATAATCGGTTGGCCGTCACGTAAAGCTTTCTCCCTTGCAGCCTTTTCTGCACGGGCTTTCTTATCAGCCTCAATCTGGGCCTTTACCGCGGCCTTGGCCTTGGCATCCTCAAGCTTCTCTACCGCACGCGGTTAGATCGGATTAACATGGACAGAATCCATGCGCATGGCAATCACCTCTACGTTTCTGCTCAGCTTCTTTCACGAGCTCCTTGGCTTTCAGCTCATCTTTTGCTTTGCTGATGTCCTAGTTTGATTGAACTTCTGAAACACAAAAACCACCAAGTACCCGACTAAACACACCTTGCCAGACTTGCGGCGAATAGCTTCATTCGCACGTGCTTCCTCGGATTCTTGTTGAGACTTTACGCTGCGCTTTGCAGCTATTTTTTCTCTGAGGTCAGCCAACTTCTGCCGCTTCTCTTCCTCCGTAAGTGGCTTTATCTGAGGGTCATCTGAGGTTAGAGATACGGCACGCGACACGGGGTACAAACCTCTTCCGTAGACTCCTCAAACTGATCATGTCCACTCTTCTCTGCATGGTAATTAGCCAACGCTGTATTCTTAAATACCTTGCCGCATTCTGAGCATTTGATACTCTAATAAGTGAGTTTACTGAAGATAGAGGCTTCAGAGCCGCAATTAAAATAAACGTACTTTGGCATCTACTTCAGTGCTCGATGCGGCACCAGATTTAGTTCCTATCAAGCGCCGCAGGGCATCTTCATCTTCGTCGTCAACATCGACATCGACGTCCATGGGCTGCCCTGCGCTGCCCGATGCACTTGTAGGAGCAGCAGCGCTCGGATCTGGAATAGGCTTCCCTTCGTTCTCCAGAATGTGATCCATTGCAGGCTGCAAACCGCGATTGTTAGTCGCTCTCAATGCCCCTACGTATAGCGCGTCCACGGTGGCGCCTCAATCAGCCAGGGAACGCGGACTGGTGAGACAAGAGAATACGAACAGTCAACACGGGCTGGGTCGAATCCCATGCTGAGTAGCGTTTCCTTATCGCCAGCCATCAGTAATGTTGAGATATATACAAAGCTTTGAAGAGTTCGGGTCGAAACAAGGTCGAAAGGAGGTCACGCCGGTGACGCCGGTTACGCCGAAGTGCTCAGACGACTCAACTAGTATTTCCATATTTGGACTCGCAAAAGTACCCGACGAATGGATTCAAGTAGCTAAGCTCATCTCTGCTAGCTAGATTTATTCAGCTTAGACTTGAAGGCTAATTAGGAATGACACACAGTAGATGTTATGGAACGTGAGTTACAAGTGTATGGTGAACTACGCTGGATCCGATGAGCAAATCAATTGATCATGTCCTACCAGGTCAAGTTAGTGTCTCAAGTCAGACAACCAAAGATCAGAAACAAACTCTCGAATTATATGTAACAGGTAAGGTATTTATACGTATACAAGCTAGCAAGTTTGACTATCAAGATTCTTCTATAGATCTAACTCCATATAACCACTAGTGCTACAAAATCGTAAACAAAAACGCACAGCAAGATACAACAAGATCAGCGTTAATGAGCGTTATTTATGTTGAATAGACAGAAAGGTAATGAATGAACTGTGCACTCCGCCTCCTACTTTTTCGATGACTTGAAGAAGCCTATCATGTTGAGCCTCGACGGCTTCTTGGCGAGAGTCTTCTTGCAGGGAAAACTCAGCGAGTTGCTGTTGTTGGGCTGCAAGAGGTCGAGGCGCGTAGGGAATTTGTCACGCTCGTCCTTGTACATGGCTGGAGCAGAAGGGACAGCAGAAGCTATAGGCTCGAACGAAGACTCAAAAAAATCCTTGTGGGTGCGTTCAACATCCATGGGAGAGTTCGACGGCTGCCTCAGTGTAGGGCTAGGAGGGGTGAACGTCAGTGGCGCAGGGCGTCTGCGCGCCTTGCCCTTGGGCTTAGCGACACCATTTGCACATGCCGACATCGCAAAATCGGGACTCTCGGGAGATGCGAAGCCTTCGGAAAACGCGACGTTCAAAAGGTAGTCGGGTTTGTGAAGGTGCTTAGCGGCGCGCCGAGGACGGGATGGGAGCGCGAGGACAGACATTGCTGGCTTGCGAGTAGCGAGGGGAGTAAGAGCGCTTCCGAAGACAGCGAGATCATCCGTGTCAAGATGGTCAGTGGGCTGGACGATGTAGCGCGGATCCAAGTCAGAGTCTTGGGTTGAAACGCTAGCGCGACGCTCCTCGTCAACGTCAGGGTTAGCGGAGGACGATTTGTCCCCGCCAAAAGTAACCCACCCTAGGTCACCCATACCGCCAGCGGCACCATCCTCGCCGACGGCGAGGAGATGGGCATACTCCCATTCCTCGTCCTGATCCCACCAAACACCACCTTCGCCATCACGGTAGACATCACTAACACCGGCAGCTCCAGCTCTGGCCTGAGCCTCCATGACACGTTTGATGTTGGATTCCATGCTGCCGCCGTCAATAAACTGCATAAGCGCGAGCTCGTTGGCAAGAGGTGCAGGGCGCATGTTAGCGTACTTCGCCTTCTTGCGCTTGACCACAGCAGCAGACGACGCTGCTGCTGCTTTAGCCTTCATCTTTGTGGGAGATGAGGGCGCTGCGGACTTGGATCTGCCACGGTACTTGAGTCCGGACAAGGAGCGTAAGCGTGTAAGCCCGCGAGGCTTGCGTGTCGGTGATGTGGGCACAGGAGGTAGTGGAATCTGATGCCTAGCCTCAGCAGTGCGAGGCTTGAACGCGATGGGAGTCTTAGGGAACTGTAAAAAGGCAGAAGTATAGCCGACGGTGGTGAGGTCGGCTTTAAAATTCTGTATTGAGGGGGTTGCGGCGTTGCGATGGGCAGTGGAAGGGGTGTCTAAAACGTTTAAGAAGCAGCCTGCTGAGCCACGGGCGGACGTAATGGATGCTCTGCGACCGCAGCCGATCGAGGGACGGCGACGCGGAGAACGCGGAGAAAGAGATCCAGGAGATCCAGGCTGGACGTGGGCTGCCCAAGCGGTGATTGTAGAAAAAGTATTCGAGCGAGGGCGGATGCGCGGGGGGGCCTGAGGAACAACTATCCTGGCGTACGAAGGTGGTGAAGGCAGGGGTTGTGTAGGACGCTTTTTAGGGGGTGGGGGATAAGCCAGGAATGCGTATTTCGGGCGATGACCTGCTTGAATAACAATATCCTGAGGCACGGCATGGAACGGGATAGTACTAGTAGACATGGATGCGGACTCGGAACGAGCGTGAAGTTCTAATAAATCGATATATGGACGAGACTTCACGGAAGTATCTGTCTATTCTGCATTGGGCGCACGTTAGTTGGTCATTGTCGAGAACGGAGACATGAAACTTACAAGTGACGTGGGAGAACAGTCAGGGAACGTTATAGTCTCTGGAATAAACGCAGACAGAACTTGAAAGAAATGAGCAATATAGTGATCACAGTGCAGATGGTCTATGCTGGATGATATACAATTGGGTAGCGTTGCAAAGAATTAGTAGAAAGATGAAAATGTTGCAAGAGAGTGCTGAAGAGTTGGATGATGATCCTGATTAGTAGACGCGAGGCTAGCTCAACGGTACTAGATGGGGTTTGGAACTGCACCAGGCGTCTGCTTTTGAGGGATAGCCTGGACAAAAGGCTGTAGTCCACGGCCACTGTTTGGACAATAGTACTTATCGTCTAACAAGCGCTGTGGCAAATTAGCCTCGGCTTGTATTGTGTAAACTCGCACCCACAACAAGGCATTAATTGTCTTCCCAGGACACCGTAAACTCTGTTCACGTCGGCTGTTTCCGCCCTCATTGTCCGACTTCAATGCATTTGCTCCATGGTCAACTTGGATGAAAACGTGAATCAAATTTGCGAGTATCACACTTAACCCTTGCAACCGGAACAGCACCTCATCCAGCGAGGCTCCTTGAAATTACATATCGACTAACAGGAGTGATCAGGGTCTCTGCTAATAAATACAATGCTTGCCTAACTAGGCAGCTCAACGCCAGCACTGCTGTACTTTATTAGTCTCTTGACTTTGTCTTGACTAGCCAAACGATTAGCAACTGGTTAGAAGGAGGACAATTGGAAAGGCAAGAAATGCAAGCTGCTCTGTCATATTTTATTATCATTGTCGCTCGCTGAAAACGTGCGTGGCCTTCCGTGGCTACCAATTTTTCCACACTTGCTGGCATCCGCTGACTCGCTCAACACACCCATTGCAGTGCCCGGAAGCAGTCCCGTCACTCACAGCCTTATAAAATGATGGACGATCAAACAAAAGAGGTGATGTACATTGCTTGGAATACATGTGCACGTTATTTTCATCAGAATCGGTCCTAGTGGTATCTGCCAATATCAGCACTTCCCCCCTCTAAGACCCGCGACCACGACCTCTGAAACCTCTCCCGACATGAATGACGCCCGCTCTTCCGCGAGGGGACATACCCCTCGATGCAGGCCCTATCCCAGGCTGTACATCAACCTCTGCGGAGGGGTGAGGCGCACCAATCTGTACATTATGGGATCCAGCTCGGGGATGAACCGCGGTTGCTATCCTCGCTCTCCCTCTACCACCTCTTGGACCGAACGTGTGAGGATTAAATTTGCTAACCTGCGGGTTGTGCATCTCTGGATGAACAAATCCCCCATTCTTTCCACCTCTTCCGAACCGTATGGATGGTGGGACCAAAGATAGAGAGTTTATCGAATTTGCCAATTTGTCTATGTCATGGTCAGCTGCAGTCTGCACTGCGCCATTTCCTCGCCGTGGTGAGATAGCGGTTCGTATGGGTATTTCCTCAAGCTCTTGATGGTGACGTATTTTTGGTGTTGCTTCTCCATTTTGTTCCTCACCACTGCTTGACTCTTCATTTTCTCCTTCATCGCTATCTTCCTCTTCATCCTCATCTATGACCATTTCGTCATCTTCGGAGTCCTTCTCGTTTTTATTATCTCTGGGTTTCCAAGTTCCTCTGATCATGCTGGCGCCATCTCCCCAACGTTTAAGTAGACCGCCCACACCTTTGTTTGTTACAGCGAAAAAGTACTCTTTTGGGTATGAGTGTGCTTGGATAAGATGTAATCGACGTGCTTTGGGCGTCTGGAATAATCGTGGACATGATGCAAGATGACAAGCAAACTGTGAGACAGATGAGGAAGTGAGAGCATGCAGGACACTGCAGTGAAATAAAGCGCACAATTTTATCCCCCCTATCTTTTCGAACAGCAGCAAGTGGATCATGGCATTCTGTTTGATGCTATCGATCATCGATCATCGATGTCAGCGCACTCGCGGACGACCTCACTCGTGCGCAGTCCACTCACGAGCTCCAGCAATCTTGCATCGGGAAACACAAACCCACATCCCTTCTGCTCACAAACTTGCGCATGATATTTTCCATAATGCAGCTCCAGATCTCTCGAGTTTGCAATCGGTGTCGGGCGGTTATGCGGCGGATTACACGTCGGGGGCAGTGTGCAGAGCAAACGGCGATCCCCCGTTGCCTCATCTGCGGTGCGACTAGACTTATACATGGGTTCAGGTTCTAGTGATAGCGATGTCGATGTCGTCGATTGAGATGGAAGTGATAATCGTGAAGCCGAAAACGTACGTTGGCGTTTGTTGGAGGACATTTGCGTCTTTTACGTCTTCCCCACCTCGTTGCAAGCACCAGGAGATATCACTCGATCGGGAAGGTGACGCCGCGGAGATCTAAATTTATGTGTCACGCGGGTGTGACGTGTGGGTTCGGTCACATTTCTTTCCCCTCCACATTCAGACTCCAGAGCCCCGTCCAGCGTCTTGCAATGTCGTCAAAACGCAAATGGGACCAGGCTGCCCCTGAATCATCACCTTTTGAATTGGACACTCCTATAAAGGCGCAAAAAACTGACGAGGGGAAGACTGCTTCTGAAGCTGCGGCCGCTGCTGCTGCTATTGCTGCCAAAATTGCCGCACAGTTCAGTGCTGGTGGTGGCATCGCCGGGAGTATACAGATCGGACAGAAGGACCCGCATGATGGAGATTTCACTCACGACATTGACATCAACGATGTCCGGAACCGGTATATGTTGACAAAAGGTTCTACACAGACCGAGGTGTGTGTTTTGAGTGGTGGTTGTATGGCCAGCTAGCTTCTAATCTCGCAAATAGATTCACGAGGACACGGGTGCCTCAGTCAGTACCAAGGGTGTGTGGTACCCGGATCGATCAAAGGCAACGGAGAAGGACCCTCCATTATACCTTCACCTTTCGGCTTCAAGCAAGGAGATGTTGCAAAAGGCAATTGACAAGGTTAACGAGCTAATAGCGGTTGATCTTGGTCCACTAGTAGAGGACAAGAAGGATAGATTGCGCGAAAAGGTTTTGCAATTGTTCTAACGTTTCACCGTTGGCTTACTCTTCTCCCAGCGTAAATGGCCAGAAGAGAAAATGCCTGTGGGCCTCGAGACCATTCGCAATTTCAACGTTCGTGCCAAAGTTGTTGGGCCACAGGTATGTTTGAATTTCCTCTATGTCGAACATTTCAGAATTAGCGCTTGTGCCAGGGAATGTTCGTGAAATATATCCAACAAGAAACAAGTACACGTGTGCAGATAAAGGGTCAAGGTTCAGGCTTTGTAGAGCAGGAAACCGGCCGGGAGTCAGATGAGCCTATGCACATACATATTACGTGAGACTTCATGCATTCGACTGCTTGTATGACTGACACCTCGGCAGCGGACCAGACGAAAACCAAGTAGCTCGCGCTAAAGTGCTCACAGAAGACTTGCTCGAAGTTGTACGCTCTGAGCATGCCAAAGCACAGTCAGCAATGATGCAACAACAAATGGAGTTGCACCAAGCACAAATGCAATTTGCACAGTACCCGGCGGTAAGCTTAGTCCTCTTCTTACACATAATGTTCTTCAGTTAACATTTGATTCCTAGGGTGGGTACGGTGCTCCACCACCTGCACCTGAAAACGCACCTCCACCGCCACCACCTGGAGAGCAGCCTCCCCCACCTCCAGATGGTAGTGCACCTCCACCGTATCCAGGTGCACCAACCGGCACTCCAGGGCCAGATACCCAAGATGCATATGCAGCATACTGGTAATTTTTCTTCCAATATCTTCCTGTATTTGTCCTCACGTGACGGTAGGGCACAATACGGCTACGATGTCAACTCAGCGCAGTTCAAGGAGTGGGCTGCGAGTCAGCAAGCGCAGTATTACCAAGCATACGCTGGACAAACAGCTGCACCTGCACCAAGCGACAGTGCACCTCCACCGCCACCGCCAGCATAGAAGGCTGTTATATTTGATGCTTTCAATATGTAGCGATCGTACCTTGCTTTATATCTGTGTATTTTCGGTTGGTGCATTTCAGACTCATCGACGTACCCTTTGCTTTGTTGTAAGTATTGTTAACACAGGCCAATAGCATACCATGAGCGACGATGGATGGTCTGCCATGTTAAAACTGCACTGGTACCTGCGGGGAACCATATTGATGTTGCATCATTCGGTCTACATGTCATTTTCAATAGATCAAGGTAACCACTACACTATCAGGCCCAGGCGAGGCGTCCAAAGAAAATTGGCCGCCTCGCTCTAACCAAATCATTTCTGTCTTTATGCTGAGGAACCAGCATGCCAGAATTATACGACGATGGAGACCATCTCGTGCTGCTCGAACCTCGGTGGAGAAGTGAAACATACACAGTCCTCGAACGTCGTACTAACTTCTACACAGTCATCCTTGGCATGCGTATCCCAAATACTGATGATGAGACGGGGTGCGAGAATAAATGGCGCGGTATCGTTGAAAAGCTCTGAGAGGCTCATTGCCGGGGTCTGGGTGGTACCAGTGCGTATGTTAGCTGATCTCTGTATAACCCTTGGGAAGTATCATACCGGAATATGAGCCCATAATACCACCAACAAGATCTGGTTTGTCAAATTCCTAGCAGGAATGATGGATACTTTCACAACCCACTCGATGAAGGGGGACTTACAGGGCAAAGTACAGGATATGATACCGAACGATCATAACCATGTATGTATTAATCCTCATGTGAGTTTCCCTCTGTTCCTTAAGGTGCCTCGCGAGGATGGCAGCCGCAAGAACAACTAGTAAGATATCATAGCACACAATCGGAATGGAAGTATAGATCGCAGGCATAGGTCCGATGTTGAAGGAAAGGGTGCAGTACTTGGCGTTTGGAGTTATGATTTCTTTCACTATGTCATGAGGCGGGGTCAGCTTGCAGTCAACTTTCAGCAAAAACAATTACCGGAGAACGCGCTACGTCGACTGTATAGATAGATGTCCGTCCCAATCGAGAGGGCAACGATAGGCAAGAACAATCCCACCAGAACATAAAGTAGGAGCTTGGATTGATCACATATGGCATAAAGCCGCCAAATGAGAATGGCTGCGAGTGCAGGGTTCAAACCCATAGTGAGATGCAACAATGTATATCATACCTTCTGCAAACCAGAAATACACTGAAAATCCCCATTCAATTAGAACGATAAGAGCGTAGCCTAATTCGCTATAATGATAAGTGAATGGGCATCAGGTTGAAAACAGTATACTTGCAGCTATAATGATAAGAGGATAACAATTTTTGAGACTTGACTCTTGGGACATACTTGGGACGTACGGCTAGAACATGAGTTAGCCAAAAACACTCTAAATGGAAAATATCAATACACTGACTGATTCAGGTATGTACAACAGACCACCCCCTAGGGCCGGTCAGTTGACAATGGGTCGGGTAGGCACAGGGTTACGCACAGAAACCGCACAGCCTGGTGTGAGTGTCAGCGTGCATACGTGCCATGTCAAGGAGCTATGATGACGTACAGTGCGAGGAAAAGACCAAGATATCAAACCTAGCATAGCAAATAAAATATGGTACAAATCTAAGCACTTTCAAACAGGGCGAATCTCACAACGAGGTACAGGCATGACATTAGCGACAACGGTCGTTTCTGGAGATTAAATCAATCCCTGGGCTGATGTGATTGTGCAGATCTGGGTTGGACACTGACCCAGACATAATTAACCTATGCCGACAATACTAGTGATAAGTACTTGACCGACAGAAGAGATGACCGTAACCTCGATTTACCTCTTTGTCTAAGAGAAGAACTACACAATTTTCCGATCAGCGGCAGTAGTGATAAGTTTTCCAAGGCCACTAACGGTACTCATATAACATCAGGGTGATGATTGGCACTGGAATCGATGTTCAGCCCAATAGTCGTGAATCAGTTAGAATACGCTAACGAACCACCTGCATTGTTATTCCAGCGGAGACCAGCGACAACTTCTTGTTCTGACATGAGACTGTGCAGATCGAATGGGAGCCTGAAGAGGTGACTGATGGGCTGATGATTGAGTGATGGTTGAATGGAAACTGTGCCACACGGTGCTACCGAGTAAGTTGCCCGAACTTATCGTATGTCGGCATCACGGACTGCTATCTCAATAGGAGTTAGCTAGAAATGAATCGAGGGTACTGCACGGGACTTGTAGATTGATGCATATACGTACTTACAATTCGGAACGCCCCTAAAAATTTGGCTTCGGCTTCCGGAACTACTTCAAGATGCTATGCTCTGTTGGAGAATTGATGGGTAGTTACGTAAGTTATTGGTGTTCGACAGGTCACACGATCTGTGATATTATGTTTGTGGGGAACAGCAAAATATTCTCAACTCTGCAAGGACGTACTATATATACTCATGTTCAACAATTCGGTCCACAAACATTGCATATTACGGTATGTGGGTACTACACTATTAGGTGCTACACAAAGCTCTAAGTTGTTTATTAATCAATTAACTCACTCGACCCCATTTACTTTTTCTTCATACTGAGGAACCAGCCTGAGCAAGCCAGAATTACACGACAACGGAGTCCATCTCGTGCTGCTCGAACCTCAGGGGTGAAGTCCAACATACACAATCCTCGAATGTTGTACTGACTTCTACGCAGTCATCGTGGGCATGCGTATCCCAAATACTGAGGATGAGACGGGGCGCGAGAATAAACGGCACAGTATCATTGAAGAATTCTGAGATACTCATCGCCGGGGTCTAGGGAGTGTAAGTGTTTAGCTGATCCGTCTCTATAACCCTTTGAAATAATCATACCGGAATGTGAGCCCATAATATAACCAATAAGATTTGGTTTGTCAAATTCCTAGCGAGAATCGATGAATAATTTTTGAACCTACTGGATGAGGTGGGGACTTACAGGGCAAAGTACAGAATATGATACCGAACGATCATGATCATATATGAATTAGCCCTCATTTGAATCCCTCTTCGTTCCTTAAGGTGCCTCACGAGGATGGCAGCCGCGAGAACAACTAGTAAGATATCATAGCACACAATCGGAATGGAAGTATAGATCGCAGGCATAGGCCCAATATTGAAGGAAAGGGTGCAGTACTTGGCGTTCGGAGTTATGATTTCTTTCACTATGCAATGAGGCGGGGTCAGCTTGCAGTGAACTCGATTTCAGTAAAAATTTACCTGAAAACGCGCTATGTCGACTGTATAGATAGATGTCCGTCCCAATTGAGAGGGCGACGATAAGCAAGAACAATCCCACTAGAACATAAAGTAGGAGCTTGGATTGATCGCATATGGCATAAAGCCGCCAAATGAGAATGGCTGCGGACGTATGATTCAAATCCATAGTGAGATGCGATGTACACCATACCTTCCGCAAACCAGAAATACACTGAAAATCCCCATTCAATTAGAACGACAAGAGCGTAGCCTAATTCGCCATAATGATAAGTGAATGGGCATCAGGTTGAAAACAATATACTTGCAGCTATAAAAGAGGACAACAGCTGTTGAGACCTGGCTCTTAGACGAACTTGAGACTTACGGCTAGAATGTGTGTTAGCCCGAAACTCTTTAAATGGAAAGAATCAATACACTGACTGATTCAGGTATATACAACAGCCCTCCCCCTGGAACTAGTCAGGTGATGATAGCTCTTCTAGGCACAAGGTTACATACAGAAGCCGCAAAGCCTGATGCCAGTGTCAACATACATATGCACTGCGTCAAGAAGCTAGGACGACGTACAGTGCCAGGAAAAGACCGAAATATCGAACCTAGCGTAGCAAACAAGATAAAATAAAATAAACTTCCTTGACGGGGCGAAACCTACGATGAGATACAAGCATGACATCAATGACCATGGTCGTTTCTGGAGAATCAGTCAATCTCCGAGCTGATATGATTGTGCGAATGTGGGGTCAGACCGACCCAGACATATCTAACCTACGCCAATCATAAGAATCATAAGCATCGACTGACAGAAGAGAAAACCTCGATTACCTCCTTGTCCAACAAAAGAACTAGATGATATTTCGTTCAGCGGCAGCACAGGGTTCCAAAAGGTTACTGACGATACTCATAAGACATCAGAGCAATGACTGGCACTGCAACCTATGTTTCAACACGATGGTTCGCTTACACATCGATAGAACTGACGAACCAGATAGATAGTTATTCCAGCGGAGACCAGCAATGATTTCTTGTTCTGACATGAGACTGTAGATCAAAAGGGAGGCCTGAAGAGATTAGTGGGCTGCTAATTGTTGATGTTCGATATACGATACTTATAAGGCATAGAATTTTTTTGCGTCTTGAGGGCTGATTTCTCGGTCGTTGACCAGGAATAGACAAATGTCACTCCGAGATTCGTGACCGACGAGAGTGGCTGTTACATCTTGGCTGAGTCTTCATTATTCACATGTCATAGCCAACGTGTTCTCCTTGTTCTGTGGGCAGTAAGAGTGCCTTGATAGCCTAAAGAACGTGAAATGAGATTTCAATAAGGGTCGACATTCCTGTGCAGGCGTCTGCAATGTACAAGCGCTTAGATAGTTGACTCTCTTGATAGAACATGGTCGGGTACCCTTTCGGGGAGCGGAAATCAGACTGAGGACAACGGAAAGATCAGTAAGAGCCTCTTTAACATTAATTACGGAAAAATACCAGACAAGGGTTGTGGTCAGAATTATTTGTCCAGATATTCGATCAAGGTTCCAATTTACCGCCGAAAGCGCCGAAACAGGGTCATCAATGGACTAATGATGTCAGGCAGCGTGCAGCCTTAGCATACAAAAGGAACTTCATCAACATTGGTTGACCTGGAATGAGTCACGCATAATGCTCGTGTAGTTGAACGTACCTCATGAAAAGAACGTTGTCGGCAGTGAATTATGAATATCTGTGCTACATTTGTTCGAGGAGAAATATCTTGTAGTGTTGCGACTTTGTGTTTAGAATTAAGGCAGGCAGTCCTTACTACCTTGCATTGGCAGGAGAGTTTGAAGCTGTCGGAGGCGCAAGTTGCGAGTTTAAACTTAACTTGGCCAGCAAGAAGGTATGCAAGTACGGTAGACTCCCGTGAAATCGAACCTAAAAACCTTTAGTGCAATGGCGGAACAATAGGAGACAGGAAAAAACCAGACCGAGCCTGAATACGTGTGCGGAGACAGCTGTAAATCCTCTGTCATTGGAAGGTGGATGGAACGTAGAATGATATTAGGATTAGGTAAATACAAGGGTGAAGCCCGAAGAGAGAAAAATGTGAGGAGACAGATGAGATACACGTACGTATAAACCACTAGACAAGATACTCAAGAAAGGATGGACACAGATGGATCACGCTCATCATGCACGGACCAACCACAGGAGATCAACTCATGCAGCAACTTCACGTAAATAGACGCGGAAGGCATCCAACGATACCGGCCAAAAGCCCGAACCTCCGCCGCTGAACTCCCGCAGCAGCAGATGGGGTCACCCCTGCTAGTTCGACTACCCATAAGTACTTGATGTTGCAGTCCCATAGCGTTTAAGTTTCATTTCACGCACCCTATATTTTCAACATTGCTCGTGGTGTACACTCTCGCAAGACACCCCAGTGTGCCGGGTTAATGGGATGTCAGTGATCATCTCGTGTTGCTCGAACCTCGGCGGCGAAGTCAAACATAAACAATCCTCGAACGTTGTACTGACATGCAAGCAGTCGTCCTGGGCATGCGTGTCCCAAATGCTGATGATAAGACGGGGAGCGAGAATAAATGGCATCGTATCACTGAAGAGCTCTGAGAGACTCATCCCCGAGATCTACAAGTGTACATGTTAGCTGATATCTGTATCATCTTGGGAGTATCATACTGGAATGTGAGCCCATAATATCACCATTAAGATTTGGTTTATCAAATTCCTAAGCGAGATTTCAATTAGCACTTTCAGAAACCACTAGACACAGAGGAACCTACAGGACAAAGTACATGATATGATATCGGACAATCATTACCATATAGGTATTAGGCCTCATGTTGTATCCTCTTTGTTCCTTGAGGTGTCTTACGAGGGTGGCAGCCGCAAGAGCAACTAGGAGGACATCATAGCACACAATGGGGATGGACATATAGATCGCAGATATAGGCCCAATGTTGAAGGAAAAGGTGCAGTACTTGGCGTTCGGAGTAATCAATTCTTTGACTTTGTAACGAGACAACCTCAGCTTGCAGCCAATTTGATCTGGGCGAAAATTCACCTGAGAACGCGTGAGGTCGACTATACAGATAGATATCTGTGCCTATCAAAAGGGCGACGATAGGCAAGAACGACCCCACTGCAACATAAACATAAAGTAGGAGTTTCGATTGGTTGCATAGTGCGTAAAGACGCCAGATGAGAATGGCTACGGATGATGAATCGGTACACACGACGAGTTACTAACTGCATGACTTACCTTCCGCAAAGCAAAAATACACAGACGCACCCCATTCCAGTACAACAAGAACGTCGTAGCCTATTGCATGATGAGGAAATTACAGTTTATTTTGAAGACATGAATTATACTTGCAGCTGAATGAAAGAGGTCAACAACGTTGAGACCTGGCTGTGAAATAGACTTATTGTGACGTACGGCTTAAATACGGTTCAGCTTAGGATACTCTAAAGATGGAGAGCATCAATGCACTCACTGATTCGGCTATATAAAACATTCCTCCCCCTAGCGCTAGTCAGCGAAGGATGGTTCAAACGGCATAGTGTTACATACAGCAGCCCCAAGTTCTAGCGTCGGTGTTAGTGTACAATATGAAAGACACAAATCACCACAACGTACATTGAAAGGAAAAGACCAAGATATCGAACCTAGCATAGCAGGAATAGTACATAGACCAAAAAGTAGTGTGGGAGGGTGAACTCACAACAAGGTACAGGCATGACATTAGTGACCACGGTCTGTTCTGGAGATTCAGTCAACCTCCAGGCTGGTATCATTGCGCAAATAGTATGGGGTTGAATACTGACCCAGACATACTTAAGCTGCGCCGATAATAACCATGACATAAGTACCCAACCAGCAGCAAGAAAGTTCTTTATTACCTCCTTGTCAAAAAGAAGAACTGGAAGATACATCGTTCAGCAGTAGTGCAAAGGTTCATGAGGGCAACTAACGGTACTCGTAGAACATCACTGTGAAGAGCGCTACTGGAACGGATATTCAGCACGATGGTTTATTCACAAACTCGTTGAAGGGACTGACGAACCAGATATACTGTCGTTCCATCGGAGACCAACAATGTTGTCTTCAAGTTGTTCTGACATGACACTGTTTCGTATGAAGTGAGGAATTTGGTGAGTGATTGATGGATGTAGAAATGGCTGGAATGGCTGGAATGACCTACAACTTATCAAGTTTCCCGCCAGTGAGAATCGATAAAGTGTACAGGTATCAGCTAGCAGTTATCAGCCAATAAACGAAAGTGCTTGACATGCGGTGTCTAGTACAGGCATAGCAGTACAAGGGGCTCTGAGCCCATCTGACCGTAAGTACCGCCATATTTTGATGTTCGCTTCACGATAAAACTATATTAAGGTCAAATGAATATACAGGATGAGGAAACGCCGAGCGTGGCAGGTGATTATATCATGATGGTGCTTAGCGCTGGATGATGGCATCATGATCACATTCATTGTAGGTATTACAGAGAAGATGGGAAGCGGATGAAGTTGTTGAGAACTCCGTAAACTGTTCGCCGCAGTAACTAAGTTTGCTATCAACTGGACAATATCTGACTGCATCAGTGAGATTGGCGTATGCACGTTCACTGTCACCTAGATGAGGTGAACTTGCCTGGAGCGGTGCTGGGTGAAAATATAGTGTATTGGCACTTATGAGCTGGACTCAGAGTTAACTTCAGCTGGACTATAAGTCAGTGCGTATCGCTGTATATGGAAATGACATAACTTACAGCCTCCTGCCACTGAAAGTGAGAATCGACGAAGCGGTGGGTGAGTGGCTAGTATGCCATGAGCCGCGTCAGAAATAACTTACTAGTACCGAGCGCTCACGATTATGTAAACCTATTATAATTCTCCGCGGGGTGCAACCTACAGCAGTCTGGCCACTTCGGCTCTTTCTCTACTACCGCCGCGCGCTAATGGCACAGTAGTTGGTTAAAATCAGACTATGTCATGCTGATGGCCCATAAGTGATGGCGTAGTCCAGCCATTTAACGAGCTTAATTGATGGAAATGGATGTACAGGGTCTCTCCTTACACATACATCATCGAGGGTCTCCTTGGTCAAAGTTAGTGAATGATTGTTTGCTGAATAGTCATCTTATCTTGGTCCTCGTAGCTATTGGCAGAGTCGATGAAATGCTCCTCCACTAAACCTGTCTCTGTCAACCATCGAAGGGCTCGACGTATGGCAACTATGTAGTACATGGGATAGAATCCGCCGCCGGCTATCTCACGAATCCCGAAGCTACAGAGCGCTGCCAGTTCTATCCTGCCAAGACCGCTGACCAGTTCATGTACTCGAGGTTCAACATCAAAAATAGCAATCACTGGCGCAACCTGGGCAGGTATACCATCGCGCTTGAGTGATGGCACTCCCGTGCTGAGTCGGCTGTACAGTTGTAGCCCATATATGTACATAGACCTTTCGTCTGCCAATTGTATCAGCTCTTAGATGGATGGCGGCTAACAAACGATAAAAGTTGGTAACTGTAGCATTGACCGAGGCTCAAATGACCAATTAAACGCCGGGTCTCTACGGGTTTCAAAGTTGGTACATCTTGCAAGGTTATAATCCAGGCAAAAAGCATGAACTCATAGGTGATCGCCATACGTAATTTATTCATAAATACATATATTAGTGTGACCTCAAGTCACGCAGTCTCGACGCCTTCTGTCTCTATGCTAAACGTGGATTCAGGATGCTCGACGCAAGGACTCATCTCGTGCTGCTCAAAGTCCGGTGGCGAAGTCCAGCATACACAATCAGCGAACGTCGTGCTGACATGCACGCACTCGTCGTTGGCATGCGTATCCCAAATGCTGATGATGAGACGGGGCGCAAGAACAAAGGGCGCCGTACCATTGAAGAGCTCTGCCAGACTCATTGCTGGCGTCTGCGAATGTGTATACGTTAATCGATCTCTGCATAACTTGGAAGTTTCATACCGGAATATCAGCCCATAATATCACCAATAAGATTTGGTTTGTCAGGTTCCTAGCAAGATACGATTATTCCTTTTAAAACCCGATGGATGAAGCAGAACTTACAAGGCAAAGTACAAGATATGATAGCGGACAATCATTACCATGTAGGTATTAGGCCTCATTTTGATACTCCTCTGTTCCATAAAATGTTTCACGAGGGTGACGACTGCGAGGATAACGAGTAATATATCAAAGCACATGATGGGGATAGAAGTATAAATCGCAAGCATAGGTCCTATGTGGAAGGAAAGGGTGCAGTAATTGGCGTCCGGAGTTATTATCTCTTGCACTATGGAATGAGGTGGGGTCAGCTTGCAGCCAAAGCAATCAGGATACAAATTTACCAGAGAACACATCGCGTCGACTATACAAAAAGATGTCTGTCCCTATCGAAAGGGCAACGATAGGCACGAACAATCCCACTAGAACATGAAGTACGAGCTTGGATTGGTTGCATATGGCATAAAGACGCCAGATAAGAATGACTGCGGATGCGGGGTTGGTACGCGTAGCGAGATGCAAGAATGTATGTCTTACTTTCCGCAAAGCAAAAATACACTGAAAACCCCCATTCAATCAGAAGGATAAGATCGTAGCCTATACCAATTGTATGATGAGCAAGTGCACTTCAGGTTGAAAATAATATACGCACAGCTAGATAAGAGGACAACTGGGACTTAGTGAGCTGTGAAATGAACTGATGACATACGGCTGAAAGATGTATTAAGCTAAAGTTCTTGAACGATGGAAGGCATATATATGCTTACTGATTCAGGCATATACAACAGACCTCCCCCTAGCGCAAGTCAGTCAATAATGGCTCGAGTTGGCATGGGCTAGTGATACATACAGCAGGCGCACACGCTGGTGTGAAAACTTGTCAGCATGATGTGTACAGTGTTAGGGGACGACGTACATTGCAAGGAAAAGCCCGAAATATCGAACCTAGCAAAAAAAACATCGTACCTTTGATTGAACACTGGCAGGGCGAAACTCACAACAAGGTACAGGCATGACATAAACGACCATGGTCTTTTCTGGAGATTCAATTAATCTTTGGGTTAGTTTTATCGTTCAGATAAGGGGGTTTGACACTGACCCAAACATACTCAATCTATGTCGATAATCAGAACCATCAACACTCGACCGATAGAGCAAGAGTTCTTTATTACCTCCTTGCAGAACAGAAGAACTAGATGACCTTTCGCTCAGCGAGAGTACAAGGTTTACCAAGACTACTGACGGTACTCATACGATATCAGGGCAATAGCTGCTACTGCAATCGAAGTTCAGTACGATGATGCGACAGATCAGGCTAGAGAGCTGACAGACCAGACACATTGTTGTTCCAGCGGAGACCAACGGCAGCAGCCTCTCCTTGCGACATGACACTGTGCGATGGAATAGAGAATTCGAAAAGGGTTGCTGAAGTGGCTTATGATAAGGCACATAATTCCCTCCGGTGGCCTCGCGATTGTATCCGAGTCGTGGGGACTGAGGTGTTCGTCCCTCGTCTGGCGCACTAGGATTCGGAACTAGATGTAATAAAAGGTGTATACCAAGTTTACCTGCGCTTCCTGTCGATTTCAAGCTGATGTCCTCTATAGTGAGCTGTCAACGACTCAATAAACATCACACCCGAATTCAAGACTGATGACTCGGAGAGTACTGGTAGCTGTTATATTTTCGCTGGATTCTTCACTACTCGCACGGTATGGCAGTCGTCGTGGTGAACGCTTATAATAGCCTAGAGAATGTGAAGCCTTATCAGGTGTGCACCATCCAACATCGGTCTGTTAAGCACTTACTATTGATAGACATAACCACGCCGCCTTTCAGCCTGAGTGAGCACAAATTAGGTTGAGGACAACAGCAAGTTTTCATTTGATAGAGATGTTTAAATTCGGGTGCACACGATCACTAGTGCACTGCCCACGCTTGGTCCACGCCCATGATGACCACTACTAAATATGGTAAACTTAGATAATTGTCGGACTTTAAACTAAACCTTCTTGGGTGGGAGTATGCTCCCAACTTTGAACGTCCCTACAACGTTCATGGGAAAGGTAATGGGGCAAGTGCTGTCGTAGTGGTGCGTGATGCCATGCTAGTACTTAGTATGAGTAAGTAATCTTGAGGGGCCTTACAGTATTACTCATGGATGTTGATGACTACACGGACTTTGAAAAACAATTTCAAAATTACTGAAAACCTCATCGAGTTAGCAAGATGTGATGGACGTCCTACTGTTTGTGCGATCCCGGGTGTGGTAACTCTCATGCCAATCTATTGCAATATTTTCAAAGGGCCCTGACATGCCAGTTGCTGCACAAATACAGAAGGTAGGGTTGGAGAACACAATTTCTTGAAGGGTCAGCTATCTGTCGCACGTAGATGTCGAAACATAAAGAGGCACCGGGTCCGCTGTTAAGTTGTCGAGCGCTAGTATCAGGATCTCATCACAAATCAGTACCAGTATATGAGCCTGGATCTGTGAATTCGTGCAGGAGCGGTAGTATCAGACGACGGAGTCTCACATGGTAAGACTATGTCAGGGTGTGAGTGGTCCTAAAAAGGCAAAATGACCCGTCGGGGGTACCTTACAGGTTATTAAGGGGGGGCTTGATGGATTTCAAACAGTAACCGTTCCTAAAGTATGAAACTCTGCGTATGTCTATGTCCTTATCTATGATAGACTCGTTGGTGAAACGTATACTGTTTTATCATTGAGGCACGTACGGCATCATACTCCAAGGCCGATTTCTCCGGAATCAAACCTTGAAGTTTTCAAGAGGACTGGTATTACTTTACCCTCGACATGCTTCGCTACATATTAGATTGTATTGCGCTCATACAGTATTCGAATCTATCGCTATCGTGATGTTTGTATATTACTTTATGTAATATTGTCATGTTATCTTAACTAGCATCTTCTTCGTCTGCAGCGGAGCGACTTCTAGTCCTGCGCTCTGCCTAATCAAAATCTGATCGTGCTCATCCGAATGCGATCCCCCACTTTCCCGTAAGTAGTATCCCAAATTATGCGATGCAAGAACCCGTTTCAGATTCCATCTGAGTACTGGTATCCATCTCATACTGCTCGGGTACTCCCGGTGAAGTCCAACACCCACAATCCTCGAATGTCGTACTAACATATACACAGTTGCGATGGGCATGCGTATCCCAGATACTGATCGTGAGACGCGGCGCGAGAATATATGGCACGGTACTGTTGATGAGCTCTGAGATATTCATCAACGAGATCTGTGAATAAATAACATATGGCATGAGCAGATTTCTGTAGGGTGTTAGAAGTATCATACCGAAAGGTCAGCCCATAATACCACCAAAAATATTTGGTTCATCAAATTCCTATCAAAATTTGATTAGTTACTCTCAGAACACACTAGACAAAGGGAGATAGAACTTGCAGTACAAAGCACACGATATGAAGTCGAACGATAATAGATACAGATGAATTAGGCCTAGCGTTGATCTTCTTGCGTTCTTTGAGGTGTTTTGCAAGTCTTGCAGTCGCAAGAACAAGTAGGAGGACATCATAGCATACCATGGGGATAGACAAATAGGTCAGAGGCAAAGGCCCCGTTTTGAAAAAGAACGTGCAGTACTTGGCGTCTGTAGTTATTATTTCTTTTACTACAATGAGACAGGGATTAGATCACAGTTGACACCAATAAACATGCACCTACCTGAGAACATGCTAGGTCGACTATATAAAAAGATATCTGTTCCTATCGATACGGCGATGATGGGTAAGAGTAGTCCCAATAGGACCCGAAGTAGGAGTTTTGAACAGTTGTATAGCGCATAAAGACGCCAGACAAGAATGACTGTGGATGCAGATTCGGTACGCGCAATGTGCTGCGAAACAATGCATAACTTACCTTCTGCAACGCAACTATATAGGGAATAACCCCATTCCATGAAAACGACAAGATCGTGACCTATTTAGTGTTCATGATGAACAAAGACAGTTTAGGTTGAAGATGGTATACTCGCATCTACACATATGAGAAATCAACAACTGTTGAAACTGGGGTTTCAATCGAAATGAAGACGTACGGCTGAAATATAGGTCAACCAAAACTCTGTCGAGACAGAAAGCATTGCTAAACTCACTGATTCAGGCATAAACAGCAGTCCTCCCCCTAGAGCTAGTCAGCGAATAATGATACAGTTAACATAGTACTACACACAAAAACCCCAAAGCCTAGGGTCAACGTCAACATACAATGTACCGTTTGAAGAATACAACAACGTACAGCGCAAGGAAAAGTCCAAGATATCGAACCTAGTATAGAAGAAAATAAAAAATCATGAAGCGCCCTGGCGTCACGAAACTCACAACAAGGTAAAGATATATCATTGGTGACCAGGGTCGTCGTTTCTGGAGATCTAGTTAGCCTCCAGGCTAGTGTCATTGCGCAGATTTGGGGTTGGACACTGACCCAGACATATTTGACCTACACCGATAACGGCCGTAAGTATTTGACCGTCATGAAAGAAATACTTCATTACCTCTTTATCAAAGTGAAGAACTAGATAATCTTTCAGCAAAGTACAAGGATGTTGAAGGTTACTGACGGTATTCATAGGATATCAGGGTAATAGTTACCACTGGATTCAACATTTAGTATGATAGTTCTACCATAGATCATTTGAAAGGAGCTGACGAACCCGAAATATTGTTATTCCAGCGAAGGCCAGCGACAGCATCTTGGTCCGACATGACAATATCAAATAGTTGATGCCAGTGATCATCGAAGTACAACACTTATAAGGCCCAGAATTGTCCCACCTCGTGAAACTGTAGTGGGCGGTGTTCCACGGGGTATGAAAATTGCACGAGAGCACCGAATCGCAGTTTGCGCTCATTTCATGTCCGAATTTAGTACAATCCACTGTCAGCCAACCGGTGAACAGACATTCCGCCCGGATTCATGGACAAAGGGGCTGTAACGTCATGGCTAGAAGTTTCATTAGCCATCTTTTCCCTGGCAGCAAACGTTCTTCGGCGTATTTATAGCATAAATGATTTGGAATGAAGTCTTATCGGTGGCTTGCATTGGGTTGGCGCTTGGTGTTGACGCCTGTACACCAATACCATATTGGTCTCGAGGGAGCAGAAACTTTAGTAAAGATATCCATACATGCGACGTTTACGAAACGTACCAAGCTTTGATTTATCCCCTGGATGCGACAAGGGGGGGAGGCTGATTGATGCCCTGATTCTGTCAGGCTGCCCTTATACCCACAAAAGTAACTATTTCATGAAGTGCGTAGAGCTAGGCACGCTGTGTCTGTGGCTGGGATAACGTTGAACGTTGAATGTCGAGACGTTGACATTATTGGTGTAAAAAATATACACAATCCATCAAAGTTATCCGTGTGGATTAATCAAGGCGCGTGTCGCACGCATGGTAGCATTGATGGATGACTAAATGAAGGTGCTGGATCAAGTTGGAGGCTGATAAGTAATATCGTCAAGTTTCATCTCTAGACCAGCAGGAAGCACTATTTTCCCTCCACCAGTCCAAATAAGGGGAGATCAAGAACCGACATCTCGTTAGCCAATCGCACAAAAGACGAGCGTGACAGAATGTTAAGGTTATGAACGGGTTCCAATCGTATTCGGCTCGTATTCACAAGCGCCCGTTCGCTGTAGTTTCCTGAGGAATATCCCGGTATTCGCGACCACGATCCCGCTCCGAAGGTGTGATGTCATGTGGCTATCCAGAAAAAAATCAGAGATGGCGATGACGGGGGGTAACTTGCGAGCCTACATCTACTGGGCGATACCTCCCGTTAGCATGTGGAACACTGTGTCCGTTCATATGGTGAGGTGGAGGCGGTGCCGCTGGAGGTGCTACAGGGTGTGAATATAGTGCCGGAGAGGGACGCGTGAGATGCATGAGGGAAGGCGTTGCTGGAACTGTAAGATTTATAGCATCAAGAAGCAAGCTTGAAACGAACAAGTATGTCAGGAATGCAGGCCAGAAAGCAAGAGCGGGCGCACTCGTTCTCAGCTTGAAGCTTCTGCATGCGTGCATTTGCAAGCTCAAGATCTCTCACAAGCTCCTCGTGTAACTAGCAGGGTTGAACGTACTGCGTCAAGAGTGCTCCGGCTGAGGTACGTACCCCTACAACTTGATCGAAGCGTTCCCTCATAACTTGAAATCTGGCAAATAGTGAGTCGACGGGAGGGTGCGCGCAGTCAAGACACACTTTTCTTTGAATTTTCCACGAGGTACAGCTGGTGCCTAGACACCAGTAAGTTCAAAGCGTGGTACTGCGTCATCAAATACATTACTCTGTTTTTATTAGTGTCATCTGGTACTTTGTCTCCTAGGCGTTGCCCTTTCTGCAGTTTCGAGTCTATGTGTATCGGTCGTGGCAGAAGAGATGAGTTGTCCATGCTGTCGATAGACTGTCGTTGTTTAGTTGTGTATGACCTGCAGAAGCGCTAATGACACATAAGATTGGTTGAACCGGGGTCCTTGTCTAAAATGAAGAGTCTTTGTACGCCGCACGTCGGGCTTACTTAAGCGGCCATCAGGCCTTCCGTTCTTGTGTTCGCTTTGAAGGCACCAAGACGTAATTTTTGGGGTGCGCATCTCGTATCAGGGGAAAAGTAACACTTCTCAGCATCTCATAAGTATTCGAAGTCAAATCCGGATCTTGCAATGGTATCGACTGGATGGGAAGTAATTCATGGAATTTGCGGCGGGTACTACGGCTACATACCCGTCCCCATGAACTTCTATGACTTTGTGAAGCGCAGCACAGACTCCCGGAAGTAGCGTAATTGAGCTAAGCGGATGTTACATGTACATGTAGAAATGTAGAAATTACTTCATCTGGGATACACTATAACCTATACTGTCGGATGGTCCAGACAAATTCTCCCGCTCCCTGCACAGACCTGGCAAGCGCCAATCACTTGAAGCATTTCTTGTACAAACACAACACTGCCAGTGAACACGTTGACTGCAGGGCCATTATGTCGTAATATATGACTTTATATTGCTTTTAGCGACAAAAATAAAGGACGTTCTTTGCATATATTGTCATGTGAGCGGTCCCAGCACAAACAAATACATGACCCCGACACATTCAGGAATGCCACGATAAATCTGACTCTCTATGATACCTGAGTTCCATAGAAAATGATGAACAGTGGCTCTAAACAGATATCATGGCAGGCCGACGTACCAAGATGTTTGGAGAGAGGTTGAGGTAAAATTGAGGTAAGAAGCAGCAGCAAAGCTAGCGAGTGCATAGCTTTAGTGGGAAAAGATAAGTACATTGAAAATGCGAACTCGCTTTGCAAAGTATGACACGTACATTTGTATTAAGTGATGGTAGTTCCCAGTGGTACGTCCCTTCGATAAAATAAAATAAAAATTTGTCGCAGCTCGCAGAAGTATTTCACAGCAATCCTCACAGCAAGAAACAGTGCGAGAACCTCCCACGCAGTGTTGAGTCCCCAATCTATTATGCTAAAAGATCGGACATTTCCCTCATAAGCCTGAGGACGCTGATAGGTGCGAGAGAGAACAAGTTCTTCTGGTATTTTCCAATGAACATGATGCAGTTAAATCTTTTGTCCGTAGTTCAAACTCACCTCCTGAACATAGTGTGTCATGTATATCCCAGCCAGAAAGATGGCAATGAAAAAAAATCTAGATCGCTGAGGCATGGCATATAACCGAACGATCACAATGACTTGCATCACGTTTCATTTAAGGTAATTTCACCGCTCAGTATGAACATTTGCAACGAAATCTTGATGTAGAACATATGTTTGCCTGTAAAACCGGTTAGTGATGAGCTTCAGAGGATCAAACTCTAAACAAACTAACAGCTGCTGCGGTCGCCATATTAAATCAACAATTGGATAGTGGTCACTCGGAATATGACCTACCCTATATAGGGGTGCAGTTAATTGCGTTTGAATGGAAGCAGGCAGGCATGCAGGATACGCACTATACTTGTCACTGAGAGTGATGGAAGACTGTCTGCCTGCCGCCAGTTAGACGGAATACACGCAGTGTATGCCAGTAGACCTACGCAGCATGTTGATGCCGATTGTGGAAGGTAATTATTAGCACAGCGCTAGTCTTTTTTGGACTTGCAAACATACCCAGCATGTAGTATTCCAATGTAGCGCACCTATGATATTTCGAAGACACTGTGAGTTGCTGACTGCACTATAACACAAGCTACGCACACTGAGATATAAAGCAGTCTTAAGGGACCAGCGTCGCCTCTTCCTGGGATTAGTCACATCGTCATGTTGTTGTCCTGATCTGCTCACCCAGATGTCAGTTCGACTTAAAAACACCGAGATGGCTGTTCCGATGACGGCATCGACCTAAAGCCCCCTCTTGTCTGAAAGTCAGTGGTATACCGGTAAAGATGTACCAAGATGCATCAGTATTCTTTTGGACTGCCTTTGCTCACCCTAATTGTATATTACCTCGGAAGAGGAAGTAACCAATCGATAATGAGAGGGTTTGGCCCTTCGGTCGGACTCGGAACCATATGACTCATCCGGGTCAAGTCAAGGTGGGACCAGCCAGGCTTGGCATCCGAGTCCAGCATGGTTACGGTGCCATGCTAGTGCGCAAGTATCGATAAATGCTTACGCTTAAACATTTAGAGGCCGCAACTGGATAGGCAGTCTGAGCCGGTCTCAATTGAAACTTATGTAAGTAGTAGATATGTTATGAGTCTGCCGATGAGCTGATTTTCGCAATCAACCTCGCCATCGTAACATCACACATTGCGGGTTTCAACATTTTACCTCTGACAAGATTTCAATCAAAAGCAGATCTGGACCTGGCTAGCTAGAGCGTTCCAGAGCATCCTAGATTACTTTTCGAATGTAATTTCACTGGCGGCAGAAGGTGGTAAAATTATCAGTTTACCCGCCAGTGTGTCATGAGACCTCAACGGGCCGCCTCGACAAATACGTCAGCTTCTTATTATAATTGGGATTGAATACAAGTACCCGGGGGGTTCAAAATGGTTGAATTCGCAGCGATACGGATTCATACCTTTCATCTTTTCGAACAGCAACCAAATTATCGGCAATGTCCATCTGTCCTGTCGTGTTCTCATGTCTTCCTGCCATGGGAGAACTACAAGAACTGATTATAATCCTTGGCAGATAATCAGGAAAGTCATCTATAAGCCGAAGATCGTCAGGGCTACCGGTAACCGGCAGTTTTCACACTACCGGTGTCGCCCACGACCCGGTGCATTCATTGTAGCCAAGTCACTGTGACTCTTCTGAGTTGGCACGTCTCCGAAGCTTCGGAGAACGACTTTAACGCTGCCTGGGAGCAGGTAAACTGCTGCCTTTTACGATCAGCATGAGTGCGAGCGTAATAGCCAATCGATCGTTTAGTCTGATGATAGCTTAAGTTATCTTCCGTCCGCGATTATGTATTATCGGCTGAAGTGGCTATACATACCAGAAGCTGGTTCAGATTCAACCACCGTTTGGAAATGGTACATGGCGAATGAACTTGCGCCGGTTACTAGCCGCCAGGACTGCACGAGTGTCTTGAGCGAGGCGCTATTAATGGCCGAAGTACAGCCGTAAGTGCGTTGGACTGGTGTTCCGAGTCTGAGGTAGTTCAGAGGAAGTGTGTATTTGCAATTTAATGTGAGGTAGACCAAGTTTCCTGAAGCCTCCAGGTAGGCATGTGGGGGTGAAAAGACTGCATGCTCGGATCAATATTCGGAATAATAATTAACTAGTTTAAATGGGGATAAGATGGCATGCAGTGTACACGTTTGGGATGACATAATTAGGGATTAAAAGGATTGTGAAAGCTGTTACTTTGTTTTACTTTGAACATGGACTACGATTATTCAAACCAAGAACAATCACCAAGACAATGGTCATCAACAACTTCTACTGGCTTCTCGTCCCCCGTATCACCTTCACCGGGTTACTATTACACTCCAAATCAGCAACAATCACCGTCAAGACCAACTAGCAGCAATTTAACGCTCAACCTCAGTTCCCTCTCAGTATCTTCACATCTTCATCACGGTGTATCTCCTATAACTCCTGTATCTCCTCCAAATTTCAGTCCAGCTCATCTCAGTCCACAACCTCCTACATTTCAATTCAACTTTGAACCGACAGACGACTCATCTCTCTTACTAGCACAGCGTCGTCCGAGCACAGGATCTCACTCTACTTCATCAAGCGAATTAGCAGTAGAAAAGAGCGTACCGCGTAAACGAAGTCTCACAAACACCGCTCCTCCACCACCAACTAATCACAGTCATGGACACTCTCATTCTTATGGAGGGCACGTACTCCCGCATCCAATCATAACAACAACAGCCTCATCACCCCCTCCAATAAGCGAACCGTCCTCTCAAGGTCCGCTCACACCGGCTAGTTCACAGCCTTCAAATCAGATCGATATAAACGCAACATACGATGATCCCGATGGTATAACGGGTTATTCAATGCCAGATCAAGCCGACACAGACGACGAAGGCCAAAAATCTAGTACAACAGGTCCTAGTCTGGGCGTCATCGGTAAACCAATGGGCACCAACAACTTTGTAACAAAGCTTTATCAGTGCGTTCAATTAACTCTTTCATATCTGTCATTCAACATCTACAGGATGATCAACGATCCAAAGAGTCAGCTTTTCATCGCATGGACTGAACTCGGAACAAGGTCAGTCCTATTTCATCGTTCTCACTTTCTGTCTCATTCAATCTGTCTAGTTTCGTCGTTTCAAACGTCGGCGAATTCAGCAGGAGCATCCTTGGCTCTCATTTCAAACACAACAACGTCAGTCTCCTTTTCACCACTATTTAAACAACTCACATCTCCACAGTTCTCAAGCTTTGTGCGCCAACTCAACATGTACGGCTTTCACAAAATCAACAGAGTCCGTACCTATCTCCACTCATTTCACCACCTAACATTTCATAACACAGACACCACGCGCCCAACGCACATCTACAACATCTCAAACATGGGAATTCAGCCATCCTAAATTCCTCCGCGCACGCCCAGACCTCTTGGACGCCATCAAACGCAAAGCTCTTGAGCCCGATCCTCGCGAACGTGGCCGGTAAGCCCCGCTCAATCTCCACCACAAAACTAAAGTTAATCTAACCCCTAGCGTTGAACTCCCCGGCGAAGTTGCTCGTCTCCTAAATGATATGCGAGACGAGAACAGGGCCCTCTGGCGCGAGATCTCACGTCTAGGCGGACGCGTCCCTTCTCACATCGCCAACACCCTCTCCCAATCTGCTAGTACCTCCCCCCCGAAATTACATATCGGGGGAGATGATGAGGATGAAGATGGCAGTGAGGAGGGGTTTTCGTTCAATGTCATGGCGCCTGGTTTCAGTATGGGGATGGGTGGAGGAGGCGAAGCTTGGATGAATTGGGCAGGTGCCGAGATGCGCCGTGAACGACGGAAAGTGGAGAAATTGACCGGGATCGTAAGGACCCTATGCGATACGATCGGATCTGGTGCGTTTCTCCATTTAAATCTCAACTCATCACTAACCCTACACACAGTATCACCAACGCTAATCCAAGAACTCAGCGCCCTGAACGCCCCAAGCCCCTCCCCCTCTCCAGTCCCTCCAAGCCCGATTCCAAGCGATCACAGCCCCAACATCTACATCACCTCAGCCCCCTCTCCATCCCCCTCACACACACTCTCTCCCTCCCATTCGCACTCGTCTCAGGGTCACGGCCACAGCCATCACCCCTCAGTCCCAATGCTCAGCATCCCCCAGTACGCCCTGCACACATCAACCCCCTCTCCCACCTCCAGCGAGTTCTCTCCCTTTGGTCGACACGGACACGGGCGCCAGCCTAGTATCACCCTGACGCCCACTCCTGATGTAGATGCACACGGCATGCGAGAAGGAGGAGGAAGGGAGAAGAGGCAGAGAAGGACGGGGAGTGTCGTTAGTGTGGGCAGTGTTGGGTCTTCGATGGGTGGCGGATCTCCGATGGTTTCTCCTATGGTGGGAGGGTCTGTCTCTGGACTTGGCGGTGCTTCGATGGGGGGAGAAGATGATGTTGAGGGGGAGATGAGTTTGGGTTTGGATTTGGATATGGACGTTGGTGGGAATGGTGGTGAGAAGCAGCAGCAGCAACATCAAAGGGCGAGGAGCGATTCGGCGCCTACGTGGGTTACGGGTCAGAACGCTGGTACTAGTGCTGGTGGGGGTGTTGGCGTTGGTGGACTTACTGCGAATTGGGGGCGGCCGAGGAGCGGGAGCGGGTATGGAAGGTGATCGACGACGGGGATTCATGCCTGGTGTTTGAATGTGTCGCGCTTTTTTCTTTCTTTGATCTGCTTTTTACTGTTACTTGTCTCCGTCTTCACGCTTGCGTGTTTTTCTTTCTTTTGTTTTTTGTTTTGTTTCATCCTTGCTATCTTTCCTTCCTTTAAAAATGGTATTCCTTCAGAACTTATTATCGATATCGCCCGCCCTATCACCTATCTTCTATCTGTATATTTCTATCAGTATCACATCCTCCCCCTCCCTTCTACCCGGCACACATTATTTGCCACACTTCCTTTGCCACGCTACCGCTACGCCAGGCGACCTGCATCCCATCCACGCCACGCCACCTACTTGCCATACGCCACGCCACGACGTACGCTCAATCCGTACTAGACCAATCCTATACACGACCACCCAATCCCAGTACATATTGTATGCGCTTACCCCAGCTGCTTTAGACACGAGTACTTACATACATCAAACACTCCTTTTTTAGACGTATTGTTGGTGCTGTTGCCCCGCCACGTTCCTTTCTTTCTAGAAATTCAATTGCCTTCTTCTATTTCGAATGTTGGTCGGTTTTTCTGATGGGAACTTGGGGGAGGCTTCGACTCAGGATCTCATTATCAACGTCATATGTAATTTTCACCTTACTTTGATGGCATGGGGCCGGATCGACTGCGGTGGGGGATAATGAAACTATTACATACAATGCACCGTCACTTTCGAAGTGGACCGTGACGAACTGACTGACTTCAAGTTCGGATATTAAACTCGGGCTCGAGCTTCATGCACAGCTTGCCAAGACTTCCTGCGATGCGATGACCGCGCGTGAGGTATTCATGTTTTTTGTACGAGGGATGGCAAGCAGGAATGATGAATCTACGTATGAGTCGTGAACTTCATTAATTCTGCATAGCATCACTCGATTGCAATCGCGGCTGCCTTGTGCAAGCAAATTTAATACGAGCTTGGCGGACATTAATCATCGTGTGACGACCAGACACAGCTCCGATGCGACAGGAAACGAGTACAAGTCAAACCAGGCAAAGGAATGACTATATACAACAGAAAGTACCAGTACTAGTAAACGCACGCGTGTGCGTGCAAATATTATATTATAAACGGCCTTCGAGTCCCTTTGGATCTACGATATATGTGTGTGAGGGGGCTATGCACTGGCTGGCAGTGGTTAATACGAAAATAAACAAAATCCTGGATGCCTGTCCGTGAAAAAGTATGCCTGCATCATTATCACCATCACCATCACCTCTCGCACCGATAGATTCCGTTATTATAGTCCAACACCTACGTAATTATTTTCAAGCGTGGCCGTTTTGATGGACCGGGACTACTTGCAGGCTGTGCAACAGTAGAACCTGGTGCGTCGTGGTCACCTACAGGGAATGGGAGTAATTTAATTCTGATGTCTCGAATGAATTTGAGAGCGGTGCCAGCTGTGGGTCGTGAGGCTGGTGATAACGACCAGCACTCACGGATAAATGGCCATAGTTCACCGACTAGGGGACAGTGAGATGGACAACGAGGTGTATTTCCTTGTTGGATCTCCTGTATGATGATCACTTCCCGCCTAATTTCGTGCCAGGGTACTTTGCCTGATAAGACCTGCGGAGCAACATATCGTCAACTTTGCTGAACGCTGAGGATGGTTTTGGATACTTACTTGGAGCATGATACTGCCGAGGGAATAGATGTCGCTGAGCGTTGTCGGCTGGACATCATCTGACAGGAGGAACTCGGGAGCTGTCCATCGTACTGCGCCTGGATACATAGCGGTAGCTGCGAGGTACGTCGAACCGGTCTGCAGGTCGCCAAGCATGCTCGATAGTCCAAAATCGGCGATGCATGCAGTCTTGTCTCCGAGGATAAGAACATTAGACTTGTGAAAGAATGAGTTTGTGATAAGAAACAGGAGGTGTTACGTACCCCAGTGAGATCTCCGTGGGTCACGGGATTATTAGGATAAGAGTGTACTGTAGAATTATACTCGGAATGGATCAAAGATGAGTCAAAAGAGACTGACGGTAAGTGAGACCAGAGACGATGTCGTCTAACTGAACAAACGATCCCGTTAGAGATAAAGAACAAATGTAAATGATGCGATCATACATACCAAACTAAGTTGATCAGCAATAGTGATGATCGACCAATTTTTCTCCAGGTAATCGGTCAAAGTTCCATTTACAGCCCAAGGGGCAACAAGAGCCATCGAGATACCAAAGCCGAAAGCATAGCCAATGAATTCCATGACATTCGGGTGGTTGAGTCTTCTCCAAATGCCCATTTCTCTCCTCAGTCTCTATAATACATAACTATCAGGCCGTGTGTATGGGCGATCAGTGCTCTGACAAACCTTCGAGGTATTTCTGTTAATTTGGAATCTGAAGCCTTTCACAGCAACCTGAAACAGACACCTTATAAGGATATCGTTGTCGTCGATTCACATATGTACGAACCGGGATGCACCTGGTACCATCATCGTAGGTACATTTCCAGACGTTGCCAAAAGCACCCCCAGCTATGGGATCAAGGCCGTAACTCCGAGTAATCCAACTTGTCAAGTCGACAGGAGTCGTCGGACTGTACGTATATTAGCAGGGCTCTGGAAATAGACAAACAAATCGTCACCTTCCAGATCGCGTATTGGGGGATATGGGCGTAGGAAGCATCCCAGAAAGATCACTGGCAAATCCACGCTTACGATTGTTGTTCCCTTCGACAAGAACAGTGCCGTTCGGACCAGGCAGAGATAGATATCCATGCCCCATCTGATCATAACCATGTGCGGTGGTCTTCTCAAAATCGGAGGGGCGTACAGGGGAATCAGGCGTGATGGGAAGTTGACCAGACGCATTCTGAAGATACTTCATATCAAGTCGCGGCAACTCGATACGTGAAATGGCCGATTGCGAGTTGTGAACACTGGGAGTCGAAAAGTATGGGCCTGAGTTGGGGGAAACCGGTGTATGCGGAAACGTGGGAGTGAATCCATCTGACATTATAACGCCCCCCTGTGCAAAAGGGCTGGGTAAATCATATGCGCCCGACAAAGATGTACTGATACTATCTGCAACATCATGATCGACAGAGGTTGATGTCGAGGAGACGAGATGAACGGAAAGGATAGGTATGGATTCTTCGTGCTGGACTCTTGATGGAAAGACCATTGAATCGGTAAGCCTTCGAATGCTGTACTTGCAAGTCCAGATATCTGAACGCGATGACTAGTGGATCGGCATACAACCCAAGCTTCACAGGCTTGAAGTCACAGCCAGACGAATGAGGGGGAGGAGACGGTGAAAGTACTGCGGGGGGGAAAGTTGTCCGCAGGACGTGTCAACTATTGATTTTGTACGTTGCTCGAGCGCTTGCAGCGCCCAATGCCGAATTTCTCGAGGACAGGTACACGCTGTCATTTGGAAGGGTTATTATCTCCGGCACCTGAAAATCATGAGACCACGGGCATTAGTACGGTCACTTTGATAAACCTGCCTAGCTATCGTCTTGGATACTCACAGCATTCGAGGTGACCCGTTGAACACTAAGCGGTACGCTGGTTGATGGATGTTGCAGCATATGTGACACTTCGAATATACAGCCTGTCACTAGCAATAGGTCGTTCGTATACGTAATTTTAAACTGCGTCTGCACTGTGCAGATCTTAAATAGACGACGACGACGACGACGCCCTGACTATGAAACACGGATGAGCGAGAAGTAGATCATGATGAGATTAGTTATACATGCAGCAAGATGAGAGAGGGTGACCGAGCGAGGTAACAAACAGCAACTGGAACTATCGCAACAAGTCGACGACAAAAATAAGCTATCTAAACTGGGAGGAGCCAAGATGTCACTGCTCGCTGCAGTTTTTGCAATAAATAAGACATCCTGATTCCGCGTGAAGAGAGAGAAAACAAGGGGGTCAGCGCAAAAAAAAACATGTACACGTAAAAAGAATGTTCGAAAAGCAAGAGGAATGAAGCAAACACATAGCCCGAAAAAATCATATCTTCCATCCACCGTTTACTTGAGATGATCCACACCCCCCGGATCAAACCATTCACGGAAGTCTTGCTCAAAGTCTGTCCGAAACATGGATGGGTCTAGGTCCTCCAATGCTGACATAGATTGCATGAAGTCTGAAGACATGAAATTAGGTGGTAGATCTGATAAATTGGGTTGTGGTTGGCTCGCGGGATTTGAAGCCGGAGGTACTGAAGGTGTCCCGTTTGGAGCGGGGGACTGCGTGATGCTTGAGTTGATGGTATTCGGAGTCGGGGGTGCAGTGCCGTGTGCGCTCCCCGTAGGATTGGATGAAGGCCCTCCCTGGCCAGGAGCAGCCGGAGCGTTGTGAGGTGACCCTTCTGGCATACCTGAAGGGTTATTGATCATAGGTTTGACGTCCTTCTGATCTTTCATGGGACCACCAATAGCTGGTGACGCAGGTGGCGCCATGCCGCCCATAGGTTTGGCTTGAGCCAAGTTCTGTCCGATTCGATTGTTCTGAGAACCAACAAACTGTTGTTGACCTTGCACAGGATGGAAACCTTGCTCAGAAGCACCAGGAGCGGCCGCTGCTAATAGGGTCTTTGTCGTTGCGGTCATACTCTGTCGGTACTGCATGGCCTTCAGAACAGTTGAGGGGTAGCCAAGGGCTGCAACAAAAATCGACAACTTACTGCATTGGTCATCATCATGTTATGACCTGGTCCTGGAACCATGCCCGGGCTCATGGCGTTACCAGGAGCACCCATAGGCAGTCCCATACCAGGATTACCCATGTTCGGTGGAACACCATGTGGCTGGAAGTTATTCATGGGCGCGCCTTGCATTGGACGCATCATGTTGCCATTGGGCATTTGTTGTGGCCCGCCTGGCATACCCTGCTGTTGCGGGTGCGGATATCCTGGCCCGGGACCCATGGATGATGTTTGTTCCATGGGGGGAGGTGTGCGGCGCTGCCGCTTCCTGTCCGGAGGCGAGTTTTCGCTATTCGGGAGCGTGCCATGCTGTCAAATTTCGCAAATTAATGTGCTGTAATATTAAGCCAAGAAAAGAAACAGTACTTCTTCTCCAGGTGACGTGCTGTTACGTTTTATGGTGCGCTGTGCGTGTTGTTGCTGTTGCTGGTGTTGCTGTTGCTGGTGTTGTTGTTGCTGTTGCTGTTGCTGTGGAGGTTGCTGCATTGTTGGATGCTGAACAGGTCGACGTTGCTGTCCGGGCGGAGCCATCCCTTGCAAATTCGATGGAACAGGGCCGAGTTGTGATGCCTTGACGCTCCGCTGCCGCACCTCATTCATAATTCGTTGCTGTAATTCAGATAATTCACGTGAATAAAATTTCCATAATAGCGATGACGACGAAAGTACCTTATCTTGGAAGCTAAGCGAGTGCAACTCCTTATCGCCAAAACCCATTGCTGCTTTAACAGCCGTAACGGCTTCGGTAGGCAAACGACTGAGTTCTTGGTTGAGCATGCCTAGATTTGGATCGTTCGATGGCGTCTGGCGGGCAACCAACGATGGACTGCGTTGCATCATACCTCCTTGACCGGGGGTGCCAGGACGACTGGGTGACCGTCCCATCGGAAATGGTGGCGTCTGCGTCTGAGGGGCGGAGCCAAGGGAAGGATTTGAAGGGTGCATAGGGCGATTGAGGTTAGTAAGGTGGCCAGGCGGGCCTACCAGCTGATTCATAGACTGTGAATGCTGGGGTCCAGAACCAGGGTTGCCTCCCGTAATATGAGGTGAATGAGACATCGTTGGGGATTGGAATGGAGGCGCAGCGCCATTTGGTCTTGGAGGGCCACCGGGCCTCTGCTGCCCTGGTAGTAACTGCGAGAAACTTCCTGGTTGACCTGGAGGACCGCCCGATGACATCGGGATACCGTTAGTTTGAGGACCGTTCATCGGGAATGCCATGGGGCCTTGGGCGCCATTTTGAATTGGGCCTGGATTACCTGGCAAAGAAGCAGGTCCAACACCGTTAGGCATCTGGCCGTTTGGTGGCATCGATGCTTGGGGTCTTTGCGTACCGTTCATGAAACGATTCATCGCCGGTGGCGCCTGCCGCATTTGGGGGGCGTTGTGCTGTCTGAGGTGCTGTTGCTGCATCTGATGCTGTTTCAGAGGTCACGGTCGGTACAGTGCTAAGAACGTTGCAGCCCCACATACATGCGTATAGACCATAGCGTCATCCGTTCCTGTTCCGTTGCTTTTTGCTGTGAAAAGTACCCAAAAAACACTCCACCATCTGGAGTACCGCATATTGGGTTAGTCGAGCGCTTAGGGAAGAAGTCGAGGACGTACTCGAAAAGTAGACCCTGACGTGCGTTGATGGGGGGAGCAGAGTCTGGTGGTATTTCAGCCTCTACCAGCAACTCGCGAGCTGTTTTACGGAATCCACGCTTATTGCAATAGTCATAAATGTAAATGTTGAACCTGGGTGAGCAACCAACAAGTTAAGTTGGGGTAAGGAAATGAGATATGTGGCGACAAACATCCTATCCCCTTCCCAAGATGGATCCGACGAGGGGGGAGAGGGTTCACCTGCGGAAGGTTGCGCAGGCATTGATCCGGGAGGGCCAGAGGCCATGAAGAGCTCCGATACAGGTTGACGAGTGAAAGTAGAAACACAAGAAGGGGTTTAAAAGATCAGCAAAAGGGAGCACACGTATCGCGTCTGACGGGTGGAAAATAGAGTCGATGGCAGAGACTTTAGAGCTGTGTAAGCTGCAAAGATATATAAAGGCAGCTCAAGCTGGACAGACAGCGCACAGGTTTTCTCCGGCCAACGAATGAGGGAAAAAGGAAAGATATTACAGGACGACAACAGCGTCAAGATATGTCTGATCGTCGTCTACAACGACGGCGACGAAGTTACCTGGCGGAGGAAGAAGGAGCAGGCGAATGGGAAGATTGAATTCGTGCCAAACGAGAGGCACAAGGTCATACTAGATGGGAAATTTCCAATTGTCGCCGACTTTGCCACCAAAAAACTACACGCCGTTTGCCGCATGCACGTCAAGGCTTGGCTACGTATGTATACGTTCTACTTCCTTCCATTAGTCTACAATACGTTAGAACATAGAATACATGCGAGTTCTAGTGTAAACAATACACTTAATGAACCCCAAATCTCCATCAATGTCGGCGAACAACTGCAATCTGGAAGTCCCATCCACCAACAATGTACTTCACCTCCAACAACCGTCTGATCTCCCGCCATCCCGCCGCACTCCCCTCCTCGTCATCCCGATGATCTGTTACGACGTAATAAATGAAGTCTGCAGGTGAGAGAAGCGATCGCAGCAACGATCCAATTAAGAAAGCAATTAACGCTATGATTAGAACAGTCGACAGTGGGTATGTTGTCGGCATCCGAACAATGTGTGTTGTCATCGTGGTGGTTGTGCTCTCTGTCTCCGTCCTCGACAGTCCACCAGGTGGCTTCGGAACGCTTTGAGACGATCGACGAGAGGATGAAACAGACTGTGGCATTGGTGAAACAGCCTCCTTAACAGCTGATGAAGACCAACGAGATAGCGGATTGGGATAAGCGTTTAAGAATCCAAACAATCCGCTATTTGATAATGGCTGCGGCAGAACTTGCGCAACTGTACCGTTCTCGGGGGTATCCTATAACATCGTGGCTCAGGGAAGCCATCACATCCTTAGTAAGAAACTTACCAAGGGCGGCCCGTTTTCGATCACTTCCACCTTTGGCTTGCTCTCCTCCAGTGCTTCCGGATCTTCGTTGATATCGATAGCAGCGACGATAGCGCCATTATCGAGTAGGTCATCTGCACGGGACAGGGGCTCTTTGAGCTCGTCGGGGAACGAGTCCCCATCATCCGCGGATCTGATAATGTGCGTCAACAACGGCTTGCGCATGAACCTGATTTATGACCAACCTTTGGAGCACAGGCATACGAGAGACTCGATCATCCTGAAGCTCATCGCGCCCAAGTGCAGTTAATGACTCCTTCTCACTAGCAATTCCAACAGTCGCGCCGCCGACCTTCACACTCACGCCACCGTCACTCTTCCTGACACCCAAAGCAGGCATTATGATAGGCTTAATCTCTACCTGCACCACAAACCCTTTTTCATGCAAATCATTAAACCACTGAGGCTTTGGAGGTGCTGTCCTGATCTCGCCCGTAAGTGGATCTTTCACCGTAGATACCTGATATTGGGCGGTGGGCAAAGTCAACCTTAGGAGATGTCGCGGTGGCCGATCAGCATTCAGTCCTGATGAGTGCAGTGGCGAAGCAGGAATGGTGTATACGCTTGAACTGATGGGCAGGTCGGTTGTACTTGCACTGGAAGCCAGTTCCATGTCGTTCTCGCGGGGGGTTTCGAGGGAGATAAACTTCGCATTGTCTCGTGGACGAGGTGTAATAAGAACTTCGTAGCCCACTGGATAGAGTTTTGAGTCTACGACAATCTCGGCAACGAGAAGATCCGTGGAATGTCTGATTTCGCCCTTCAATGTAAACGCAGATGATGGTTTCAAGGGCTCAGAGGTAGAGCCTGCAGAGGCTGAAGAGGTCCTGCGAGGATATGGCGTGAATGAAGGAGTCGGAGATGGAGGGAGTTCTACTGAATTGTTCGCCCGAGCCTCAGGAGTAGGACCAAGAGTTGGCAGACCCACTTTGCTTGGCCTAGGAGTGAGATCATCAGGTTTACTTGATATGGTACCGGGCATCGTGAGCAACACAACACTGCGATGTGTTTGATTGGCAGGGTTGAAAGTCGACACGATCAGCTTCCGATTGTCGTCCTTCTTCCTTAATCTCCAAGTAGGAGCGTTAACTCCAGTGCCGTCTTTCTGTTCCGCCAAGACAACACCTGCTGCTGGAAGCCTCGTGTATGGCATGGGTGAATTGGCCTTCAGGTAGGTCTCCACAGCAAGTATCGACTTGGGGAGGGCGCTATTGATAAGCGAGTTCATTGCTACCGGTATGGATCCCGCGTAGTCCACCGCAACGACTCTGGTGCACCGCGTTGATGGAATGGCGTAGTTCTCCTTGGTATACGGGTCGAGGGTCTCAAACATCCAACCATCGATATACACCCGCCCAATCGGCAGAGCATAAGGATTGTACTTGGATGAAGAAAATGATGCGGCCGAATCTGGGTTGAAAGACGCGGACACGCAAAATATGACAGAACGAGCGTCTTGTGAGGGGCCCGTCTCTCCCGGTGTGAGGTCTAAACTTGAGAGTGGAAGCCTAGAGCGAGCCATGATAGACGCCACGAAGAACCCCCGATCACGGAAAGGAAATCCTCCTTTGGACACCATAAACGCGGTATGGCATTTCGACCCAAACCTCTCCAAGATCGAGGCAGAAGCGAATCGGACATCCCACTGCTTGCGACACTCATAGTTCGTCACAACAGCAGCAACCTCTTCTGCGGAGACTCCTTCAATGACTTTCTCGCCTTTGTGCACTAGGATGGAGGGCGAAATGTCTGTGAGTAATTTGCGATGCACTGACATCCCCTTATCTCCCAGCGATACCCATCCAGTTTTTGCATCGGGACCACCGCACTGGAGATCTCGCATCCATTGCAAAGCTTCCGCGGCATGTTGCATAGGCGCTCGTGATGCAGATGGGGCACCTCCGTCTCCAGGAGCCATTGCAGCAACCGCTTGCTGTGTCGTAGTCGTCGCTGATTCTACAGCAGTCGACCAAAAGCTGGCAAGCGGACTCGCGATCTTCGGAGATGTTAACCACGTTGATATTGGTGTGGGCTTCGTAAGTTCGGGGGGTTCGGGTGATAAATTTCTGGGGGTAGAATCTGAGCTATTCGGAATATCGCCGTCTGCGTCCCACTCTGCCCGCCGCCGTCGAATGACACCCACGACTGGGGGTTGGTCGAGCGGAACGCGTATAGGCTTGATGCGTTTGCGCTTCGCAAGTGCCTTAATCTCCTGCTCAGGAAGTTCTTCGACATCGACAATTACACGTGCCCCATTGACCATCACAACACCCTTATCTTTCCCAGGTCCCATGGGCCCACGGCGTACAATAGCCAGAAGTCTCTCATCTGCAGCGAACAAAGCATCATGTGTGAGCGTCAACCATAGCCCTCCTCCACCGGCGGACAATCGGTGACGGCGCAGGGCTGTGATACTATGCGGAGGGGGGTCGACGACAACATCAAATGCAGATGCCCACGTGTCCATGTCACAACGGATCTCGCACTCAATCGTGCGCATCGTGCGAGAATTGGTGGCTACGGCTGATTCATTTGCCGAATCTTCCGTGATGGTTGTGGATGCTCGGCGATTCTCTGAGCCTTCATACTCGACGCGAAAGGCACCCCTCTCGTGATCATATCTCATGTCGTTAGCTTTCGCCCCCGCAAGTCTTGTCACTACTGGGGGACCGCCGCACTTGATGACAAAGTCACCAACGCCAGCGAGAGCAGAGATCATAGCCTGTGGTATGCTTGCTTTGTTGGACCATCCTTTGGGATCTGACTGCTCGAGTAAGGTGAGCTGGGTGGTGCTTGGAGAAAGGGTTTCGATGGCCCATCCTTGGAGATCGACCTGCGTACGAATGAGAGTTGGGTCCTGAGGAGGGATGGAGGGGAACAAGTATGGGTCATCAGCTGAGAATGAGAAGACGTGGATTGTGGTAGGAGATTTATAGACAGTTTTCAAGAGCACGGTGTCTCGACCCCTAAGCTCAAGTCAGAAGTAATTCATAGTGATAACCAGTGAAATTTGCGCACTGTACAGGCCATGCAGATTTGGTCTTGAAATGCCACAATTGTGTCAGCTCGTTCACATCTTCGAGAAGCGTTGCATCCTCATGTTGCTTGTCCCAAAACACCCTAGCACCAGGCGAAACCAACGCGCCATACAAGTCCCATAATCCAAGGCCGACAAAGGTGGCTTCTGCTCTATACACCACCAGGGTCGGATCAATAGAATCCAATTGAGTCACTGACACCCCGCGTGCTTCCGTGGCTGCAAGACATCTGAGTACTAGTTCAGAAGCAAAAAATGAGTTCCACTCACTTCGCTTCCACTTCGCTTCTGGCTCCTGCAATAGTGACGAGAAGTATATATAACTCCTTTTCACGCGCGACAATATCGTTTTCTCTGCCGTCACAGATCGCTCAGTCATCGAAGGCGCCAGTTGTGGTCTTGTAGGTGTTGTGGAGCTCGATGCAACGGAGCTTACTGAGGATGACGTTTGGAAGCTCACATCCGCAGCACTGGTAGCATCTTGTAGAATTTGTTGTTGTTGCTGCTGCCGTACGAAAGATAACGGATCGCGTTCTTCGAGAAGCTGAATGGTCTGCGGAAGGCCATTCAGCCTGATTCCGCTGGAGGGCGCAGAGAGTTCTATAACCGCGCGAACTTTGACTATAGAATGATCGTCAGGAAGAGGCGCATGGGATATACGGAGAACCGTTAGTTCCGGTGGTTTATTCCCCATGATGGGAGAGGAAGGCTTCTGTCGCGAGGCAGTGGCGTTCCAAGGGAGATTTTCAACCTTCTGAGAGGAGCCTTTCACAGTTAGTTGGACATCCCACCCTTCATTCGATGACAGGACGCATTCAAGGGAGCGTACGAGGCGCCTGTGTTCCTTAATGACGTCTAGTCCCTGACCTGTCTCCCCTACATGGTCTTCTTCCTCCGAGTGTATTACATATTCAATGGAAAGAGCCTGTCTGTCGAGCTGAAACCGTATCTTCTCAATGCTAACTCCATATCCGTGTCCTGCAAGCACCGGTATGCGAGAGCCACGTGCTAGGACGGTCTTATACAGACCCAGCATCATCGTGCATAATTGCTGGCACACACTAGAAGCGGAGCCAAAATTCCAAATCGCACGAAGGTCATGCTGCCAGAAACACGTAATGCGAAGACGTGGCTGGGCCATATATGTCGACATGCGTCGTTTGATTTGATCGGCTGGGGAGTGCGGCTGTGGGGCTGAGGATGGTTGAACATACTGAATACACCAAGCGAACACTGAAGGTTATTAGCGAAGCGGGGATGGGACAACGAAATGACCTACATGCAACTTGTGATCTGACATATGGAGGCGATGGCCTCAAGTACGCTGGCTCGTCGGATGAGCGTGGTAAAGAGGTAGAGATATCTATTATCGTAGATGTATCCTGGTAGAGGCGTGAAATCGTTACAGCATCCCGTGGACTGGCATAAAAATCAATAAAACTCGAAAACGAACATAGATTTTACGCACTTGGCAGGCCAGCCAAGGGTAAAATTAGTCTTTGATATTCGTGTCTGGCGATCAAACATTTCCACCAAATGCGCGCTCTCAACCGAGGGGTCCCACTCCTGTCTAAGTTCCGAAGTGGTAATGACGGCCTTCCATGAATCGAGGGGAGCAGATTGATCGGTAATTGAGACGTCGAGGACGACTCTGTACACATTCTCGCCCGACTTGGTAGATTTGCGGTGGACAACGACGTCGGTGAGCTCAGGAGTTGGAGAGGCGCGTGTCTTCCCCTTGCCTGGCGAGGGTGAATCACTTGCTAAAGAAATATGTTTCCATTCCGATGAAGAATGAGAAGTAAGGAGCTGGCGGAAAGTGGCTTCAGAGCTCTCCAGTGCATCCTTCCAAGTTTCACGAAGTCTATAAAAAGACAGAGGTTGAGAAGTTTGAATGATGATGATGAAGAGAGCAAACCTTGTACCGTCAGTCATAACACAGAGACCTATTGAAACAACAGCGTTACTCGCGGAAGCTTAAGCTCTCCACCCACGTCAGTACTGAACACGCCCCTCCCATTTGTATAACCACGTGGCGACGGTGTCTTTACAAAAAAGGAAATCTAATACGGTTCTGGCGGCGCGGCGCGGGCATTCCGGATCGCTCGAGTCATGACTCGTATGCAGGGACTCTCTCGGAGTACTTACTTGTCGACGACGAGGTGAGGATGGTTACTAATCCAACGCCAGAGACTGCTCAAGTGAATGGCACAAACTTGTTCGTGATTCATGCTTGAATTCTTTGATTCTGCGACTAACACCAAGCCGCAGTCAGCCTGCAGATGTCAATGACAGGGTATTAAGCATTCAGTCACACGTCTCATATGGTTATGTAGGCGGAAAGGCTGCCGTATTTCCCCTCCAATGTATAGGCTACGATGTCGATGTACGCCTTTCGTTTCAAGCCTAACATCCTCTAACCGTGCCTAGTAGGCAGTCAACACCGTGAATTTTTCAAATCACACCGGTGAGTCTACCGCTAGGACCACCATCACTTCCCAGTGAATCTCTTTTGAACACAGGTTATGGACTCTTTGGTGGCACTAGAACATCTCCAGAAGATCTCACGTCCATCTTTCGGATGATGGAGGAGATTGGCTTGCTGTCTCCTCGCAGACTTCTCACAGGTTATATACCAAACGCCGCTGCTATGGAAGTCATAAAGGAGCTTGCTCAAAAGCTCAAGTCACGTAACCCGCACCTCATATACCTTATGGACCGTAAGTTTGCAAAAACCTCGCCAGTTTTTCTTATATCGATAATTCAAATACAGCTGTGCTCGGTGACTCAGGAAAGCTCTACGTGTCACAAGATGTAATACCCATATACAAGGAGATGCTTTCTTTTGCGACCATTATCACTCCAAACTGGTTTGAAGTCGAGTGAGCGTGTTCTCGTCATGTATCAATGATATCTAATACGATAAAGGACTCTTACCGGTGTATCACTCCTCTCCCTAAGCGCCCTCTGTAACGCCCTATCCATCCTACACAAGCACGTTCAACACGTCGTTATTTCCTCTATCCCCTTACAGCCATGGTTATCCGATGTCATACCTGAAACCATGCAGCCTCCGGCCTCCACGTATGACCAACAAGCCTATCTCCTCTGCATTTCTTCATCCCGCACGATAGGATCAAACTCCCATTCAACAGTGCACGCCAGACTCGTTCCACTGATTCCAGGATACTTCTCCGGTGTAGGCGACCTCTTTTCCGCACTAACTCTCGGGCACTTCAACCCATCCCCCACACCTTCAGACGGCAAACTTCATCCAGCAACGCAGACCCCATTGTCATTCGCCGTTGCCGCTGCTCTGCACAAGACGCACTCGATCCTTGAGTTCACCAACACCTTTGCAGCGCAGCTTCCGCCTGAAGACCGCACGACTACTGATGATGAGTATGACGCTGCTGAGCCCATACGAAAGCTCAAACGAATGAAGGCAAGAGAGCTTAGACTTGTGCAGGGGCAGCACATATTACGGGAGGAATGGAGGGAGGGTCAGGGGAAAGACCTGCAATTCTGGGATGGATTTTGGGACTCGTCTTAAGAGATATACCAGTTTCTGTATATCACTTATCGTATTACCCCCGGTCAGACTCAGCACACCTAACATTATAAATTATTCTTGCTTTTCCAAAGAAATTCTCAGCCGGCCTTAACATTCAAAGCCCTCTAAATCCGAAAGCACTACATTAGTGCACACCACTGAATTAAAGTATATACTCTATATACAACCAGGTTAGTAGTATACTACGACCCCAACCCACCCTGCTGCACAATCTCCATCGGCGTCACGCTCCCATGACTAGACGCTGGTATCGACGACGCCGCATTCCTCAGCTGCTCCTCCGTCATCCGTCTGCGCCGCTCCCCCACCTTCCATATCACGTCTTTCAGCTCCTGCACCACTTCCCCACCTGGCCCCCACCGCTCAATCTTGGACGCATGCTCATCAGTCCCAACACCCCCACCCCCGCTCTTCCGGTGTGCCCTTGTAAGCTTTATACGCTCTTCCCTCGTCATCTTCGACCGCTCACGCGTGAACGCCGGTAAGTTCCCCGTCTCAGCTTCAAACACCTGCTCGATGCCAGGTGGAGGCAAATGATGCGATGATGCTGCGAGCAGTAGAGGGGACGACGCATCATCTGCATCGAACATCTCCCCGGATGGTGAGATTACCGTAAGCCCAATGTCCTCGTTCTGTGCGTCCATGCCTGGTGATGCTTCATCAGGCTTGTCAGAGTCATCGCTGCCCATGTCGAGAGCCAAGGTGGGTAGGTCATCTGGTTCCTCTGGGGAGGGGCTTGGCGGGAGTATGATGTTCGTGAGCCTCTCCCGGCCGCGCTCACACTCCCGTAAGGCAAGACCAATCTCGCGCCGCAGACGTTCGTAAGCCAGAAGAGCAGGGTGACTAGGAGGCTCCCCAATGGAGAGCGTCAACGACTGTAGAGAATGCTCGAAAGGCGTCTCTTCTTTCAGCGAGGTCACACATTGCTCGAGATGGTCTCGTGCATCGTTGAGAGCGGAAGAAATAGCATCGACGTGGGCTGCGAACCGTGTAAGGTCACTGGGCAGTGGCGCAAAGGAGTTGATTTGTGAGATCGAGTGCGAAAGAGGGCGAGCGGGGAGTGGAGGCGATGGCAGTGGAGAGGCAACCTGTAGGTCGGATGACGAGTCTGATGCAGCCACGTCCTCCAATTGTTGTTCCTGTTCCTCCACCTCGTCCAGAACTTCAGTAAGTCTCGAGGAGGCATCGACTAATGTTGTCGTCAGGAGGCCCATGAGTGAACGCACGTCCTCCCAGTAAGCATCATCCTCGTCCCCTTCGAAACGAAGAGCTAATAAATGAGAACATGCGTATCGTTTCGAAGCAAGCGCGCTCTGAAGTGACTGCTTCAAAGAGGAAAAGGAGAGCGGATGCCGGCTTGTTTGCATACTCGTGTATCTCGAGGCAATGGACATTGTTGAGAGGTGCCTCGAGTCAGAGTTACTCCTCGATAATGATACAGCGGAATTCCGGGGTGGCGTCCCAAATTTGCTCATACCCCGACTGTGATGCTTTCGGCGTAGATCAAGAGCGGTGGCTCCAAAACAAGTATCCTCACCCTCTGGTAGCAATGAAGCCCCGAGGTGAGTGTCGTCCTCCTCAACCGCATCAAGAACTGGTTGTTGAGCTGATGGGCTCGTGGGCGCGCTCACACTACTTCTTCGTGATGGTGACGCAGCACCAAGCAGTGCGCTAAGATCTGATCTCCGCTTTTCTCTCCTCTTTGCAATGTGGGACATAGGACTTCCCGCTTGTGCAAGAGCAGAGTAGGACCCATTCCACGTGGACCTCTTGTGATCGCGGACGGAAGTAAAGTTGTCGTATTGCCGAGATCCAGGCAGAGAAAGCGGTCGGTGATTATCGCTATTCAGAGAGAACGTGAGTTTCATGGGTGATGGTGGGGCATACATCTCCGAAAGCTGCGCAAGCTCGGATGGGGATACAATAGCTGAAAGTAGTTGACGAACGTTGTCGCATTGAGTTTGGGTGGTGAGTAGGGAAGTTGATAGTGCCACCCTAAGCGACGAAAAAGTCATTATTGGGGAGGATAGTCCGTGAAAGATACTGTAAAGGACCCGGTCAGGACACGCATTTTGATGATGTCATATCAATTACCTTCGCTCTTCATTCTCTAGGGTATCAAGGGTATCTTGGACAACGGCATCCCACACCTTGCCCGCTGTGATTAAATTTTGGAGTGCTTCCAGAGACTGCAAAACGAGCGGTAAGTTCATTGCCTATAAATTGCAATTGGAAGGCTCACAGGTGTGATGATGTCAGGTTTAGAGTGTAGATCCAATCGATGAACGTGCATATAATACAGTGTGCTAACAAGCAACAGAACAAACAAGGCGTAAAATCGAGCGCTGAGCGCTGCAACAGAAAGAGTAATGAAAAGTGTTACGGGCCATACATGTGGTTCGGGTTCGGCGGGTATTGTTAGGGAAATTTGATCAGTAGCAGTGCTTTCGGCCCCGCTGGTACTTCTGCTGTGATTGCTCGCGAGTCTGCCAGGGATATGGGGTGAAAACGAACGGCGGTGTGGATGAGGGACGGGAGTAGTTGCGAAACCCGGAGATAGGAGGGAGGATGTGATGACACCATACTTGAAGCGCTCAGCAAAAGCTTGCGTGCGCTTCGAAATGTGGTCAGAAGTGAAGAGTGAGCTGAGGAACTTCATGGCATGGCAGGTGAATGAAGAAAGATGGTTTGACCAAGGATATAATAATATACGCGCGAGTTCAGGAACAGTGTTATGACTACGAAGAGTAAACATACCTGAAGCGCGCCGAAAATAACGAAACAAATTTTTTCGACTTGTGCACTGTACTTGAAGACTGCTGGCGACTCCGTGAATGAGTACTGGAGCATTGAAAAAAGTGGCCAGCTTCCAGGCATTTGCTCGGGAGCTTCACCCGAATCTGCGGCAAAGTAAGGATGAGCAGTGATCTACAAGGATGGTTAGCAACTGCACCTGTCAAATACTCTTCTAATGGATGTCCGTCATAGTAAGGCTGGGCCATGAGCTGAAGTTGAGGCGTTGAGTAACGATCGGTTGGCGATATGAGCACTGGTTTTCGTGACGCGTTCGTGAAGAAAAAACCGGTTATTAGGTGAAAAGAAAGGACAACTCCAATGAACTAGGATAATGGCGTATGATAGTATGCAATTGCGTCCTTAGCTATAATGCCCAGTTGGCAGTCAGCTTGCCTCCGAGGGGACAAACTGAGAAGGCTGTACTGCTATTTGCTTACCTAATCTTCCATTGTGTCACCAAGTTAGCATGTTGCCATGTTGCCACTCCTTCTCAAGATCGACCTACAGAATGAATTGTACTGGGAGAAGCAGCATGTCCTCCTTGAGTTGTTCATATCACTGAAATTCTATAGCTATCCAATACCTTCTCCTTCGCTTAGTTATACCATCCATGACGACTGCAATCCCTAGCAGCCAGGTGCGGCCCTCAGGCTCATGTTTGCTTGTATGTTCGATGTCCAGATTCTGCTCGTATGGAACCACCTGCTGTTGCAAATAGGACAGGCTCCACCGCTGCGGTTCTCGCCTTCTTTGCGTGTCGTGGCGGAAACACTAGCTTTTCACATGATCGGTGAGCGCTAACACTCGAGTGTTATTAGAATCCCTCCAGCGCGGAACCGCACGTCAGGTGCACCCCAACACGACCATTGGGCCCCGCTAGGCAGATTAGAGCACCAGGTGCACTCTATCGTGATGTCATGTTCTGACACGAACATCTTTTCTTTCCAAACGAGAAATCGATGATCAACTCCAACCGCACTAACATTCAGCAGCCCGAACATTACATGAGCTACCGGATCTACATAAATCCCCAGAAGTTCATACCAGATGATAAAATTGGCACTTTCGAGTAGCTGTCCAGAACACGCGGCTGTCTTGAACCAATACTCGTGGAGACAACGACGTGGCGTTCAAAACCCTCGATTTGCCGTCGAAGCTAGTTCCTCTTGCGATGATATCCAGAAAAGTATATCTCTAACAACACATTGGCCTCAGAAGTCCTGTGCTATCGGAATAGCACTCTAGCGTGCGTTTCTCATGCTCGGATGAAAGCGAACTAGCAGGCGCACGGGGATGATTCTCCCTTCCTTTTCCCTCGACGTCGACAAGCCCCATTCGCTCATGATCCCATACTTGAAACACTCAGAAAAACTAACCACGACGACCCTATTCCAAAGATCTGACGTTTCCGACAACATGTCTTTTTTGTTCTGCCGCATCCCCTCGCAAACTGCGCATATCGAGTTAAAATTGAGTTCACGGGCTTAAGTAAGATCGATTCGGTGCCGATTTGAATAACCTTCCGACGGATCTAGGAATGTGTATGAGCAGGAGGCTGTGAGATTGACGTTTTGGGTTGAATGCCAAGCACCGCCCCAGACGGCCTACAAGCTTGTGGGTGTTCTCTGGGATTGGACATTAAATATTGTTCAACCCTGACGAGTTACTGACCTCATACAGGGACCTGCGGCGCATCGCTTACACCAGCATAGCACAGGGGTTTGCGGGCGACGAAATACCCCGTAGGGATCACAACCTTTCAATTTCGGAGAACGCCAGATATATTAAGAATTCGGCCGAGTGCGTTGAAACTTGAAAGGCACGTCTCCGTCCCCTCTTGAGCACGATGTGAGTGTACTTGGTTTCAAAGCCTTACTACTTGCAGGATAAGCGAACGGCAAAATATCTCTCATACAAGGCCAGACATGAATGTTCTGAATCCCGACCATCGTCGTACATATAAGGACCCTCCATACAGACCATACCAGGCACTGACAGAATTCAAAAGAAAATGTAGGTAGACAGAAGCCTAAATCTTAGTGATAGCAACCTCCGATAATCGGCCTGGAGGTTTGGACTTCGCTAAGAGCCTGGGATTTCATATTCAACCCTGAAGTCACTGACGTGTGATGTAACATACAGGGGCTGGTAGAGGCTGGTCCTGTTGTTGTAATGGAGAGTAGTATATACTGTCAGCCTTTGTCGGCACAGCCATCGAACTCTGGAGGATGACATTGCCGATGGTGGCCTTGAATATTTCCGACCGCGAAATTCAGCGGGGCACAGACTTGGATCCTTTACAGGATGATAGCAACATTATAATACTAATGTGTACATGTATCGTATACATTCGAACACTATATGTCTACTCTTAAGACCAAGCACTTGTGGGGAATACAAAATAAATATGGGGACACGGAGGTAAGTTCTGCAACCTTTAATAATCGGTACAAACATCTACAATATATAAAACAGCTAGTCTGATCTCTTCAATCCTACTTGTGTATTTCTTTGGTAACATGCAATCACTTACATGGGATTCGGTTCACATTTCCTGATTCCACCTAAAGCTCTCTGCCACCCTCTGGGTCGTCAAGGTCATCTCGACCTTGAGGCGACGAGCAGCATGTTTCCTTCGGGTCATCAAGGCCATCTTCAGGTGACGAGCAGCATTCGTCTAGTTCAAATGCTTCAAGTTGTCGGTCTATCTCACGGCTGAGATCTTGTGTCGCATAGGTACGCGTTGGAAGACTTTTCAGGTTCAGAACCACGCGCTGACCAGCCACTGAAAGTAATGGGCCCGAAAACCTATATGCAATTAATTCACATGAAGTGACGAGGTCAATTTGATGACTAACGCACCCTTTGGGTAGGAAAGTGTATGGAGTCTGTCTCCTGTTATTCAGGAAGAAAAAATATGTCGTGAATAAGAAAGACTGACGTTCGCGTACACAGTCCTAAACATAACATGAGCAGATGCAATGAATTAAGAGCTCGAGCGAGTCTCACCAGGAGGTGACGATCGTGGCATTGTTAAACATACTAAACTGGTTCTTGTTATCGGAAATGTGAGATATTATTATTGTCTTATACACTCACAACAAAAAATATGATGGCTAATTAATTGAGGTCAATTATAGGTGGGACTCTCCAGATCCGCGTGAGCATGCTCACCATCTCGAACAAGTAATCGGAGGAGGCTGGAGGGGTAGAGACTCTGAAATTCCCTAGAGTACCTCCACAGACTTCGCACTGTCAAGACAAAAGTTACTGCGTCGAGAATAAAGCTTCACGATCTTCAGCACGCCCTGCGAGCACGGAACACAGCATGCTAACCTTCCGAGATAGCTGAGCCACTAGCGTTGCAATAGGGCCAGCGATATTTCCGTCAATACACCGACTTGAAATTATATAGTTACTAACTAACCATATATTCTTTAAAGTGACAGTCGATTAGTTTGCAGACAAGGTACAATGACAATCACACACCTGGCATCGCTGATGCGCAGATCTCGACTGAGTCGAGGTACTGATACTCCTCATCTGCCCGAGCGCAACTACATCAGAGAATAAAAAATGGAAAGCAAGGAGGTGCCCCACGAGTATCATGTATTGAACCAAGCGTCGTTATTCCCAGCAGAGCAAGGACGTAGAACACATAGCTCCCGACAATAATTTTTATGATGCTCTTCCGAGTCCCCCAGATGGCCCACGCACGTATGAGCACAAGTACTGGATATTAACTCTTAGACAAGCAACCATTAAAATGAGGTACACGCACGATGAATCGACTCTGAAGATAGCACCATAAAGTATTTAGTGACGATGGCAAACCTTTGGCAGAACTAGCCCATCCAAAGGTCAATGAATGTCTACTCGTGAAGCTGCAACATACTAATTGGGAATCATGTGCGAGGATGCCAGCCTCTTCGAACCGGATGGCAGTCTGCCCAACCAGGTTTCCATATCGGTTGATGAGGAACATGACTTTCACGATTGTCCAAGGGGCATTCCAAATGTACCGGATCTGGAACCGTTATGTTTTCAATATTATACATGTCAAGCAGCGGACTCACTTCATCAGTAAAGGTGAGAAGGTAATCATATATTAGCACAGTGTGGCCAGTTGCAGAGAGTGCTCTCAACGAAAATGTGAGAAAAAGGATGTCGCAAAAGACGGCGACTTACTTTCGCACCCAGATGTCGTAAAGGAAGTCGGACGATGGAAACATAAGCAAATGAACACCTAGCAGTATTTTAGCACAGATAATGATGAAGGCCCAGCAATGTCAAGAGACCCAGTGGTGATCCGTTGAGTTATATACACACTTACACTACAGAGGCATGCGAAGTCTCAATGACATGAGCAACGACTCGGAATTCTGAGTCGAACCTGACATGAGTCTGTATAATGATAGCAGGTGCCTCAATTATGCTGCCAGTGCCTGGCGAGCCTGCCAGAGGTATCGGTAAACGCTGAGATTTTCGAGACCAGTCACTGCGATGTTGCCAGGGATGCATGAGTCTTTGCAGCAATTTCACAGTTAAGTTGCTAGTAGTGTACAGATCGGGGAGAGTCGCCCTGAAGATGTTTACACAGCCCGTCAAAAAGTTAAAGGCTAGCAAGCGAGTGGTGTCACAAGAACTTTATCTGTTACTAATCAGATAAGATGGTGTGATACGTTCCCAGTTGATATAGTGAAGTTCAAGTTGCTAACATGGAATTAGACTGGACGCGTTTTCGCCTGCGTAGAGCACTTGGAGGACATTGTAAAGCCTTTGAATCAATTTATAATGATTATCTGATATAGATAAGTCAAAGAGATTTACATAAAGTGGTCCGACGGAAGGCACCGTTGGGGTGCACGTGCAGACCCTTGCTGCGGAGAGCGGCACACCTTCCTAATGCGTAAAATGATACCTGAGGCCTGAGCGCTGAGGCCACCCTGGCCCACGTGCCCAGCTCCAAGCTATCGCCATGAATACGATCTACGCTCAGGTACTTATAAACGTTTTGCATTCCGGTCACGTGACTCATCATGTACGCACGCTTGTTCATCGATTCTGTTGGAAACGTCGTGCTCTCAGTGTTAGTACCCACAAAGGTCCTTTCTCTCAGCATATTGTTGATTGTGTTCGAGTCGTGCCTCGATCCGAGACGTTTGACTGGCACCGACACCCTAACTTTTTGGTTTCATTATTATACTGTCTGATAAATTTTCCACAACTAGCGAGCTACAGATGGCACTATTACTGAGCAAAACACAACCGGTAAAGTAAAAGACATCAGAACGTTCCCACCCACCGTGTCTAAATCCGATGCAGGAGCGCTATCCCGACGCCCCCTGCGCGAACCACACTGGATCCGTAAATATCTGGAGGTGGGAAATCACCAGGGTAGCGGGAATGACGGAAACTGTGCTGATACAAGGCATCGCAAGGGTGGAGAGAGTCGTGGTCGGAAATTAGAGTTACTGTGCGCTGATTCAGGACCTCCTGATAACGCACCATGACATGGTAGCGTGGTTGCAGAGGGTCGCGAAATTATCACGGGAAGGATGACAGGGGTCACACCGAACATCATCCTGCCAGTGAGGGTCGCAAAGGGCAACACGAGGGCCGTGCCGAACAGCATCACGAGGGTTGTGCACGAATGGGCGATGCCGTCACTCAGCATGGCTCGAGCTCGATTATCTGATGGATCGAACTACTCACAATCTGTCAATGGTGGAACGGGTACGACTGCGAGGGAATCCCCAGGGCAAAACCTCTATAGCGAGAGGCTATAGCTCTATCTAGAGGACCGACTACGACGCTGCGCGAGACTACCGAATGCGAGCCAGGACTCCTGCTACTGTGCCAGGACCTCCAGACCACTCTGGTAATTACAATGGATCAACAATGATTTTGGTCAGGCGTGCGTGTGAGGTCTGACCTAGGCGGTTCATAATTGGATATATTGCGCGTTTCTGGGCAAGTAGTAATGTAATACCAGCGATCTCACATATACTGTTTGTATACTGTCAATATTTTTCAGTGGTATAAAAGCATGGTAGACTGGTCCGCGACCATCGATGCGGATACCATTATACAGAAGAGTCACAAGGGCCAAGGCAGGCTAGCTACTCATTAGTCCATCACTAGTACATACATACACCCAGTCGTAGATAGTCACTGCGATTGAAGGATACACCTGATACAGATACAGAATATAGACAGATATTTAGAAGGGGCATAGGAAACGCAAAGGAAATTCCCAAACAAAGGCGAGCACATTGCAATGGCCCATGTTCCAAACAAACATCTTGGTACAGAACAACAGCCTATAACAGACGGTTACCAAGTCAACCTTGAAACCGTATTTCCCATACTCGCCTACTCCTGCACAACTTCCATCTCTTCCACATTATCCAGACCTGGAGAGTCCGCCTCAGCAAATGCTTGAAGTTGCCGGTCCATTTCACGGCTGAGATCGCGGGTTGCGTAGGAACGCGTTTGAAGACCTCGAAGGTTCAGGACTAGGCGCTGGCCAACTACTGAAAGTAACGGAGTCGCGAACCTACATGCGATATCTTGACTGAATGTGATGGGGTCGAATTATAGCTAAACTCACCCTTTACCAAGGAAATATTTTGGATTCTGTAAATAAGTGAGAAAGAACGAGGGTTCGCTATGAATAAGGAACACTGACGTTCCCGAATGCAGTCCTGGACATCATAAGCCGATAGAACGAGTCAAGAGTATGAGCGAGTCTCACCAAGAAGTGACGGTCAATGCATTACTGAATGTACTAGCCTATTCGTGTTGTCAGTAACAAGACACATCATGCAGGTTTTTCATGCTCACGATAAAAAACATGGTCGCTATATAATCATGGTTAATTGCGGACGAAGCGCTCCATCAAAGCACGCTCACCATCTCGAAAGAGTATATGGAGGAGAGTAGAGTGGTAGAGTTGCTGGAATTCCCTAGAGTATATCCGAAGACTTCGCATCGTCAAGACGAAGAGGACTGTATCGAGGATGAAGCTTGATTGATGGCCTTCAGCAAGCGCGGGCACACAGAATAGAACATCCTAACCTTCCGACATAAATCAACCACTAGCGTTATAATGTCAATGAGAGTCCCTCAAACGCGATGTAAAAGAAACAAACCACATATTCTGTGAAGTGGCAGGCTATTAATATGCTGCAAGAATCAAATAACAATCACCTACTAGGCATTTTGGCTGTGCAAACATGAATCACGTCGAGGAACTCAAACTGAGCTATCGAAGCGCAACAATTGTTACAAATAAAAACAAAAACGAGGCAAAGTGACCCACTATTATGGTCGTGTAAATTGGACGCTGAGCCAGCCAACAGCATAATGATGTAGCCCACGTAGCTCCATCCGAGGATGTTCGCTACACGCTTTCGAGTTCCCCAGATAGCCCATGCACGCACGAGCACGAGGACTGAGGAAAAAATCAAAACCCTTAAGACGTGCAATGATTATCGAGCAGATGTACGTACTGTGGATCGACTCGGTGGATACAAACATAAAACAAGTGGTAAAGATTGCGAAGCGTTGGCAGAACTGGCACGAAATAAGTTACTCGATAGATGTCATGTCTACTCAGGAAATAGCAACATACCTCTTGAGAATTATGTGCAAGGAGACCAGCCTCTTCTAGCCGGATGGCAGTCTGTCCAATAAGGTTCCCATACCGGCTCAGAAGAAACAGGATTTTGACACATGTCCAGGGAGCGTTCCAGATGTAAATGAACTGCAACCAAGGGTATGTATTGCGAACATTAATATTATGCACATCACCCAATAAACTCACTTCTTCTCTGAAAGTTAGGAGGTAGTCGTAGACTAGTAACGTATGGCCTGCTGCGGAGAATGACCTAGACAACATCAGATGAAAATCCAAAGATGTCGTATGATATATAGACATACCTCCGCACCCAGAGGTCTTCCATGAACTGGGGGGACAAAGACATGGTCGAAACAGCTACAGCGGTAAGACAACGACGAACGGCTGTTGCAAACAGACCTGGTATAAAGATCTAAAACCTGGCACACTTTAATAGGATCCCAGACAAGTACGAGCCATTCCGGCTCTCAACCTTCACTGGCATGGGCAACCAACGTAACATTATGTAGGGGAGAAACGAAGTTTGAACCCAACCTGAGAGGGTGGGACAATGGCAGAACCTTGGTAAGCGACAAGACTGATAAAAATCGACAGTGCTCCAGTGTCGGGTAAAACACATATCAGCAGACACTAGAGTCCCCGCAGCGTAGACCACAAATGCATATGATTGGAGAGGGTCGCCCTGAAGACATTACGACAAGCTATGTAGCAATGCGATGTATTTGGTAGAAGCATATCATTTACGTCAGCGCTCGAATTGAGTGAAGACATTTTTTCATATGATCTGGGAGGTTCCATTAGAGTGATGTCGAACGGTGTATGTCAGGCCCAATGCGCAATACTTGTGTCCACCAGTGAACGCATTTGAATTAGAAGGCCAGGCGCTTGCACACTAAACGTCCTACAGACCACGCGTAAGGAAGAGCAATCAGGAAAGTAATCAAAAATAACAATACAGGCAGCAACACTGAAAAAAGCTCATGGTGAGCAGTACCATGGTAAGAAATAGGTATCGACGAGGAGAGGCTCGTTAACCGGCGAGTGAAAGCACATTCAAGCATTGAATGATCCTTCACAATGGGTAGGAGGTGGCGCAGGGTAGTCGGACAGCGCGCGAGAGGGTAAAAGTGTGTACGTGACCGGTTTTGGGCGGGACCTGATTATCACATAAACACTGGCAGACCAGCATGCACAGAGAAATATAAGGAAACTAAAAGGCAACAATAAGACAAAGTAAGTGACAGATGACGGGGTGACAGTACAGTTCGAAGACCGTACGTAGAAAGCAGGAACATGAATAAATAGAGTTGGATTCGATTGCGGCGGCGTTTAGATACCATCATAGGCATCTCCTTCTTCGTACACGGTGTATACGGTATCGGGCCGCTGGGCATTAGAGATGTCTCGCCTGCGGGACGCTGGGACCGGCTCAGGTGTAGACGCCGTACTAGCGGCAGCAAAAGGATCGCTAACGTGAACGGGTGACGGTGCACGAGGCGCAGCATCATGCGTGGGATAGGTTTCTTCCGCTGCTTCATCGTCAAAGGGGCTAGGCAATGAAGATTCTGATGGTTGAGGTGGAACCATAGTGGAATGTAGGTCACTGCCCAGCTGACGGGATATATCGGCATATTGGGCAGCCTGGAATGGAGTTACACTGGAACGATCGAGATTAACATAGTGAGCCTGAGGATCGTTAGGTATGGGGTATCCTGCAGCAGATGGTTGACGAGATAGGTATGCCGCGCTGGACGGTTGCCTGATGAGGTGACTATGGTCACCGTGAGGGGCATGCGGCATTGCCATCTGAGGATGTAAGGTATCACTGTAGGTAGCTTGTTGACCATAACCACCGTAATAGTTCTGATAATTGTGCTGAGCGTTGATGGCAGGGGATGCGTTGTGACGTTCAATCATGGTCGGTGGCCGGGGGTTGAAGGATGGTTCGGGATCATCCACAAGGATGGCAGACTGACGTTTGAAGGCTGAAGCACTCCATTCGTCTTCATCAGACTGGCGTTTGCGGCGCTAAAATTTAAAATGAGAAGATGAAACGGATCTTCAAAAATGTGACATACGATGCACCACATGATGAGGAATCCCAGTATAGCCAAACCAACAAGACAGCCAGCGATACCACCTACGACTGCAGTGGTGTTAATGGAGCCTGAAGAGCCAGCAGTCGAAGAAGGAGTTGCGGATGCGATGGTTCCGGTACTAATGACGATATGAGTTAATGATGCAAGCTGGGAGGTAGTATACAAAGTGGCTACTGCCGGAGGGGTCTACTGGAGGGTCAATAGTCTGTATGGGTGAAAAAAGGTTAGATACTGACCGTGGACAGCGCAATTTGTGGGGCTGAAGGTGAGGAAGTAGACAAAGTAGAAGTGCTCGAGGAGGAGGGGGTGCTTGAAGATATGGTTGATGAAGAGGTGGTTAAAGAAGAGGACGTAGTAGGGGTAGTGGAAAGGGAGGATTGTTGGGTAGAAGTAGCTACAGGGGTGGTGGTGGTCGGGGTGGTGGGGGTGGTAATGGTTGGAGCTGAAGTAGGGCTGGGTGCTAAATATTTTGTGAGCTCATTTCCATTGAATTGCAAGTACTGTAAGTGAGCTCACTGTCAGAATTCTGTGCGGCTGAGGTCTGTGCACTACTAGTAGCAGCAGAAGTCAAGGCAACCCCAGGAAGACTTGGGCTGAAACGAGCGACCAAGTGCATGTGGTTACGCCTTTCCAATTCCTGATCTGCATACATGATTGGTATTGGTTTTTGGCCGTGTTTTTGTAAAGAATGAAAGTGCAAAAGAATGAAATGATCCTGCAAGAGGATGCTAACGAAGACGTCCGACGACGAGGAATGAAAACGTTAGTCACACAATCATTGTAGTCACACAGTCACATAATCACACAGGCCCCATCAAAGCCCATCGATCGCTGCAACTGATCTGGTCGAATACCTCAGACCTGGTCAAGGTCCAAGTACCTACAAGTTCTTGCGTCAAGTGCATCAGGTAAACAATTTTTTACAATTAATCAGTTGTGATACGCGGCCTTTCACAGCGGCACCCGTTCTGTTCAAGCTGACCCAGCTAGCCGCCGCTACTAGGCTGGTGGCAGGCCAGTGCCTGTCTGCCAGCGCTTATTTATTGATTATGAATGTCGATCTTAGGGAAGTTCATACTGGTAACGAGGTTAGGACACATGGTATTTCCGGTTTCTAACCACCCTTCCTGGTCACCCAGAAGTCCTAATTTCGTTATAAACTTCAAGGTTCGGCTTTAAGCAATCCTTTTCGCCACACTCCCTACTATCGCATGTTCATCACATGCCACACCGTCTGTCTCTCTCTTTTTATCTGCTACGCACCGTGACTCTGGTAGTTTCTGCTCAACAGCAAGTTGTCCTTGGGAGTACCAATCCAGATATCGTCTACGTTCCTCCACTATGCAATGTTTCAAATATAGGATGCTCTAGTGCATGGCAGTGAGCCTTTCATCCCTACCACGAACTGGGAGTCGTTAACTCGTACAAGGCAAATATATATTGACTGTCCTAGCACTAATGGAACACCGGTAATTGTTACTACTACAACTGGCCCAATACCACAATCCGGGAACTTGGTACCCCAGTTGTTTTTGACCTTTAGAGGTGTGTCGCATTTCATTTCATCAATTGACGACTGTGCTCATGCTATGCAGCATCAACGATATATCTGCGCACATCTCCCTTTTCCAACGCGACCGTCAATTTCTCCATAACCGCTGATCCGAGCGGCGTTACAATTACAAATCAGGTCAATACTAACATCAACCAGCTTATCATCGCCGATAACCTGCCCGAGTCACAGACGTCGATATTAGGCATCACATTCCTCCAAGGACTTTCTCCCACCCGTTTCGACGTCGAGTCGATCACGCTCAACGTCACAAATAGCAGGTAAGCACCCTCTTGTCTTTGTCAGAGAGTACGCCAAATACCGCGATCCATTCGTCTGTGCAATAGTGCAACCTCCTCTTATCTTCCAACACTATCATTACCCACATCCAGTTTTCCTCCGAGCCTTTTGCCCTCCTCAACGAGCACAGTAAATTCGACTACCAGCCAGCGAACAGGCATTATCATCGGTGCGACTGTGGGCGGGGTACTTGGCTCTTTGGCCATATCGATAGCCAGTTTTTGTGTTTATTGGAGGTGGCGAAGGCGACGGATTTGGCGGTCGGAGGTAGATGTAGGAATATATCCAATGAGACCACGGACGACAAGGACTCAGTGAGTCAGTGACTGTGATACATCGTATACCTTATATCGGGACTTCGTATTTTGGTATAAACACTGGACACCTTATTTAACATACTGTAATTTATCGTACAACTGAACACTGCAGACCGCGAAATGAGCTGAAGCGACTTTCGAAAGCTGAGTGTATGAGCGCACGGTTTTGGTCGGACACAGCCGTCGCAGTACAGCGAGACAAGATCAGTGACATACATATCTATCCACCGCAATCCCAATCATAGACCATAACCACATTTTGTGCACCGTTCCAGAATGGACTCAGAAGCACCGCTCGTAGTTGACAACGGCACGGGTGTAAGTCTCTATTTGAGCTGTTCTTGACGCGCTGAATCATCTCAATCCCACCCGCAGTTCGTCAAAGTAGGCTACGCAGGATCGAACTTCCCAGAGCATGGTGCGTAAACCCCACCAAAGCACAAATATATTCCAAGTTGATTAATCCGAACATCCAGTATTCCCCTCCGTCGTAGGCCGCCCCATCTTGCGCGCAGAGGAGCGCGTGGGCTCCGCAGTGATCAAAGATATCATGGTGGGCGACGAAGCCGCCGAGAACCGTAATTACCTCCAAGTTACGCAACCCATGGAACACGGTATAGTACGCAACTGGGAAGACATGAAGCACCTTTGGGATTACACTTTCGACGAGAAACTCAAGGTCGACCCGCGTGGCCGTAAAGTGCTACTCACGGAGCCACCCATGAACCCTAAAGTCAACCGGCAGAAGATGGTGCAGGTGATGTTTGAGGAGTATGGCTTCCAGGGGGTGTATGTAGCGATCCAGGCTGTGTTGACGCTGTATGCGCAAGGTGAGATCTGTTCTGTACTGTATGGTGGCTGGGTGTTGACTGATGGTCGAGTGCAGGTTTAACAACAGGTGTAGTCGTCGACTCGGGTGATGGAGTCACGCACATTGTACCTGTATACGACGGATTTGCTCTCCCTCATCTCACTCGACGCTTGGATATCGCAGGTCGAGATGTCACGCGGTACTTGATCAAACTGTTGCTTATGCGTGGTTATGCATTCAATCGCACTGCTGATTTCGAGACTGTACGCGAAATCAAGGAGAAACTTTGCTATGTGAGGTGAACGTTTCGATGGTTTGTATTACTTCATGCGATTGAAATATGGAACTACAGCTACGATCTTGACCTCGACCAGAAATTATCAGAAGAGACGACGGTGCTTGTAGAGAGCTATACGGTATCTCAACTCTGTCGTCCATCGTCGTATTGCTGAGGCCCGTTACTACAGCTCCCCGATGGCCGAATGATCAAAGTGGGCTCAGAGCGCTTCGAAGCTCCAGAATGCATGTTCCAACCACATCTCGTGGACATCGATCAACCTGGCGTAGCAGGTGGGTGAACCTCTCATCTCTCCAGTGACACCCATCTCATTCTTCCACCCAGAAATGCTTTTCCAAACCATTCAAAATGCAGCAGTTGACACCCGATCGGAACTGTACAAGCACATCGTCCTCTCAGGCGGGTCAAGCATGTACCCAGGCCTCCCAAGCCGACTGGAGAAAGAAATGAAACAGCTGTATCTTACCCGTGTGCTGAATGGCGATCCAACACGGTTGAACGTACGTCTTTCGTCTTGTGTCTTTCGTACCTCTCGTTTCCCCCTTTCACCGTCACTCACATGTTCCACGCCTCTCCCAGAAATTTAAAATCCGCATCGAAGACCCTCCTCGTCGGAAACACATGGTGTTCCTGGGCGGTGCTGTCCTCGCTGATATCATGAAGAACCGTGCAGAATTCTGGATATCAAGAGAAGAGTGGTTTGAGCAGGGTATTCGCTCTCTGGATAAGCTAGGACGTGGAGAGAATTAACCAACGATTATGATAACTTACGACGGACAGGTAGTTTTATGATGGATCAAGCACAGTTCGTTGGCTGTTATGTATTCCAACGGGAAATGAAAAATAACTGCCCCATGGCTGAGTTGGTCACAGCGTCCGACTGTTAAGCGCAATCGGAAGGTCGTGAGTTCGACCCTCACTGGGGCAGAATCTTTTGTCACTTTTAGTACTGTACGTACAATGAGCTGCAACCGCTCCTCTTTTTCGCCGCAGCTCAAATCATTTTCATTATGATGACGTGGTAGAGGAGGCGATTACGATGTGGCAGGAATGTCTACAGTAGCGACATACCAACAAAGCAAACAAGAATCATGAATATAAGTTATCTACAGTTATCTTCGTAACTAGGGGTAGCATGTAACAACTCTTCTTGCTGCAAGTCTTCTACAAGTTATAAACAAACCAGGCACTTTTATCGCCCAGGCCTTTGGGTTCTTCCTCAGGAGTGCTAAACTGCCGCCTGTCGGCCTTTAAGCGGTTCTGGTGCCAAAAGTACGCGAGGGTGATGAAAGACAGTATTACCATGCCCACTGACATGATAATGAAGGTGATCGTAGCTTTTGTATAGTTGGGTGCAGGAGACAAGGAGCCTAAAAGCCAGGTGGCCAGGATGCCACCGGAGTTAGTCATGATAAATGCAATAGCGACAGAAGTTGCCCGTCTGACGTGTGGTGCACTGTTGTTCGCTACCCATGTGATGACCGGCGGAGCGCCGCAGTACGACCCGCTGATAGTCAGGAAGAGTGATCCATAACGTACATGATGTGATTTGCTCGCTGGCAATCATCAGATGATTTGTCAAGACAGGCGCTGGCAAACCCACCATAGAACATGATGAATCCGACAAGGTTACAAATAGAGAAGAAGATAAGCATGAAGCCACGGCATTTGTACCGATCCGATATCACTGCAGTGATCATCGAGACTGAAAGCGTAATAGTTGGCGTCTCGTTCACTGACTGAAAGTATGAACTCACCTACAAACGCAACCGCAAAGGGCGGTGCGCTCATCAGCTGTGCTTTATTACCGGTGTAACCCAGACCAGCAACGATCGTGGGCTCAAAGCTAGGGCCAACAGGTATTAATATGAACAAACTTGTGAGTGCCATGGACCTACTAAGCGAGGCCATACAATGTTGTACCTGAAGCGAAGTTCACTTGAGTACACCTATCTCCAGCAAGGCACACTTACCCATGAAAAACAGAACAGGCGCCAACAGCCAGACATGAATTGACTGACAGCACCGAATCACCTCAATCCAACTGAAGCCATCGCTCTTGTCGTCATCAGCAACGGCACCATCCGCCTTCAATTTAGCCATGACATAGTTGCGTTCCTTCGTAGATAAGAAGCGCGCAGTACACGGGGAGTTAGGAAGGAGCAGGAAGGCTGTCAATCCAAACAAAAACGTAAAGATTCCCTCCTATTTGAAAGGATGAGCTGCATTGAAGGTAATGAGGATGAGAAGCCACTGACAAGAATGAAGATCCAAGCCCATCCAGGTCTCCCACCCTTCCCATTAAGATTCATGATAGCAGCTGCCAGCAGACCAGAAAATGCGCCAGAGAGCGACGCAGATGCGAAGAACGTGGCAACCCTGGCAGGACACAAATCAAATATGCCCGAGAATACGAGGGAGCCGCATAACAAACCTGATCTGCATTCTCTCTCTTGGATAGAAGAAAGACATATAAAGCACAAGACCAGGGAACAGACCACCTGATGTGAGAATCGAAAAGGTCTGGCAACACGTCGCAGGGAATGATGTGCAAATACCATACCTTCCATGAGACCCAAGAAGAATCGACAGGCCAGCAGACCCGAGTAAGTCTTCACAACGCCTGTGATATTCGGTGGATTGGTTACTGCACGTCACAATACCAGGACAACCGGACTGGCCTTGCATGGTTGCCACAAGGCCCCATATAGTGACCATGGTTGGCAGCATCCACCGTGGTCCCACATACTGTTCTGGTGTTACCGTCAATCACCCATGAGAACCATAAGATAATACTTGCCTTCAACAGCAAGTTCGAAGGGAACTCTGCGGCGATGTACGGGCTAGAAAGTGCGCTGCGTCAGAGGACGTCAACTTGGTGAAATTGCGTGCTTACACATATGTCATGGTCAGAGCAATACTGTACTGGAAAAAAAAGATAGGTATCAGAACATAATACACCCATGAGACAGCAGAGTTTCACCTGGTAGTTGGTCATCTTGAGACTAGTCTGCATGCCAGCAACCCGAGCATTTGCGATATTACTCCGGTCCTGTTTGTTGATCCTGTTTGGTGTGGCTTCATAAATGATACTAGGCATCACTCACAAGGAAAGAGAGGAGATAGAACATAGTGCAGACGGGCAGCACCCATATATCTAACTTCCTCCAGACAGTCCCTTCAAGACGAGCTTTCTCTGCATCTGAGATCTCTTCGAAACGATCGACGTCCTTCATCGTGTCTGACGAGGGGGAGCCATGCAGAGTCTTTTCCATCCTGTGGACGTCGTCAGAGCCTACAACTCGGTAACTAAAAAAGATGCAATGTTGAGTGATAAAGAACAGCCGAATTTGGAGCCTATCATCATGATGAAGGCATATATATATATATATGTACTCACCTGATGCAAGGGTGAAAAAGCGCATTTTCGAATTATTCCAATATGTCAACTAGTGCTGATAGCGCCGATTGATTGATCAATGCATCAGGGACCAACTTGAAGGAGATTCACTCCCGCCGAGTAACAAGTGATGCCATCTCGGCACGGATAAATGATTGTAAGTGTCCTAATGTAGGATTCAGCTTGTATTTTGTATATAGCGGCGAGTACTAGCCTGTGAGTAGTGAACGTAACATTTAAACAATTGCAAAGTGCCACGTGCAAAATGGTGCAGCATGCGACGTGGGTATAAAGCTTTCACCATGTTCACTTACTAGTGGGAATACCTTGGACACGTTCTCAGTGACAAAGTCAGACAAGAAGAAACTCAGTGCATCAAATTGAAACAGAGGGGCTAATTTTGCAACAGATCTGCCGAAGTCACATAACACGCCTTGCCCGAAAACTCTGCCTATTATTGACTTGTAAATAAGGTATACACATCGAGCTGCAGCGAGCCAGCGAGTTAGCCAAAAGCTCATGTCTAACAAGCACCCAATATAGGCACTCCCATCTATGCATGCAGGAGTTGTTATACATAGGACTTACCCCAGGCAAAATCCTTGTAAAGGTTTCGTATTACATCATTCATGGTGAGGGTTATGATCCTGGGGGGAGGTAAATGCCACGCTCAAGCGAAGCGTGGAGCAACTCACGTATGAGGGGTGATACGCAGGAAGTGTGCAAGTGAACCTTCCCGTCAACTGATTCAGCTTTTATAATCATCGCTAGGCCATCAGCACGTACCCTTATACCAACCGAGAACTCCCTCAGTTCTGAGGGTTCTCCACAGACAATCTATTGGACTCTTGTACAACGCCCCTACGACCCTCCCATCGGGTAATTTCGTGGTGGGCTGATTGTACATTCTCGTGAGTGCCTGAAAGTGACACGTCGGCGGTGCAATTCAAACAAAATGGGTTAACTTACGGTATCGGCGGGCTGCATGACAAGGCACTGCAAAGGGATTCAGGGATTATGACGGCATGTTGTGATGGGGCATACCACGCAAACACCAGAAACCGAGCTGCTCGCAAGAAACGTCCATACACTGTCACCGGGTAGAATGGCATGTCCGACGAGCTGGTTCTTAGTCCAGTTATATGTCGGTAGTTGAACAGATGAGCCCATTGCTGTACGAAGAATAGCAGCATCCATCCCACGGACGTAACCGCGAATACCCTCAGTCCGCCATATTGTAGTTAGGGCATCGAAAGAGTTCTTATAATGGCGTTGTGTTCCTATAGGAAGAGCGGGCGAGTATGCCTTGAGACACATCAGTCACTGGTAAATGGCAAAGAAGTCTGATCACCTGCATACGAGCCTTGATGAGAAACAAGGGATTGCCGATTACAGCTGTGTTCAAACGTGTAAGCAACGTTATCTATGGGCGCATAACAAACACACCTCCGACAACACCACTGGCTGCGCCAGCCACCAAGGACGTGATAGGTATCTGGTCTGTACTCGACCAACCAAATACACGATTGATAGTCCGTCGAAATGGCTCATAGAAACCTACAGCAGCCTCAAATCAGGGTACAAAATTGCTTCATATGTCACTCACTTAGGCGGGACCCATTTAGTGGGATCTAACCTTGAAGTAAGTCTTGATAGAATCTTAATGGAATTCTTTTACTTGCCTGATACGCATACTATAGTGCACTCTGGTCAGAAAGGTAAGCTGAAAATCTTGAGATCGACGTACCGCTACACCTAGTCCGCGTTGCATACCGCGGATACCTTCATTCCTCCATGTCTTTATCATGGCGTCGAAAGCATTATTGTACACCTTGAGACCGCCGCCCTTGACGAGCTCTCCTTGCAACTGCAATCGGGTCTTGGCTACCTGTTTTCTCCAGAGTAAGCAACAGATTCTGCGCATTGGTTTAAACGCCAACCTCGGCGGGGTTGGATACTGTCACCTGCGTTTATGCATCATTTAGCAAACCAATACGAGAAGTAAACAAACTACTGACAGCTATGCAGGCTGCCAAGCCACCGCATAGAAAGCTTTCTGTGGTTGAGAATTGATGGGAGCCGGCGGACATGGTTGGCACCTGCGGAAGCAAAAGACAGCAGAAAGGCAACCGAACTGTGATAGCGCGCCTGAGCAAAGAATATGACTAAGAGCGTGTAACGAAAGGTGCAAGTACCAATTAATCAAATCCCTTCGCGTTAGCTATGGGCCTATGGCGCATTCCCGAATGCCACGAAGGACTATATCAGCTCTTGGTGGTTTCCTGAATTGATCAAAATCGCTTTTGGTAATTTATTTTCTTGATTAGACATTTTATAAACTTAATATATATTTGTTGGACAGACTCTGCTCAGAATTTTGTTCAGTATCTAAAAATTCAGAATGGGAAATTTAATTTTTATGTAGCCTGAACACTCGATGGATTCAGGACGATGTTGCTTGTGGACTTGTCATCAGTCTGCAGCGCAGACCATTCCATAGAGGTGATCGAAATGTCTTCTCCGAATCCATGCCCACATCGACCTCGAAATACAGCTTTGAACTCCCCTCAATTGTAGGTATGTACTATGTACGTATTCTGGCTTTACTTTGCTATGTTCTAGCTATGGTCTCATCCTATAGTACCTAAATGCTTTGCATGTCAAATTTTGAGATCTTGTATTTGCGAGGAGTCATTTGCAGGGTATGTATGATCTATGCCATGATGCTATGATAATATTGTGATCGTCGATGTGTTGAAAAAACCCATCCAACTACAATATGTCTAGGGTCCTAATGTTCATGATGTCAATCGAAGCCGTGTCTTTGACCTGCGCAGTGATATTATGATCCGACGCGACCCTCTTGTATTCTCCAACGCGTTGCTGCGCTAGTAAAAGTGCGTTGAAAGCCTGCCCAAGGTGAACCATCAAACGCAATGATCGCGAGTGAACTTCCGAGAGAACTGATAACTCCTCTTCTCCAAGTGAGTCGTTAGACGACTCGGACTCAGACCAATCCTCTACGCTCTCCGCGTCGTCTGCAAAGTCAGGCAGCTCAAGGAGGCGACGATCCCATGGGCGGACAAGAAAGAAAGTCTGTCGAGTAGGCTTTGCGCGCGAGAACTGAATTAGTGTCTCGTCCGTGGTGATCTGCAAGTCCCGAAGCCCATCTGCTTTCACTCCATACGTGGAATGAGCAGCGTCACCGCGCCTCCGTTTGACTTCCGTGACACGGAATGCGATGCAAGGCAGACGGAGTCTGCAGTTTGCAAAGAGAGGAGTATTCATGTTCTCGAGCAGGTCGTACAGTTCCGAAGCTGAATCCACAGCTACAATGTTTTGCAACGAAGAGACCGCCGTCTGAATCTCATCCTCAGACAATGATGATAGGGAGCATGGCGGGGTTGCATATGAGGTGATGCTGGCTGGAAGACAACTATTGAACTCGGACGATTGTCCGACCCAGTCCAGGGAAGTGATTTCGCCCGACCGAGACACGATCTCCTGCAGGAGCCGCCCGAGCGCGCTCTGCTTCCTCTCGCCATAGATTACAGGTAGGTGGATGTCGAAGATACCAAACAATGAGTACGCGATGTCTTCCTGCACAGTGGTGACGCGCTTCGATGCCCATTGCAGTTTCTCTCGAGCGTCTCTCATCCCTGGACAGAAGGAGATCAGGGCCTGTGGATCTATTCCCGTCGCACTCTCCAACTCCTCCATGATTGCTGGGGACTCTTTGTGGTTGGGAGAGCGATCGTCGAGATATAACGACCAATCCTTCTGATAAAATCTAACGACTTTCGGAGCGACGAATTCTTGAAAGGTCCATCCCCGCTCGTTCCAAACACTTCTCGCCAGTGCGCCAGGTTGGGATGAAGGAGGGACATCGGATAGGTAGACGATGGTGAGCGCTGAGTGACGGTACCAGACGAACATGGAGTTGACCGATTCTTGAAGCTCGACGTTGTTGCTCTTATCGATGCAGCATGTGTCCATCCACGCCCAGAAATACCCCGCATCGCGAGCGATTTTGCAGAACGACTGCAGTTTCGCGATGCCACCAAGTCCCTTCAACTCGCGCACATTTTTATCCTGGATGTGGTGCGGCAGCGCCTCCGTCTCTTCCCACCTGTGTGATAGCAGGACGCAACGGAAGTGCGTCGCCACCACCTCCTTGATGCGTTCCATTTGGAGATCCTCACGCTTCGTTATGAATGACAAAAGGTCTTTGTACTCTGGACTGATTTTGAAGAAGTTTAGCTGTGCTGCTCGGTCGCACAAAAGACCCGTTGAGGTGTTGAGCAGACGTAGCGGAGCATATTCGAGTTCAATCCAAACAGCCCTTTGAATAGCATCTTCTACTTCGGATGGACAGACATACAGCTGACGCAGATCTGCAGAACGAGATAGGCATTTTTAAATTCTGCAGGGATTTTCCATGGCTTACCTCGTATGTGCGGTTCGGGAGCATCATCCAACTTGGACAACATGGCTGTGAAGGCCTCGATGGCTTCGTCGTAACGTTGCGCACCACGCAGAGCTGCATGTGTCAACTGGTACCCAACATGAGACAAAGGATTGAGTTCGGTGACCTATGCATCGCCGAATTCAACATGGTCTGCGAAAATGTACATGGACCGTCGCACCTTTTTCGCGTCGAGGAGCGCATCCTCCCATAGCATTTTGCTCAAATTTGCCTGGCTGCGATTTGCAAAAATGACATCGGATGTAGATAAGTCACTATCTATACATGCATCGCGTGCTGTGGTGATAGCTATAATCTGCACGAAACATGCTCGAATTGTAGCATATACGAGTCAAGGACGGAAACATGCCTTTGAGCGATGGGCGTAGAGAGTATGGTCGTTCGCATCAGTGTTAATATCTTGCGTGAGTAGTTCTTCGTCAGTAGACAAGTCTCCATTTATGCATGCATCGCGGGTTGTTGTGATTGCGATATTCTGCAAGCAGCATGCTCGATTTTTTGTGTATGAGTCAGGGACGAAAACATGCCTTTGGATGAATACCCTGAGGTACTGCCCACTCCGATATTATGTTATCGTAACCTCCGCTGAGGATGTGGTTGCTATCCAAGCAGAAAGTGACGCATTCCGTCAAGGATGAGTGCTTGAATATGCCAACGGTTTGTCGATCTGAGAGTTGCCAGAGAAAAACGTGTTGGTCATCAGATGCGGAGGCGACGAATGTCTCAGCAGGATGAATGGCAATGGCATTGATTCGGGCAGTGTGGCCCGTCCAAGGATCACCGACCTGCTTCCAGGTTGTTGTAACCCATTCGCGTATGGTAGGATCGTCCGTATCGCCACCTGTGAGAAGGTGTGTGCCATCGGGCGTCCATGCGAGTGACGAGTTCATTGATTTGTGAGCCTCGAAGGATTCAACGCATTTCCTGGTGCCTGAATTGTAAATTTCGACACTATCGTCTGTTGCGACGGCAAGAAGTTCTCCAGACGGTGAATACCGTATCCAATTGACATAATTACCACACTCGATGGGATCTCCTTGCCGCTCCCAGGTTTTGGTATTCCACAGTGTTGTCGTCTTGTCATATGAACCAGTGGCCAGCACTGCTCCATCAGGAGAAAACTCCAGCGAGGATATAGTATGGTAGTGGGCTTTGATTTTGATGAGCAATTTGCTAGTTTCTCCGTGCCAGACGATGAACTCTCCAGAAGCATCACCGCTTGCCATCAATTGTCCATCTCGTAATACTGACAATGTCCGCACCCCATCACGATGACCCTCCATCTTCTTCAACACAGCACCTGTCTTCAAGTCCCACAGATGAATCGTGTGGTCGAATGAGCCCGTAGCCATCCGTCGTTTATCGGGGAAAACTGCGACTGCCCTTATGCTTTGTTCATGACCTTTGAACTCTCGCAAGGGCATGGTGGTTGTAATGAGCTCCGGCATTTTACTCGATGTTGATGGTGTTAAGCAGGTTGAGGTGGACTTGGAGGGTTTGTGTTTCTCTAAGGTGCAGAGGTGCGTGTGTTATGCGTTTTATGATGCTCCACTCCTCACCCTACCTTCTTTCAATAGACGCCCAGGACACTTAAGGTTGTTTGCCTCCACGCCTCTCACATCGGGGTCAGCAAAATGATTTCAGAGTGCTTTACATGTTGTACAAAATGCGAAGACAATACTTCAAACTTTGGGCGGCTCCTTTGAACGCATGCATATAGCTCACTGCGATAGGCTCTCAAGATCCCTGTGTGTACAAGTGTGCTCAGAATTTCGCTCAGTAATGATCTTCCTAACATGAAAGAATGGGAAATTGTAGCCTGAACACTCGATGGGTCCAGGAGGATGTTGCTAGTGGACCTGTCATCAGTCTGCCGTGCAATCCACAGATCTGCAGTGCAGACCATTTCATAGATGATCGAGATGTCTTCTCCAAATCCATGCTCACATAGGCCTCGACTCGAATCCAGCTTTGAACGTTGAACTCCCCTATTAATCTATTGTGGGTATGTGCTATGTATGTATTCTGGCTTTACTTTGCTATGTTCTAGCTATGGTCTCATCCTAACTGCAATAAAGCAATAGGCTAGTTGTACATGCACGTGCCAGTGCACCCGCCGTGGTCAAACAGACCCCGAGGTCGAGATTACAACAGATGAGAATGTCCTCCAGAACATGATTACAATACACTGAAACCCCATACAATGATAGGAGTGAACATGTTGATTCAGATCTAGAGTACGAACGTGGGGCAACTTCAGACGGGTCCAGACCAAGTGGCTAAAACTGCAGTAGACTCTATCCTGCAAATCGGACTTCGAGCATTGGATATGTTCTTGATCTACGAAATTTGAAAACCTTCGGCATGAGTTTTATAGCTGTGCAGTATGACAACAAGTTGCAAGTCTCCCGAGGTTGATGAGGGTCGATCGAGGTCGACGTGAGTATACATGTAAAATCGCCTGTGATGCTACATATCTGCATTCCATGTTGGCTTTTTCACATTTTCATGCCAAAATCTCATGCCCTTCCACATCGCATTGCTCTCCCATAGTGTTGCAAATCGAACATCGTCCCGAGCTGTGGCACGTTTTCTCGTCCGTATAAGTTGATCCATGTGATAAGTTACTGTGTCACGTCTGGAATCAATAGCTTCGTCTAGACGTCTAGGAGAGCTGGAGGATCCTACTCGCGTGCCTCGGCGTGTGACGGGGGATACGGTTTCCGTATTCTCGTGGTTTTCGCTACTGCAGGTTCCTGGAACCATTGAATTGCCTGGTTGTTGTGTAGCTGGAGGTACATCCTGCGCAAACTGCTTGAGAGTGTGATTTGAGGCTACCGGCCCAGTAGAACTTTCGCCATCCTCCCTGCTCCTGACTTTGGCAGTTGCAGCGACTGGTTCTAAATGTAGAAGAGGGAAGCGCGAACGGTTCCTGGAAGGAAATTGTAGTCGGGTGAAGTCGATGGCCAGCACAGGAGGAGAATCTTTGAGATACGTAACAGAACTGGTATCGTTCGCAGTGAGAGTATATTCAGGGGTATGTTCATAGGCACAATCAGTATCGACGGCCTTCTCGTGCCCATGATCATTTCGCAAAGAACAGTGCAATGATGGCCCCTGAGATTGATATTTTGACACAGCTTTGAAGGGAGGAGTAAGGTCACGAGGAGCGGATAGCGTGTGATCGTCGGGGGGAGTATTTACGATGCATATATCGGGTGTAACCACACGAGTTGATCTAACGCCGTGGTTTGTAGTGACTGCGGAGTCATGTGCTTCTGTAATCGCGATGTCGGATAAAGTTTCTGTTGACGAAGACGATAGCTTCAAGGAGAGCATACGGCGTTTGCGTGGACGTCGCGGGAGACTGTGTCCTGATTCACTATCGTAATGCAGTGCGTTGGGGTAGGGGAGGCTGTCTCTCTGGCGCTTTCGCTTCTGGAGGACGTTCGGCGGGATGCGGCAGAGATGTGTTTGGGGTTGACTCTGTGGCACAGAAGAATGTGATACCCGTTGTGGATATCGAGGGCATACTACTGAGGTGAGTATGTGATCTTGGATTCCCGTGCGACTGAAAGGTGGTCCAGCATCAAAGCCATCTGTGGGGAGGTACATGAGATCCCGGAGTGGTATGAGATGTGGCAGGGAGATATCAAATAGGCAGAGAAATTAGTAGGGTGCCATAATAAGTAGAGTATTTGACGGTCGAGGAACACAGCATGAGACGTAGTAATCGTACCATCAAGTACGTAGCCCACAATTGGAACACGAAATGAATGCGCGACGCAGTGCAAAATCCAGCTCGCATGTATCACCTACATGGAGCGTGCTTAACAAGGAACATATGATGCTAAAGAGGTAGCTCACCACTATCGATCTTCTGCAAAGTATGCTTGTCCACTCATCTTCGCGACTGACGGCAAAAAAGTAAGACGCGGCAGGACTGGTTCCTCCAGAATAGATTCTGCCTCCATGAGTCACTGTACGCAGCAGGTAGAGCAGTTAGTCGCAATGTTGTACAGTATCACTTAGATCCTCAATGATATGCTTAGAACTTACACCATGTCTGAATGGTTTCTTTCGGTACCCGTATACTAAAACACGCTGGAACACAAGTCAGAGGTGCAGAAAATCCACCAGCAAAGGTATCGGAACCAACACACCTGTGTCGTTGAAAAGCATCTTAGTGGAAAGATGAGTGCAAGAAGATGCTTATATGCGTTCGGAAAAGGATAACCCCTGGGCTTTGCCTGGTCAAAGATTTTTCGGAGTTTGAACTCGAACGGTAATGCCGCGAAGTTCCTCAATGGCAGCCTTAAATGCACATCAAGCTCTACTTACTTACAGTTGGTCAATATAGGCCATCGAACTAATGCCAGCAACTTGATGCCAAATCCTACTAGTCACTTCTGCTATTTCCATGTGGCCTTAAGATTGTACCAGTGGGACTGGCCTGAACATTCTCATCTGCATCATTCAGCACGTCACCCTTACAGTTCAAAACCGGGTGGGGCATCTAAACAATGTTGGATTGACATCTGGAACTACCGTCGGAATAGACCGCCGGCATGATGGGCGGGAGAAACAATTAGTTTGCAGTCGGCCTGGCAATCGAAAAGAGAATAAAGTAAAGATTGATTATCGATATAGGAATTATGACTGCGGTCAAGGAATGCACGGTCCGAATCATTCACAAGAAAACGTCGGTTGTATCCGCCATGGGCAAGATGAATGGATCTGCGCATATTAAACAAGTATCCTTAGACCCGATCACGGCTTGGTCTGCTTGTTCCCGAAGTTAATTGAAATGAACCTTCGTTAGCACTATGCACCATTTGCTATTGCCTTTGTTTGTACGTAGATGGATGCATACCAATAGAAATTGCCGATGCTGGTGAATTACGAAGATACGACCCGCGCAATAAAAATAGCACCAATAGAATGACCACATGCATCAGAATAGTTCTTCCAAGTAGAGGTAAAAGAGGGCGTATCCAAAAGACATTTCAATTATTGGGCGTGCGCATCGCAAGGCTGGTAGCGACGAGCAGGTCCAGCATGAATTTCCCCGACTGTCGTAGAGATGATTACAAAGACCAGGGATCGCAGAATGAAAACGTACGGGTTGAACAACAAGAACACCATCTTTCGTCACTGACATGGATGTAACACGATATGTCGCTATGAGGGTGTCCTCGGCATCCAAACACTGACGAGAGCTACGTGATAAATGCTGGGATGTCCGACCCGCTCCTGTACGCACCTCCATCGCAGCACTAAACAGTCGCGCGGTCGTTTGCCAGCGATACTCCTTATGGTCGGGACCCTCGAAGAAAACCGTTCCGTTGAAGGCTCCACGCTTCCTCTCCATCTTGACTGGATATCTGATACCAGTCATGGATAAAATCGTGGGCCCATGGTTTACTTCATCCAACAGTGGTGGTCCATTGTACGAAGACTGAGCTCGACAAAGCAAGGGACCATCTGAGCCATCAGCATGCAGATCAAAAGTCCAGTGCATCGAACTCCGAGTGTTCTGCATGAAATATCTGTAGCGGCGATAGACAAAGTAAAAAGAAGGGATCGAAAATATCCTCAAAACTCACAAAGTTGTGGTCTTGTCTTCCCCTTTGATAATCTTGCGATTACCAAACACACTCCCGAAATTGTAGATGTGCAGCGTAGTCGGTTGTTCTCTCGATGTGTTGAGCATGTGCAATTACCCGAGCCTGAAAGGTCCTCAAGGTAACAGTGGGAATCACGTGTCCGCTATGTACTCCTCCTCCAGAGCGTATTCGGGGCGTGTCCAGTCTAGAGTCTTTTAGGCAACAAGGACAGGATATCACGGGCTTTGTTTAAGAGACAAAGATTCCTATTTCAAGAACGTCAACTGCATCCGATTATCACGTCTGAGAGCTATTTAAGGACTTCTTGAGGGCAATGGCATGTGGAAAGCTCCGTAAGCAGATTTGAAGATGAAATGGGAGACGACAAGGCTTACCGTTTTCAGCATGACCAGGCTCCAAAGCTCCACGCGCCAAAATTTGTTGCCAGATGAGGGCGATGTGTACAATTCCCCGATAACGAGCACCATAATGGTCCAAGAGCAGCTCAAAGAAGTATATCCGTGATTGAGCGCACAGAAAAGTTACTAGTCCAACCCCGCTGACCAGTGTCATATGTTTATTCATAGCTGAGGGAGTAAAACAGGTCCGCTGCTTTATCTACATCTTCTTGAGTTTCCCCGCACCTCGATTGCAGTTGTCGCGCAGAGCAAAGAGCACCGAGCTTCCCCGTGAGAGTGGTGATGTCCGAATGAAACAGCGTGCGACAGTTGTATAGGGCAAGGAATCGACCCAGTACCTGCTCTGCCAAACCATCCCCCAAAGTGACTCGAAACTAACCTTAGGCGGAGTTAACCATGATCGAATCATGTAAGAACTTCTAGTCGGAAATTGAAACCACCTAGTGCCGTGAAATAGGTAGTACTGCCCTTCGGGAGCTCGAGATGGAAATATCGACCTGGTCCACGTTATTCCTCTAGTCACGGTAATGCACACTCGGCCTTCCGGCGGTGACCGCGAGAACAGTCGCGCACATGACATGACACCCAAAGATAAGACCAGCCAGCAGAGGTGGTATCAGGCGCGCCTGGGTCGGAATGTAAATGATGCCCAGTCTTGTGCATTGTAAGACTGCGCAGTCATCCGGTGATCAATATATTCACTTGACCGTAAAAGTGTTGGCTTCTTGAACGAATCAAAAGGCGTGCTGTGAAATCGGCTGGAATCGGAATCACTGTATTAGTTGTAGAGTAAGCAGCCGTACTGAAGATACCACACGCACCAAGTTGGGCAGAATATGAATATGCTATGCTCTCGGATATCGGAGGGCGCTCTCTTCCTAGGCTGAATGTATTGCTTCTTTGGAGATCGCCCGGAGATGAAAGACGAGTTTGTCTTGTATTCTTGATTGCCAGCAAGCACCAAGTTGCCAGAAAGGTCTAAGATCTAAGGGATGACAGACTTGTAATTCCTCGTGCACAGTGACGAATTGAAGCAAGGCTTCAAATATAGTAAGTAGTACTTAATAGTAGGAGCCATGTTACATGCAATTGTCATGCAGAACAGTCGTCTGGCGACAACGTAACCTGAAACCGGGCGTCAAAGCGAATACGTCCAATGTCTACCCAGTATACGGATCCTGCCGTCACGTAAGTTGTACTCCAGCGCATTGCCTGCGCATGTGATCTTCTAACCGAAGTTCATGAAGCTTGACCGCCAGGTGGATAAAGTCTATGGATGGAAATCTGCACGAAACCGACTAGGAGCCGCCATATCGGAACAGTGAAGATCGTTAGCTACATCCATGAGATCCCAGTCGTAATTGAGGCGGTTTCTCAGCCCCAAAATCGATTTCTGAAACGCAAGATGGTTTAGGCCCATGCTAGAGTTGGGTTTGGGGCGCCCTAGTACTTGTACCAGTAGTAAACTTTTCCTAGCCTCTTTTAGATTCCGCCCCAAACAGCAACACAAGGATTATACCCGAATTCAGCGCTTCTGATGTGAAAATTTACGAAAACCGAAGATCTATTCACATTGCACATACGTTGACTATCCAATTACCAACCCCGTCGCCGGCCACCTTTCCCCCACTTTTCAACAAGGAACAGAGCCATATACTCGTAAATTTCTCTAAACGCACCTCTGCGAGTAATCGAGTGATCGCTACTCGACGGAAAACAGTCAGCGTTGTACTACATGGAATGGATTCCAGTGGCGAACCTGTCTGTGAACATCCTGAAACGGAAGTTTCTGACTTGGGCTTCTGTGAACATATCCAACAAGTGAGCTGTGTTTGCATAGTGGACATTGTCATCTCCGCTGCCATGGGCGAGCAGATAGTCTATGCTCTTGAAGCCCTCTACATGTGAAACGGAGGCGTTGATATATCCTCCAGGATTATTGTCAGGCAAGCCCATGTACCGTTCGGTATAAATAGAATCATATAGCCTCCAACTGGTCACAGGCTAGACTTGCTAGTGAGTGCAATGACTTTATCAGGGAGAGATGCACATACAGCAACGGCCATGGCCAAAGTGTGAATACCGGCATTTGCTTCAGCAACCTTGGAAGCCATGAACCCGCCATAAGACTGCAGCAGTCGATTGGTATATTAGCCACAGAATCCAGAATATGGCTCACCCATCCCCAAATTCCGATACGTTTCGGGTCAACATAGTCTTTCCCAGCCCAGATGCTGCCAGATGTTCAATACCGTATCTCATAATTTCAGGCGCTCCGTACCGTGCAGCATTGATTTGGTCCTGGGTCTCCCAGAAGCCAAGATTATTCCTTACTGGGTTGCGCAGGTGCCGCCCCTTGAATCCAGTCCCCCGACCGTCCACGACGACGACGACATACTGAAGTGTGCAAACGAGATAGTCATGCCAGTCTCTTTTGTACTCGACATCGACCTTCTGACTCTCTGGCCCACCGTACCTGAAAGCATCAGAAATAAGTGCGTTCGCTTTCAAAAAGGCATGCTACAAACACGAGGAATAAGACTGGGTACTTCGTCCGCCCTGAGTCATCCATGTGAGGAGGGCGCATTTCCTTTACGTTTAGCTCTGGGGGCTGTATATAGTTGCATCGCGAGAAGAACGCATCAAATAAACTAACCAAAGCCATCACTGTCTATCGTCGAATATGTGACGGCGGCAGTTTCAAATTCAGTTAGCGTGGCATTTAATGCAGAGTTGTCCGTCAGAAAATAATCGAAATCTGAAATTAAGATGTAAGCGCTAGTTGTACTGATAATGGAAATTAGAGATGACATCACCACTATTGCTAACATCGACAATTCGCTGCCATGGTACAGCTGGTCCCTTATAATTAAGAAGATAAAATCCGGCTTCAGGTGAAAAGCTAGCACTGTATGAAGAGGGTGTTGATTCATCTGTAAGCGAGATTGGCTCCACGTATTCTGAAACTAATGGTGAAATGGGGATTGAATAGATGTGACGTTGAATTGATGATCGTGCGGCTTGGAAATATCTGTAGATGGGATATGGGCGCAATGAATCATGAAGCTCCGACGGGAATTAAAAAAATAGTAACTTACATCAATCCTCTTTGCGTATCTACTGCTTTAATGCCCCCTGTAACTTCCCATGGGCCGGAAGTGAGGAAACGTGGAGTATTACTCTCGGCAGGATCGAAAAGAGCAATATGGTTGTAGCCGTCGTTTGGTACAATATCAAGATAGGCAGATGAATCCCCTGAACGCAGGCTGTCCGGAAGAGGGAAAACATTTTGGGCCTGCAGTGAGCTTCTCAGTAAAGGATGACTACGCAATAATGCGAGCCACTTACGCTTTGAATCCAGCCCTCATCACCTTCCTCACCATCACTACCAAGCCTTCGGACTACCGTTCCGTACACGATGTCCGCAATTCCCATGTTTGTCAAGTCGAAGTACACGACGCTACCATTGTCTGCAGCGCGAGTAACCTCCTTAACAATGAGCGTCGATTGACCCACCCAGGTGACATCCATGATAATACTGTTAACTACAGGGAAGCGACCCTCCCAACTGAGCTCGGAAGTATAGATTTCGCCGGTTGAGTCCGAAGATGTTTCAGATCGTTCGTACTGTGCGACATCGAAAACATGCACGGAAGCAAGAGGGTTGCTGTAGCCTGGTTTGGGGTATTTGATGACGACATCTTGGGTATATGGAACGACAGTATAAGAATCATCTGTGGGGTTGTAGATCGGGAACCGAAATTCGTCAACTTCGGTTTCATCGAGACGTAGAAAAGCAATCTTGCTCGAGTCGGGAGACCACCACAGCGCGTAGTCTTTCGACAAAACCTCTTCTTCGTATATCCAATCAGGCACGCCATTAAATAAAGATGTATTCCCCGAGCTAGTGACACGAATGGGAGACGTAGAAGCACTGATGGAAAGCTATCAGAAGGCTTTGTTGTACGAACATCGAAACGGTGCTTACGACGGAGATGGGAGCACGTATATATCGTTGGCAGCAACGAACGCGATGGATTGCCCAGTCGGGGACCAGGTGGCATAAGCAGTGACTGGGGGATGAGTAGGCGGCACCAATGGGTATGTCACTTTAGTGTTCAGATTATGCACGTAGTAATTGCCAAAGCTCGAATAACGCCATTGCTAGAAGTTGCACATCAGCATTCAAAGACTATGCTCATGGAGAATCTTGACCTTAAGATGGTCGGCCTTCACCAGAATATACGTCATATCCGGCGAAAGCTTCCAATCTGTCCAGTAAATAATGTTCCCCTCATCCTGGACAGCTCTAAATTTAATGCACGATGGCTTTAGAGAAAAGGGCGCTTACGTCCTTAATATCCATCATGGAAACAAGGTTAGTCGTTCTATTATTTTTCAGGTCAACAAGCTGAATCTGGCCATTCTGGAAGATAGAGAAAACTCCATCGCCGGCTACGAAATATCTCCATGAGGGCAGAAGTTGTTTAGTGCTACAACTGACCTTCTGGAACCCAGTTCACATTCTCCCCCGAAGCACTGAATGTTCCGTTAAATATATGGTCCAAGGAAAATTTCCTGGCACCTGGTAGTCGATAGGTTTGTCCATTGTAGAGAGATGTCGCAGCAAACAGTCCAATTGAGGCAGAAAGAAAAACCAGCGATGCTAGAGAGATGATAAGGTACTTTAGACTAGCGGGCCTCTTTGATACAATGTAAGCAAAGAAATGAGAGCAATGTAAGTTATGACTGACTTTGTTCCCTCCTACCAGCAAGCCGTTTCCCGGCTCCGTGTCACCGAAGACATTCGTGTCGTCCGAAAGAGCACGACCCTGCTTCTCAATGAGACCCTCGCTTTCGTCAGAGGAAGGCGCGTCGAAGGAGCCTTCTTCGTAGTATACAGAAGGTCTAATGGCCAGGTCTGGGTGTATTGCAGTAATCCTCGAGCGAGAGGCCAGAAGACCGTGAGGGCTATCGTTTGAATTGTCTTCAAAGTCCTCATCGCCTCCATTGACATGCCTGTAAGACATTGCCGCACGCCAAAACAGACTCTTCGTAGCAAGAAATAACTACCGACTCTCTTGCCACCTCAACGTAGTAGTACGACCGAACAGTGAATGAGAATTAGCCAATGCTAAGCGCTACGCAGTGCGCACCCTTTAATTACATAAGCACATTATGGCTTCAAGTGCGGCAGACAGCCCATGAGCTGCCTCAGACTTGAGCTTGAAGCTTGAAATTTTGAAAGCTGACTTAGTATTGTAGTAACGATGGCGGCGTCATCTCGAGCATCGAACGCTAGCTGGGACCCAATCCTCATTATATCTCAGGCATGTTCTGTTCTGTTCTGTCCACATTGACCTAAACCGTCTACATCCACCTTAGATTATTTCAATACAAACTCTCCATTATCTAACCCTCTCCGTCCTCATCCCTCCATTGTTGTCCATATTTGCGGAGGCAGGTGCACTCGTCTTTGAAGGAGGGGCAACGAATGTCGGTGCGTCTCATAACCGTTGAGTCATAAGCTATTGTTGAGAGGAGGCTACATCAGGGATGATAATGGATTGGCGAGAAATGGCCGGCCGTCCAACAGTACGCGGAATGCAGGGCGAAGACAGGTGGGACGCTTACTATGGCGCCTGGAGCGGTGGTAAACAACTCGGTTCCGGGTGGGAGGAAGGCAGGTGGGACGGATGGACCGACCCTATGCGAGGCTGGGTAATAGCATTCTCATGGATGATCGCATCCTTTGCAGAGTATGTGTTGTACAGTCCAGGATGCTTGCCAGAAACTGACCATACTCAGCATATACTATTTATGTATTCTCATTCGACGACCGCGTTTCATCTTGGATTTCGCGCTCACACTCGGCTTCAGTCACCTCGTACTCACGACTTATTACTCGGCTTCAATACCCACTTCCTTGTTCTTCTGGTTTGTCATTTTCGCATGGTCAGCATCAACAGTAATAATCGCGGAGCAACTTTGCGTGAAGAGAGAGATGGCCGAAGGATTGGTTATATCTCCTCCGAGGGACGAAGCGGATGATTTGGAGATGGGAGAATTGCTTCGCAGAGATTAAGTGAGTCCCCGTGTCGCCCAGCTGCTCGTAGTACTGGTCTTAATTAAACTGAAGCCCCTTTGGATACACAATAGCTGGCGATGTCCACCACCATCTAGATCTTAACAAGGTTTGAGTGGCGTAGAAGATATCACCAATTTGTTCAATGCTTAGCCTTCTGCAAAACTCATTACCGCGTAGGTGAGCTAAACTAGTTGTAATTTGAAACACTTGGCAAGATACCTAATACCTGGAATTTATTGCGAGCTTGAGGTTAGTTGTTTGGCTTGAATTTACGCCACCGACGGTTCTCTTGTTTTGAATTTCCCAAGTTCGTGTGGCCCTGTTCTTCATCTCGATCCGGTCACCGGACTACAAGGTCCCTACTATGTTGGTAAGCGGTGGACTTGAACATGGCCCTCCGGAAAGTCTCCTCTTCATTTCCGCTGGATGCTCGGTCCGCCCGGGAACCTTCGTTATTGCGCCTACATACATATCAGTCGGCTGTATTTTTTTTTCATATCCCAGCATGTTCTGCAGGTAATCACTCTTGATTGATAGCCGCGGAATTGGCGTCGCTATCTTTCTTGTTTGAAGTCAGTGAGTAATATGGCTGCCCACTCCAAGACGTCAGGCTTATTTGCCACTAGCTTGGGCGCGATTGATGTGGCGGCTTCGCAAGCGATGAGCTTTGAACCTGCATGCATTCGCATGTCATCACGCAATTACTTGTGGATATGTTTTAAGTGCAGAGTGCAAATTATTCTCACCTATTTCATCAAACAGCTGTTCACTTGATTTCTAGCATGGAGTCGTGCTTGAAGCAGTGCACTCACGTAAGGTCCGTCACAAATAGCCTAGGCTATTGGATAATCCAGAGTACCGAAATTCTGGGCCCTTGATCTACAGTGACGGCTGGGAATGAGATAGTTGGTTCGAGGGATATTCTAATGTATTATTGCATACAGGATCCTCCATGCCGACTTTGTCATTCCTACCGCGCATGGCTCGATATTACTGGGCCTAGAAGAGCTCCCAATTTATATATGTCAACGTGTCTTGGTGCATGGTACGCATGTTGTGGAGCTCTGACAGGGGCTGGGAACGTATCATGTGGTACCTTCAGGAATCAGACACCGGAAAACTGTATCACTTGTGCGGTGGCGATGGGAATATGACTCCCTCGTTTGAGTGGGGTGCGCGGTCTGCATCTTGCTGAGGCGGTAGGGTTACCTGTTGCATTTATCAAGATCATGAACTTTAGATTTCAAAAAGGAGGCGATCTTGTGACAGATAGCTTTCAGTCTAGACAATACTTTCAGAACGATCGGTCAAATTCGTTTGTGAAATTGTGAAGGCCTCGACTCACTAATTATGGAAAGATTTGCTCTTAAACACCGGCCGCAGGTGAACGTCGTGAACACCGGAGGGTAGTCAGATGTCTAGGCATACGCATAACTTTAAGGTTGCCTTTGCAGTTGAAAAAGACAGTGATTCTTGTTACTCTTTGTGACCGCATTCTTTTCCAGCTATTTCCGACAATCCAGTGCAGACTTAATGGAGTTGCGCCGCCTGCCCTTTGCCCACAGGTGCCCACCAGAGTCCGTGGCGGCGGCGGTTATTGGTTGACGCTGGTGATACCTTTTGTGGCAACCAATTGGCTCCTGTCCACGTCCTAGGCTTCGTCTGTCTCGTCAGGATTCAACTTGGTCTTCGGATCTGCTGGCATCCGGAACCAACTCGGAGCTACAGTTAATTCCAGGGGCGCAAAGCTGCTGGATTCCATTTCATATGATCCTACCTTCCACTCAGGGGGGTTTCCCCTGTGGAACTTGTTGACGAAAGATCATAGGCTCGTCGTTGCTAAGCCGATACTTCCTCCCCGAGAGCCGTTTGCCCATGCGACATTTGAACTCAGAACTTGATTACGAGCGTATTACTCTTCGGCCGAATTTGTCTCACAGGTCAGCTCGGGTCCAATTACGAAACCGCGGGGTAACACCAGAGATTGTTCGGTTCGTATACTGTCGTTCTTTTGAAGGCGAAAGTGGGCTTTATGTAAATGTAAGCACCACCCACAGTGACATTCGCAAGACCTGAGCTTACAAGGAACTTCAAAAGGGAAAGCCAAATGGCCCGGGTATGTTTCCACGCGAATAGCATGGGACAAGTACTAGTACCTGAGGCCTGAGTCCTGAGTATCGCCAGACCGAATAAGCGAAGGTCTGTGATTGCTCCGCCACGGGTCGCAGGACTTGTGGCGAACGCCGTAACGAGTCTAGTAGTTATCCCAGCTGAGGGAGTACCGCCTTGAAAGTGTCCTAGACCTATAGATAAATATTTGGATCTTGGACTTGAGGCTGATGGACGTAAGGTGCACACTGATCTGAGGCGTTTCATTGAATGAAGTTGTGATGGGGATGTGTGCCAACCTGAAGCGTTTACTTACTAGCGAAATTTATGTGTGGCTCTTATCTTGTGACCACCCCTTTTGGTTGTTCCGCTGCCCTTTTCAGATCGCACGCAGATTTATCATACTCGCTTTCAATCGGGGAAGCAGCTATTAATCCCGTAATTCTAAGATGTACAGTCCGCCACCCTGTATGACACGAGGCGCCAATAAAATACCTTAAAAGGCCGTCCGTAGCGGGAAGAAGTGCGCCTCCTCCTACTTTTTCTAATACCCTCATCCTCGATGGATGCACTCAAGAGTATGCTGTCCCCACTGGGGGTCGGTAGTGCTAATGCGATACAAGACACTCTTGTACGTCGTGTCCGTCACCAGCAGCAATGAATGTACTAACGCACAATGTTCGCGACAGAAACTTGTTGTCATCGGCGGGACTGTTGAGACAGCCAGAAGAGCCTCAGCAGGAGCATGGCATACTTTCCTTGACTGTACGGAACGCTCGAGAGTTCACAGACTGTAGCTAACATTTACATCCGCAGCCTTCTTCTTGACGGCACACTTTAGTCAAGAAGACTATCCGTATGACTGGTAAATTTCATCTATCGAAGTCGTGACCAAGTTCTTACCTTTGTGTTTGTAGGCTTATGCACTGGCTTTCGAAGGTGGGCAGCAATTCGAACATCATCAATCATGAATGGCATTGACGCTAAGCACAGCAACCGGCCTGGGGACGCAGCCGTGAATTTGAAATTACCACCAGGACGGTTGGCCGCAATGGTCTCACGCAATCAACGACGGGTGACCTAGATGAGGAAGATGAAGACGAAGAAGAGGATGCTCTCGTACACGGACGTCGGAAACGCAAAGTGGCGTTCATGCCAAGTATAGGTAAGTCAATGCCCGTATATCGGTTCCACGTGGTTGAATATTTTACTACTAGATACGACTCACACCATCTATTACCGTGGTCATTGGCTTCGGGTATGCTATTACTATTCGGTAATGTCCTCGGAACACTAACATACTTTAATAGATAACTAGGACTAAGCGCTACCCGGACTACGGTCATGGTTCGGCTCTGAAGATTAGGTCAAATATTTTTTATCATCAGTGTTCGGCAACGTGCTTATCGCCCTACAGCGTGATTGCTCGCAACAATGACATTTTGAAGAAACTCGTTCTCGAGGCGAAGCGCGAGTATGAGAAGGATGCCGAACATCGCGTCCATATTTTTATGGCCGATACGTGAGTCTAGCCTTATCATTAAGGTACAAACGAATCTCATTCCATTTCAAGGACTTACGGCTGTTGGCGTTGGAATGGAGCTCGTCAGAAGCGCCCTATGAGTTCTATTGTGTTGCAACCAGGCGTCAAAGATATGCTTCTGGCTGATTGCAAAGACTTCCTGTGCTCTGAGGATTGGTGAGTGAACTTTCATAATTAAATTGTTCTAAGAGCATCAATTACTTTTTCCAGGTATGCTGAAAGAGGTGCGTGAGATGGCGTAACGTTGAAATCAGACCTGACGACACACAGGTATACCGTTCCGCCGTGGATATCTGTTGCACGGTGTTCCTGGAAGGTTCGTATGATTCATGTGCTCTAGTTACCACCGGTACTCACGCTCCATTGGTCATAGTGGCAAGACTTCATTGATACATTCATTGGCGGGTGAATTAGGTCTGGATATCTACGTTGTCAGCTTGTCATCAAAGGGGTAAGAGTGGCTCGAGCCTGAGTAACCGACTATTAATGTTTGCCAAATTCAGGATGAGTGATAATACACTGACAACATTGATGGGTCATGTACCATCCAGGTACGGTTCTCCGTCATCCACGGTCATTTCTCGGTATTCATTTTATTATTATAACAGATGTATTTTGCTTCTTGAAGATCTGGATGCCGCGTTCACGCGCTCTGTCAGTCGTGATGCATCGTCAACTGGTGCTCCCACAGCATCTAACACCAATAGCACAACCACTGAGACTAACGATGGATCAACATTGAGCTTGAGTGGACTTTTGAACAGCCTCGATGGAGTCGCCGCTGCAGAAGGCCGGTGGGTTACTATGGCTCCCCTCTGAAACTGCGCCACTAACATGCCTCGCCAGACTGCTTTTTGCTACGACTAACCATATTGAGCGCCTTGATCCAGCTCTTAGTCGCCCAGGACGCATGGATGTCTGGGTGAATTTCACACATGCGACAAAATGGCAAGCCGAGGGCATTTTCAAGTGTTTCTTCCCCTCGAAGCCTGCTGGTGTCGCTACCACATCTCCACCTGAAGAGGACGTTGACACTTCGCAGAAAAACCTTCCCCTGCCAAAGCGCAAGGCGCCCAGTCACACTATTCCTGTGCTTGATGAGACTGAAATTTCTGAGCTTGCTAAGCGTTTCGCAGATGCTATCCCAGAGAACGAGCTAAGCGTAAGTTTTCGGAAGCGATGATATATTTGCCGTTGACATCGTTTCAGGTCGCTGCGCTTCAAGGTTACTTGTTAAAGAATAAGGTTCGCCCGCGCGAATGTGTCGATGAAGTTGCACAGTGGCACGTATACATAACTAGGGAAGTGCATCACGAACTCAACTATCTTACAGGATCATTGAAGAACGCGAGACTCGGGAGAAGCTCAAGAAGGAGAAGGCGGAAGTACGTATGGTACAATATCTGTGTGACTTGTGCTGAATTTATTTCAAGCGCGAGGCGAAGGAGAAGAAAGAGGTAAGCTCCTGTGACTCGATCGGTCCTATTGTGATATCTGACCATGGGATAGACCGAGGAGAAAGAACGCAAGGAGGTATCGTGCTTGGTCCTGTTCCGCTGAATGATGTCACTCACAAAGCTATTCAGAAAGAAGAGAAGGTTGCTAAAGAGGTAATGTCCCATCAAACCCAATTATGCGCGTCCTGATGGTGAGACAAATCGTAAAGCAAGAAGAAAAGGATGCCAAAGAGAAGACCGAGAGGAAAGAACGTGCGAAAACCAAAAAGGCTCACCGCGCCGAGACTGCCTTGAAGTTGGAAGGTACCTCCAGCGCCAGTTCTGTGGCTACAACCGAAACAGTCGTTGTCCTGAGCACCGCTGAATCGTCAAGTTCTGAATCGGACAGCAGCAACGGCGGTATTGAGGCAGACACTGAGGAAAGCATAACCTCAGAGGAAGAACCCGACAAATCCGCCGATAATGCGGGATCTGGTGATTCTGCTGTCAAAGATAGTAACCATTCTAAGGAGAAATGGGTCGCTGTGAAGGCTGACTCATGAGCTGAATGACTGTTGACACATTGCCTTGTTAGAATCCGGGGGGCATGTCATCACCGCACTTATCGCTATTTTGCATCTTGGTCCATTTTGTGACGATCGCTTCGAGCTTGTTGGTACGGTTTAGATCTCGCAATATTTACGCAATCTGATATCCGAGTGCACATATGCTACGTACTAGTTTTGTTATGGTTAACCTCCTAGCTAGTGCACTGTCAATCATTATCACACATGATAGATAGTATTTCAGTAAACCAGAAGGAGTCTAAGTTGATGAATGGTTGCAATACTCAGTAGAGGTAAAGCTAAAGCTATTATATGGGCTTCAAATTGACTTCCGAAAGTGTTTTGAAAGCTTCTTTGTATGCATCCAACAACGCTTTTACCCTCGCCCGCTCGGCGACCAATGCCTCATCCTCGTTCAGTAAATCCGCAAAAAGCTCAGGCTTGTATAGAGATGCGACCAGTCGGTTCTGCACTTGCTGCGAGGTGTAGTTGACCAGGAAGTGCATGATCGCCTTTGGTATCAAATCCTGTATGCTCTGGCGGACAATCGAGAAGTATGATGCAATGAGAGATCTTATCAGTGACGTCTCCATCTCCTCTCGCAGAGTGATTTGAGAGCCAGGTTCCGAAGACGATATCTAAAATCGTATCGTGAATCCTCATAAGAGAGGTATCTGTACTAGTGGGCAAAACACTTACGGCTTCGATATGTTTCCCCAGGCTCTTCATGTCAAATGCGGCGTTATTGCCATCAAGTGTCCGCTTGCCGGCCATAAGACCGGTGGGGCCTGCAGTCTCCGCATTTGAAATGTCCCTGCCTGTGGGTAGCGGCGCTGGACCATGGGATCTTTCCACGGTTGATCCCGCAATCGGCCCTGGACCGTTCTGCCCAAAGAAATAGTTTAGGAACGTCTCTCTTGCAGAATGCGGGGAAGTTCCTGGTGCTCCTGGCTGCGTTGCTTGGGAATGCGCAGAGGAGTGACGGGGACCCTGAACAGGATGCGGCTTAGACGATGATGCTTTCGCAGTCGGTGCCGAGCCCGTGATTCGTGTGCGGTCATGCAGAGTGGATGACACGGAGCGCCCGTCACGAGAAAGGACTCCATTTGCTCCCACAGGCTCCTCGGTAGATGACTCATCCTCGTCTTCTAGCGTGGGTGCGCCATTTATAGGCTCGTTACTTTGGGGCTAACAGCAAAAGAAGCGCATATTGAGACATCAGAAAGAGACAAAATCAGAAAGTGGTGCGTACGCGTGACGGTTGCGCAGGTTTGGGGGCGGGAGAAGTCGCGGCTTGTGCGGCGGCCGCGGAACCCGATATGAATGCAGGGTGGTTGGTGTTGATGTATGCAGCTTGTATCTCGATCAGGCTCTGTGCGTATTCTGATGTAGGTCCGAGTCGTTCTCTCAAGAGTTCTGACACACATTCAATTAGCTGAGCGTGAAGGCGGGGGAATCGCTCTAATTCCTATTGAGGAGTTTGAATAGGTAAACCTTGATTAGATAGTAATAATGACTCACTACGCTTGTGCAATTGTGGCAGATTTTGACAAGCTCTTCGTATACCAACTCTACACATCTCAGACTAGGCGACTCCAGCAACTTAATCTGCGGTTTTACTAGCAGATCAAAAGCAGACTCCGGAACAAACAGGCTTGGCCGAGGGCCAGTCGAGTTCCGAATCGCAGTTCGGATATCCTGGTTATCGAGATTCGAGGTTGAATCAATACAAGCAAGCGCGTGCCCAAAGACGTCGTTGAAGATGTAATATATACGCGCTCCGCCCGAGAGCTCCTTGGTCGAGATGTCGACCTTGGTACCTTCTATCGATGCAACAAAATCATGTGCGAACTTATTCATCAGCCGTAAGATAAGTCCGCCTTGCTGTATGGCGCTGAGTTCATGGTCCGCGTATCTCAATAGAAGGCCTACCTGGTTCTTGTCCCCGTAGATGGCAGCGTCACCAAAAGAATTCAGTTCTTGCTGTGCTTGTCCCATGAGCGTGTTGAGGCGAGCTTTCATGTCTGGCAGCTTATCGCGTATATGATTCATCAGCACCTGGTTCAGGGTTCTAGCAAGATATTTGGTGCCATTCTTGTGCGCGATGTTTCGGTATACAGCATGATTGCGGAAGAACTCGGCCTCTGAATCTAGGGCGTCGGGCAGACTCTTCTCTGAGTTGATGTCTTGCTGACTTCGATTCACGACCCCAGTGAAGCCTAGCTTCAGCGGATAGACGCGTCCCGTAAGGATATCGAGCGCGTTGGTACCTGCGTCCATCAAGTCCAGCTTTGTCAGTACCCCAATCGTTCGACGTCCTTGCGGATCAACGGAGCGGGCCAGCTTTAATGCGTCGGAGTTGGCAAGGTCAACATTGGCAGCAGAAACAGCTAATATGACGCTGAAGACAATAAGGCGGTTGCATCAACAGCGAGAAATAATGGCCAACCTATTAGGTTTTGAGATATACTCGACAACAAGGCCGCGTATTTGCCTCTCAATATCACTCGGCTGGTCTCCGACTGGAATCTACAAAGGTCAGGAGTACATACAACAATATTGGCATCGACATACTTTGGTCAAGCCAGGTAAGTCCACCAGTGTGAGGTCCAGGACATCAGGGCTGTATATTTTGAGCGAAATGGGTAATTTGCTGATGCCCTTGTTCTGTCCAGCGACTCGAAACGTCTCCTGCTCTATCTCCTTCCGTATTTCATTGTAGTCCGTAAACCGCTTGTCAATATGCAAGAATTGACCCCATTCCGTATACGTAGGGGCAGCTGGATCGGGTGAAGGGGTGTGGATAAGTTGGAGGACAAGTGGGCGACGGGTGACAATGCCCTGTCCACGCGGAAGGAAGTCGCGACCAACGATGCTAATAAAGGCATGATGAATAATATTTCAGATGCGATAATTGCCACATACTTTTCAAGTACACTTGATTTGCCCGCAGACTGACTGCCGACCTACCAAAGAATTTCTGAGTAATGCTTTCGGTAGTATACTATCATTAACGTGCACGCACCACGACTAGCTGTGGCATATCCAGTTCGCCGCCTGCCCCTCAACCAAGTCAACACAAACCCTAATCGCATAGTCTTTCACGGGAACTCACCGAGGTTGCTGAATGTATCTTGCAACCGGTTGACGAGTTTAATGAGGTCTGAATCCATGACGGCTGTTTTCTCCCTGTGTTCAAGGTCGTGAATGAAAGGTCGTGAATAAAGGGAGAAGCTGACGAGCAGCGGCACAAAGAATTATGGTTGTACGTGCCGAGGCACGTGAAGTCTTGAGGCGCGTCGTCACGGCCATTTCCTATTTGGCCGCGTTTGGCTTTATGGCACTTACTGGGCGCAGGTAGCATCCGTTAAAACTCAAGTTAATTAACTTTTTCAAAGTTCCAGTTTGTGAAATGACCGCACGAATAAATTGTACTCGTAGGATGATAGAAGTTAACTGTATAGAAAAACTACGCGACTCTATCATGAATTACCTAGCCACAATCAATTATTGATCAACAGGTATGCATCTAGATTGCTTTGCTTTTCACGAGCTCTGAGAAAATAAGATTTAAAACTCAAGGATGAAAGGGCAATGACAGATTGGTACTCACGCTCAACCTCTGCGACTGCGCTGGTCAGGATATCTTTTTGCACCTTCTCGTCCTGGAGATCAGCCATAACCTTGGCAATCACGCTCTTGGCGAGCTCAAGCTGTTCGCTCTCTTTCTGTTGCTGCTCGTAACGAACCCAGCTGTCGAGAACAGCTTTCACCTCGGAAGCAAGAGCGACCTTCTGCTGCTGGACGAATGCATTTGCCTCCAGCTGAGCGGTTTCCTACTCACGAAAAGAATGACAATGTGGCCATCGAGTCAACAGGTAGCTGTCCTCACCTTCGAGAGAGCAAAGAGACCCTGGGTCAGTGAAACGACATCCTTCATTTGCTCGACGGAGTTGATACGGTCCTTCACTGCCTGAGTGTGTTCTGTTCGCGAGCTTTCCAAAATGTTCTTGATGCGTTCAATGTGACCGTTTGCCCAGTCACGGTATGGTTCCCGAACAAGCTAGGCGAAAACAGGCATATGGGAATTGTTGAAAGCGCAATGGTGACAAACGTACCTTGGCAATGTAGGCAAGAAGAATGAAAGTGCCGGCAGCAACAACGGTCTCCTCGTTCACAACATAGAGCTCCTGGGAGATAGCAGTTGCAACAAGACCGGTGCCGAGAATTGCAGAGCCAGTCTTGGTGATTAGACTCGGCGAGGAAGGAAGGGTATTTAGGATTTCTGCTGCGCGCTGCTCAGGTGGGGGATTCGAGCTCATTGCACGCCTGCGTGGGTATCGTTAAATAAACATATTTATTTGGAGACCAATGTCGAACGTACGCGTTGACAGCCCGGGCAAAGCTAGGGAGGGCGCGTGGCCGAGCTACACAAATTTCAGCTTAACATGGCATGGTGGAAATTCCTAAAAACTGACCAGAAGCCTTGAGCGTATTGACCACGATCCTGGACGCCATTTGTGGTACAGATTGAACTACAGAGGACGTCGGGTTCCGAAGTCTGGATGAAGAGGATGGAAGACCGTGGGAAATAAAATATTCCGACTTGACACGATACCTTCATGCATGAGGCGTTACTTACCAGTAGCCGCCTCTACGGTGGGCTGCAAGGCGATGCCTGGCATAGTAAATTGTTCTCGCATGTAAGTAATGCAACCCTATTTGATCACTGTTCAGCAGTGCACAGTGAAGACTATCGGATATCAACTGGGTCTGGAGCACAGCACGGGCGGAGTGATCGACAGGCTGGAAGAAGATGCCGGTGCGGCGAATGATCGTATCACGCAGCATATAAGGTTGGATTGTATCTCTTCCGATTTGATCGAGTGGTACTTATCTACTCGAACTCTGTGACCCCGATAATCAGGTAGTCCGTGGTGCACACTGTACATCATCCAGGACGTTGAGACCAGCACTCGCTCTGCTATCTGGTCGGTGCATGTGTTTCATATTCTCATGTATCTGGTTTCTGGAAACAGAAGCTTTGACCTCATTATATATTTCAAGTGACGACCTTTCAATGATGTGCATTGCCACGTGAATATTAATTCGAACTGGCATGTTATATCTGAATTTGATTCATCTTCCTTCTCTTTGAGAGAGGGCTAGTAGATCACGCTGAATGTGAGTGCACCGTGGTGTTTACAGTTGCGGAGTATAAAGTCGAAGGTTGACACTGACAGTCCTCCTTGGGAATCCGGTTGGATAGGCTCTGGTGTTCTACATGTCACTTCTATGAGCTGTCATCTTTTTTCGTCTTCGGTGGGTATTATCATAACATGCTTGCCTTGCTCTATCCCCCTTATCTGCCTGAAGTCATTTCCGAAGGTCATGTTTCCATTCTTTTAATGGGTTGCTCCATATCAGAGACACCGTTGTGCTCTAATTGGGACTATCTTTCTGCAAAGACTTTCCATTCTATTTCCATGTACCGTTTGATACGGAAGATTCTTCGTTTGGCCTGAGAAGCATATGCGGAACTAATTTCTGGCTTGACGTATTAAAGATTGTTAGCCAATTGGCACACACGAAACAGTTCTTTGTGCCATGCTTGACCTTGAAGCGCCTCTCGAAAACGGTATGTTAACAAGCACTGCTAACTGAAGCTGACACCCTTTCCTTCTGACAAAATGTTTTCCGATAAGCAAAGTTTAGACAGAGATCCTTGGTCAGACTCTCTTAGAAGCATGCCGGCCGGCGCCATGGCGTGTAAGTTAGAGTTCAAGAATGCATCCGTCAATGACTCCCGTGGGGTACATTTCATAGAGAACGTGTACTCACTTCAAACTTTACTACTAAGTTCGTCAATCTTTTGTGTCCGCGGGGGATAATCTAACCATAACCATGTGGCGTCCTGTCAATTTTTCGCCACAGCACGTCCCTGTAGCTTTCGCCGCTAGTACGGAGGGACTGTCAGTGAAACTCGATAGGAGGATCACTGCTTGGCCTGCATGTAAAAGTGGCTCCTATCGCTTCTCTAGAGTACCTCCATATATCAATTTTTCCTGTAGTTGTCCAGTATGACATATTGAAGCTTCCGACAAACTGATGAAGACGTCAGTCGGGACTTTTGTACAAAAATATGGTTTGAGATGCGAGCCAGACCAGTGGTGAGAAATCGCTACCACCGTACCGTGCACACACCTACTATTCGGTACACTCCTGGGTGCTCACACAGCGGGGAAACTGCCACCTTTTGCGGCCAGTGAAATTATATTTGAAAGGCAATCCAGAGTGCTCTGGAACGCTCTAGGCTAGATCTGAAATGTCCAGATCTGCTGAAATCTTGCAAGAGGTAAAACGTTGAAACCCCTGATGTGTCAGGATACTTTGAATGCTATATTTGATGACGAAGTTATTGGTACGCTAACGGACAGCGCACACAATATATAGATGCAGTCAACAACACAGCCATGTCGCAATCTACATCAGAAATTTGCCAAATGTATATTATTACCACATTTAAGGTATCATTGCCACGGTATTGACTGAGCAGTTTGCTCCACATGCGGTTTATAGTACTGTCATGACGAGAGTATGTTTGCAACAGTTTCGTATACTGCAAATGTAGCCATATTGACTGGAATGGCCCTGGAATGAGAACAATCACCGATAAGAATTTGTGCGCAGCGTACTCAGAACAACTTACCGCAGCATGGTCGGGCTGAGCCCGCGAAAGAAGACTTTAACCCCACCCGTGCGATATGAATGCTGGATTGTTGATAAGGTTGTCCGGTATGGGTTATCGCCTGTAGTCACTTCCGACCGCACTGTGTTTCGAGCAATCTCGGTACTCTGCATGCGCGTCTTCACAACGTCCATCGGAAATGTCGGAAGCCAACCAAGGATACCTGCCACTCCTCCACTGACAAACAACACCCAAAGGGGTATGGATCCTTGGCTTGAGTCTGACAGCGAGGTGGAACCATCAAGTCTAGAAGGAGCAGTGAGGTATCTACTCGTAGCCTCATACTTCCCGGTGGACGTCAAACCATGGTAAAGGGGCTGTGAGGGCTCTTACCCCCAAAAAGTATGCACCATATCCGCAATCGCGAAAGGCTGTAGCGGTGAGACCACGAAATAATCCCTTGAGACCGTGTTCCCGATGGATACTGTATATAAGTTTGCTGACTGAGACGCTTCCCAGTCCGCTCTCTAACATGCTTTGCTGCCTGATCTTAATAAGTTCGATAGGTGCAGAAAAAAATCTGATGCGTCCATTTGGTCAGTCGCCTGCCAATTACACCTGCAATGGTAGGTAGAGTGCTTACGACATGGCGAAGCCACAGCAGGTGCCAGCAATTGCAACTTCGGTGAGCGATGGGATAGAATCATCCACCTTTTGCGCCTTAAGGAAAAACTTGTAGGACGCGAATACGAGGCCGTTCGTAAACGCACATGTTGCCTTTATTCGTCGGGTAAGCTAGGATCATAGCATTTGTGCGAGAAAAAAACCAGAGGTGAAGCAATGCCCTTGTACAAACCACTGAAGCGCTCCTCTCTGACAATGGTCGCGAACGCATGGGATACTGAATGGTATCTGGAGGATAGATCAGGATTTTGTAGGCGGACTTTGACTATTTCACAGTCAGGTAATGCCACGGCGCTACGGAAATCATGCCCAAACATACCTGTATCAAACGGATGGGCAATGAGAAGGCCGACAATTCCTGGAAAGCTCAAGCTATCAAAACCGATAGCCATTCAAGTTCATGACTGTAAATTTTCTACCTGCTGCTGTGCCTGCTATGAAATCAGTCGTGGGGTCAAGGTCTACTGTTGCCAGCGTGAGCAGGAATTGTATCGATATGAATACGGGGCTCACAGCACCTGGCATATCAACGCGTTTGAGCAACCACAATGTTGCTTGAACTTGCAAGGCTTCCGGAACGAGTTATCTCGGCCGCGATGGGTAACTCGGATCAATATAGTTGCCGTAAGCATAGATCTAAATTTTAGACTTGGTCTCGGCTAGCAGCGGCTAGCTCGTTTATCTCGACTCCCACGGTGTCGAACGCAAAAAAGTTCCCATTACTAACAACATGTGCGAGCGTTCTGAACGTTGAAGTGACTCTCGTCTCGCCCATCCTGGATCCGCAAATGGCCGATATCGAATTTCGTGATGTACTTGACTGTTGTACTGACGAGTCGACGACCTTGGTTTACCCATCCAGATTTCTGATCCATTCAGCTCTTGCAGTGGGGCCCGATGATGAATTGTTGGAAAGAAGGGAATCAGGGACTTGGCGCGTGAGTGTCGTCTATAATTAGAGTCTTTGCCTTGAATTAATTGTTTGACTTAAATATTTGCTACCAGACATGAACATCTCACCGAACTACAGTCGATGGTGACTGGTTTCTTGCTGCCAGTATAACGTTCAGCTCGAGAAACTGTCCCGAAGTCATGCCGTTATGTTCTCGACGATCTCGACAAGTTCCCTGATACCTCGAATGAAGATCCCAGGTTGCTCGTGCGGAGGATAAGGGATGATATATTTAAGTCATCTCAAAGTTGATACCACATCCTCGTTGACGTTGGTGATCTTACAATTTGTCCACTGTCTCTAGGTCTACGATGCTCTTGTGCCTCTGCGGTCCGTATGCGAGTTTTCCTGAATCGTCTCTTCCTCACTTGTATGACAGCGACTCTACTCGATCGAAAGAGCTTGGTCAGGCATATTTCGATTCATTCAGAGCACCAAAAACTCAATCCATATACCCAGATCTCGATATGTTCGCATAGACATACTTCTGCCAATCAGCTCCTGGATTTGGATACCCGTAGAACAATTTTGGATACGGCTATGTGTATGATGACTATCCTCTTTCAGCCTTCTAAACTTGTTCTAAACTTCTACTAGCGCACATATGCCGCTACAAGTTGCAAGAGTCTTATTTTTTTTTCATCGATCAGAGGTTAGGTTAACGTTGTCACGAGAATTTCAATCCGCTCAGCCAGCATCCAAGTTCAAACAGTTTTACCAGTCCGTCTATTGACGGCTTGCTTTATAAACGGGCTGGTCGCGAGTCCAATATTTGAGGACTTGTATCACCGTAGTGAATCAGGTGTCGGCCCGCACTCCTAACTGAAGGTCCTATCATCATATGATGCCATATTGAACACCGAATCGGACACGCACCGTTCATCAGACCAATTCAAACGCACGTTCTATGTCTATTGGACATCTAATTTTCGTTCCTACTATTTTATTCCATCCCACTTGATATCGTGATAATGGAGACTTTCATCACGAGTGCCAACTATGCCGCTGGCGTCGTCGTAGCCGCAGTCGTAGTGTTACTCGTCATGCTTTATAAGACATCCCCCTTGGTAGGAGGGGCCATCCCGCTTCCTCCAGGGCCTCCCGGCCGTTGGTTATGGTGCAACGCTTTGCCTGCTGTGAAGTAAGAAGTTTCTATCTGAGATATTCGAGATATCAGAAGCTGATACGGATCGTCCGCCTAGCATTTGTCATGCGCTGATCGACCTGGTTCGAGAATATGGGCCGATCGTGTCGTTCCGACAAGGTAGCCAGGTGATAATTGTCATTGGCAACATTGAGGTACACTGCCCATTTTTTGAGCTTCTTCCACCAATAACCAGACTTCGGCCCTTTACCAGGCAGCCACAGACATCATGGAGAAAGAGGGTGGGTCACTGGTAGATCGACTTTGGTCGATTGCTGCGGGTGAGATACTCTCAAATGGAATGCGTCTATCCCTGACTTCTTCCGGGGATCGATTCCGGCGCTTCCGAAAAGCAGTACACACCCATTTACAGCCCAAAGCGGCAGAGATATATCAAGATATGCAGCGCGAGCACGCGATGGATTTTATATTGGACATGCTGAATGACCCGAGGAGCCACCAGAAGCACGCACATCGGTAAGTCATTACTAGGACCTTCTGTGATCATTTCATAGATATGGTGCCCAAGGTATGCAGCATCAATCATCCTTTGGGTGACCACGTTCTCATTCTAGTCTGTGTGTGATCAGCATGGGCACTGCATTCCAGAGGGTGCAATAGTCTATGGGTGCCATTGGTAAGGTGTTCCTTCGCGATGTACATCGCTTCCCTAAGCGCACTTTCCAGGACTCTTTCTCGCGATCCTATCGCCTTCCCGGATCCTGAGGTTTTCAATTCTCAAGTCAGTGACGACAAGCGGGAAGAGTCTATGATGGGCGCAGGGTGGCACATCACAGATATTGATTCGGTGTGTATCTGAGTTATGATGCCATTGTCACAGTGTGGGCATGACTCGGATGACTCGGAGCCTCCTCCGTACTGACTTTCAACTCTCCACAAAAATCACCAGACCAACTTGAAGCGGCTACCCCTAATTGTTCTTCCCAAACCTTGTTTCAGATTTACCAACTGCGCACACGCGAGAGCCTGAGCCTCCTGGAATCGCCGAGACTGACAAGTGAGAATGCCACCACTTCTTGGTACTTCAAGTGCTTCGTCACGGCTACTAATATCATCTCAATTCTGATCGCGCAGAACTGAAATTGCTTTTCTTTCATGCCCGGTTCCACTAGTAGAGTTTGGGTTCCGGAAGTGGTGCTCAAATAAGTATGAATGCCAGCAGTGCTGGTCAGGGCTTTGATGTCGGACCGTCTTGCAGACTTCTATACTAACAAGTACGAAGTACAATGCCCCGCCGCCAAAGCTGTATGCCATAGCCACATGATCTTGCTGCGTGATTTTATCTGTACTATATGCCAGTCATACTTCGTGACGTAACTATATATGATAACACTCCCTTTTCGGTGTCAATGTTCAAACGTTCACTGAGTATCCAGTGAGAATATCGATATATATAAGTAGCTACGCGGTTTTGAAACTCAGTAATCAGTCCCCTCCCTCTTATTGTATTACTATTCACGCATGCAAGCCTGTCTTAGTACTCGTCCTATCCGAGAGCCCAGTCCTGACTATCAGCAGGATCCAGCGATTCGTTCTAGAACTCCGAGTCGTCAAACGAAACCCATCAAGGCCTCCAAGATCACCACCTTCATCTGACACTCCCTATGATTCATCAGATGATGATATAATTGCACCGTTCAACCCTCCCCCCATACTTCGTGATCTATCTAGCTATGCGAAGAGTATAAGACACAGAGCCAAGCCCTACCAGAGAAGTCCCAACATCATAGACCGCCTCTGTGGTGAGGAGTGTGACGGGTGCGGTGTCTCCAAGGATTTAGTATCGGATGTTCAAAAGGTATGTTGATCTTTGTGTGTTAGGTTAGTTGTTAATATCATACCAGGACAAAGCGGCTGCCTTGCAACGTAGAATGCAGCGCCTGAGTCCTGAGGCCCTCGCTCAAGCTGTGATCGCGGTTCAAGCTGATATTGAATGGAGGCGCGTGCGTGCTATTGCAGCAGCTTTGCGCATCGATGCGGTCCATCAACATTCCAAGTTTCTCGACATAGCCGTTCAGAGTGAAACTGAAACATATATCAATGCTTCCTCGGAACCATTCAACACCGCGATAGAAGCACTCTCTAGTTGCACTACCGATGAGCTTATCAATCGCAAAAATTGCAGTATTACCGCGTACGAACGTGATGCGATGTCGTTCACTACTGCTGATATGGAGTTTGAACAAGTTCAGAGTTTTGTGTGTACGCACTTCCATTTACCTGCAAACAATGTGACTACTGAGTGATCACTGCAAGCAGCGCCTCTTCTGCAATCGGATGAAGAAAACTTTGAATGATTTTGGGTATTCGAATAATTCCACTGACCCCTCAGGTATCTTTTTTTCCTATGTGGCAACACTCGTAGAGTCGTACTAATCTCGCGTAACAGGCGCTGAGGGACTTGGATATTTTTCCGCCATACATTCGCTACTGTTGCACACATCGTGGCGCGAAACACCGCGTCCTCTTGTGTTTGTAATATTACTTGCAAGTTTAAAGTTGTATGATGCTCTTGATTTCCTCGATTTCTTGCAATATATCTTAATCGGCTGTGCTGGAGTGATCCGATAGTGAATGACTAGTAACTTCTCATCGGCTCCAAAGATTCGGATTATCTTGCCTGCAGGAAGAGGTCTATAATGGCGCTCAAGGTGATTTCCTGAAATCTCGGTAAGCTCGGTAAAGGTCGGTAAAGGTCGGGTAAAATGTCCTGCTGGTAGTTAACATAAGGCTCTGAAGTTAGCTTACTCAACTATACGACGTACTTCGGCATGACGTCGGAGCCTAAAATAAGATCTTATCTCTACCTTCACTATGCCCCGTCACTCCCTACGCAATGAGCTCCTTGACGAATTGGACGAGGTGCAACTAGCCTTGAAAAAGGCAAGGCTTCAGCATGCAATCCGAAGTTATGCTCTCTCCTATTCTGATTCTGATGACTTGGATTCGGACGATTCTGACCTCGACACAATTATCACACCTCCGTCACCTCCTACCCCATTTTTCTCTGACAGTTCTGACTTCGACTCCTCCAGCGATGAATCTGACCACTTTGCTGCACGTTATGACCGTCTGAATGACACTATCACTTCCCTTTATGATGAGGTCATCAGGGCACGTGTCCTCCATCAACCAAATGCACCTCCCATGCGAGCCCCCCAAATACAACTCCTTCATGATTTCGGGGACTCTCGACCTCACCTGTTCCGCAAGAAGCTCCGCGTCAATCCAGACATATTTGACGACATCTTAGATCAAATTTCAGGTCACGCCATTTTCACCAATCGCTCAAATAACCCGCAGCTCCCCGTCGCAGTCCAACTTGCAATATTTCTTAACCGTGCTGGGCACTACGGTAACGCTATATCTCCGGAAGACGTGGCTCAGTGGGCTGGTGTTAGCATCGGCTCGGTAATCAATTGTAGCAATCGCGTCATGGTCGCCATTCTTGATCTCCACGATACGTTCATTGTCTTCCCTGCTCTTGACTCCGATGATGCAGAGCAGGCTCGCCGATTCGTCGAGGCGAGGTCATGTCCCGAGTGGAGAAATGGGATCTTCGCCGTTGATGGCTCTGCAATTAATCTGTACGAAAAGCCCGGTCTTTATGGTGAAGCGTTTTATGATAGGAAATCAAATTATTCTCTCAATTGTCAGGTACGTTTTTTCCTCTTATTCTAATGATACGAAATCTAACGAAACCTTTAGGGAGTTATCATGCCTCATAACTTGCTTATCGTCGATTACTCCCTCGGTCATCCTGGAAGCACACACGACGCATATGCATTCAAATCGACATGTGTTTATCAAGAACACGACACCCTTCTTCAAGCTGACCACTGGATCTGGGCCGATAGTGCTTATGCACTGGAGAGGTGGTGTGTTCCTCCCTTCAAGAAGCCACGGAATGGCCGCTTGACGAGGAATCAAAAGAGCTTTAATGTCAGTCTCTCTCGCGTATGTGCTCATTTTTCTGCTCGTTAGAATATTTACTAACTTTCAATTGGTTTAGATTCGCGTTCGCATCGAGCATGCATTCGCTGCTTTGAAAGGACGCTTCCAATCCCTCAAAGAACTTCGTCACCCGATGCAGAATCAAAAGGACCTTCAAATCACTCTCCACTGGGTCAGGTGTTGCCTGATACTCCACAATATGATCATCCGCTTTGAGGCACAGCGCAACCGCTCAACAATCAGATGGGCTGTCGGGGAGGGGCTAAATACTATGTGCCGTGAGTTTGAAGAAGCGGATGGTGACGAAGTGATAGGCGATAGATCATATGAGGGTACCCCGGGTCAAGCATGTAGGGCAAGGCTCATGGATCAATTGTTCGACAGCCCTCATTCAGAAGCTCAACGTCGCGAAGGGTGAGCACATAACACGGATGATTCATCACAAGAACAATTGTAGTATGTAGATATAGTGAGTAATTCATGGAAGACAGTGGCAGCCGTACAAAGATGCGCGAGAACAAGACAAATGCGAGCGTGAGATATGAAAAAAAAACAAATGAGCAAGTCGGAAGTGCGAACAGAAACAAAATCCAGTGAACGAATATACAAACATACAAATTGAAGCCCCAGGAGAGATCAATCACTCTTGGCAGCATTGATCTTGGCCCACTCGATCCGCAGGCGCATCACGTCCCTCTCCATTTCAAGAGCCTTGGCGTCTGCTTCACGCAGGCGAATCTCCGTCTCCTTGGCCTCCTTCATGCGTTGATGGACAATAGCAGCATCTGCGCGCTCATTGGCACGCTCCTCACGAAGGAAATCGTGCTCTTTCTGCTGGCGGTTAGAATTCATCTTCACCATCAGTCGCTCATTCTTGAGCTGATACAACGAGACCTTCTCAGAGTGTATGCTCTCCAAGTCATCGTTCAACATCTCGACTTGTTCTTGAATTTCCGACCGGACACGTTTCGACACTGAGTCCTTGCCTTTTGGATTGGCCGAAACAGATGTTTGTGAAGTTGGCAATTTTTGAACTGATGAGCCTTGCCTACCAGCGCGTCCACGTCCCAATGAGCTGCGGGAGGTCTTCGAGGATGTGACAGAAGGGGTGCTATTAGTAGCACCCTCGCGCACCATGAGCTGACCAGCATGAGATTTGAAGGAGCCACGACCATCGTGGATGGAGGTGCGGGGCTTCTGTGGAGCTGCAAATGAGGGAGGGGGGGACGGAGTTGGAGAAGATGGAGGCTGCTGGTGTTTCTTGGCGCCCCGTTTCAATTTTGGTGGGCTGTCCAAAATGATGACATTGTCATCGTCATGATGACCGACTGACTCATCCATATGCAGGTCTTCCATGTCACCAGCAAGGGGGTTGTTATTGTTGTCGTCCATTCCAGGAAAGTCTGAAAGTGTCTGAGGGCCTGGGGAGTATGTGTTGCGGCTTTGTGACTGAGCACCTTGGGGAGAGAGGTCATAATTCCAGCGTTGTGGAGAGCCAGAAGTGCTGCTTGCTTGAACACTCTGTTGAGGGGGGGCAAAGTTGAATTGGGGAGTGGAGAGAGAGCCAGCGACACCACCAGTATAGGTGCCTTGGGGAGGGAGGCCAAAATTCCAGTGCTGCGGAGAGCCAGAAGTGTTCCCTGGTTGGGCATTTTGTGGGAGGGGGAAGCTGAATTGGGGAACAGGAACACTGCCAGGGTGGGCGCTTTGGGGAGGGACATTGTAATTCCACTGCGGGTGGGAACCAGCGACGCCGCCTGGTTGACCACATTGGTGACGGAGGCCAAATTGATGGGGGGCAAACTGTGAAGGTTGTGAAGGTGGCGGATAGGGAGGGGGAGGGTAGTTAGATTGTGGGACGCCTGTTCCACTACCAGTGGCAGCGCTGGTAGAAGGGATGTTACATTGTGGGGGGGGATGAACAGAGCTGCCCGCAGGACGGGTGAGGGCAAAAAGATCACCTGCGTGGTCGGTGCCTGGCTTTGATGAAGTCGTTTTGGCAGCAAATGATGGGTTGGAGCCCCATATTTTACGGAGATCGTCGTACCAGGGGAATTCTTTCTGGACTTTGGCTGTGAATTTTATTAGTAGAATTAAATAAACATAAGTAACGGACTCACCATGTAGATTTTCCGCAGTACATGCATCGAGGGGCACAATCCCTGCACCAGTTGATTCAAATTCATTGCGGTAGTCACGGAATTTATTCCGGAGACTTCAAATAACTTGATTAGCATCTACGATCTGATAACCAAAGGATCACTTACGCTGTTATACGGTTGGACACAGAGTCACGAAACCTGGTCCGATTGGCAGCATATTGGCCAGAATATACTCTATCGCCGCTGAAAATCACTTCTGCTATCACTGCATAGATTGCGTTCTTGTCTTTGCCCGATGGAGGACCCTCGATATTAGGATCACTAGGTTTCTTCCCCTCGCTAGAGAATAGGATGCGACAATCTGCCACATTGTTGACGAGGTAATCGACCAGCTTGTTGGTACGTTGGATGTCTGCCTGCCAACTGATGCTTGTCTCGGTGGTATCTCCATCTCCTTTGGAACGCCTGAACTTTCCTCTTCCACGGTTGGGGGGTGGGACTGGAGGAGGATTCATGGCCTTCCACTTGGCCTGGTAGTAGATTGGGGAGAGGTTCTGCGACCCCTGCAGTCGTGCAGAGCAACGTAGTCGTGGTCGTAGGGCAGGCATATACTTTTAAGCTCCAACGTCATGCCGAAGTACGCCGTATAGTTGAGTCAGCTAACTTCAGAGCCTTATGTTAACTGCCAGCAGGACATTTTACCCGACCTTTACCGACCTTTACCGAGCTTACCGAGATTTCAGGAAATCACCTTGAGCGCCATTTATGCATAAGTACTAGCCCGCCGTGTACGTAGTCGAACCGCATGAAGCATGATGAAGTTGTAATGAAGTGGTTGTTGTATTTGTATGTACAGTCTGTATTGGGTGGTTACTAGCATTAATGTAATTTACTGATGCACGGTGCATCCTAATCGATTATGCTAGGTCCGACCACCACTAAGTTCTAACTCCGTAATACTCTAAGCAGACGTTGCCATTGGCACTCAACAGGAACACGCTGGCTTCCTGCTATTGGGTCTGCATATGCAGGGGAAACTATAAGACCGGCTCGCGGGAAATTTTCATTTGTTACGAGAATGACTGATATCGCGACTACTGAGTTTCTCAACGAATTAAGGTCCTTGTATCCTGCACAAGCCAAATATGTCGACAGTGGCTGGTACATAGCCGCTGCAGTAGCATTCAGCTCGAGCAACCGCCCTGAAGCCGTCTCATGTGTCTTCCGCCATGCTCTCGAGGATCTTGAAAAACTCCCTGACACCTCAGATGAAGATCGCAGGTTGCTCGTGCGGAAGATGAGGGAGGGTATATTCAAATCTGCCTTGCTCTCAGGTTTTCCCAAAGTTAATATGCCATACTCGTTGACGTTTAATGATCTTACAACTTTTGTAGGTTATCTACGCTCTCATTTCGCTGTATGAAGCCACCCCCGAAGAGTTTCGAGACACCGAGCCTATGCGGTCAGTGTGCACGTTATCCTGAATCCTCTCCTCCTGACGTGTGATAGCGACTTCACTCGATCGAAAGAGGAAGTTGCTGCTTCTGGTCAGGGATACTTTGATTCGCAATATGGTGATACCGCAGCGGAAATTCAGCTCTTGCTTCGGTCCATATACCCAGACCTCGGTATGTTTCAAAAGAGAAATACTTTTGAATCAGCTCCTGAGTTCGATCACTAGAACATGTCATAACGACACTCGGGTACGGGTATGTATACTCCTTCTTGGAAGTGATCTCATCCAAGGAGACGTCATTCGCCATTATTTCTGCATTGATCGCAACCGACATGCTCAGTCCGGTTGAACGGCAGCTCACTGGCGCTGTTCGCAATGGTGCAACAGTTGAGGAGGTCAGAGGTGTACGGGAAATTGCACTGAGAATTGCGATGGCGGCGGGCGTCTTGAAACATGAAGTTCCTAATATTTGATGTGTATGTAGAATCAATTATTCTTTTGAAGGTCACACACGCTGGGTAGACATAGGGCAGTTCTCACCGATGGTGCTACAGCTCGATTCATCATTTGATACATGTAATTGTAGTTGCTCAGAATTTATAAGACAGACCATAATCGCTGGCGCCTATTCTTCATACTTGTAGGTCGACGTAATTTTCTGCAGGGCACGGTCAGCCCATCTTCTCGAGACATACAACAAGTAAGGACATACCAGGGAACATTCCGATATTGCCCTGTGGATTCTTTCCTTGCCACCACCCTTCACCAATTGTCTCGATTTCAACAATCCTGTCACCTTCAAGGAATGATATTTCATTGTCCTCGGCAGCTTCATAGCTGAAAAGAAAAGGGGTTAGATCGTAAAGTCACTTCAAGAAATGGGCCTACTCGTAAAGAGCTACTGCTACAGTGCCCTCGTAGGCAGCAGAGACCTCAGGTTCAGGTTCGGGAGCAGGCGGCATTGCCGGCTATTTTTGCATGAGAACCAAAGTATGACATTCAACATTGGATTTACTCACAGCTGGCGGCGGTGGAGGAAGAGCATCTTCTTCAGATTGCTCCACAATTTCGACATAATTTGCTATGATGCACTTGGTATACACCCGGTAAACTGTACAAATGAAACACTCACCAGGGAACAACCCGCTCTTCTCACCGCCTTGGCTAACACCACTCCACCAACCTTCATCAATCTGTTCGATCTGCTCAATAAGTTCACCTTCCTCTAGGTTCATCTCATTATCTTCCGTAGCCTAGCATGGAAAATAAGATTCGTCAGATTTGTAAAGAACAAGATAGATTCAATCATTTACCTCGTATTCATACAGCACCACAGCACAGATACCCTGGCCCGCAGGAGCGGGCTCTGGCTCTGGCTCCACACTCAGCGCCTGCATCTGGGCTACAGGTGGCGGAGGAGGAGGAGGAGGTGGTGGTGGTGGCGGCGGCTATGGATAAAGTGAGTACTGAATCACTTGAAATCATTTTATGCTCACTCCCGCTTCCTCTTCTTCCAACTTGATGGGCACAGACGCAAATGCTGGTGGTGGTGGTGGTGGTGGTGGCGGCGGCGGCGGCGGCGACTATAGATCGAATAAGTACCGAAGCACTTGATATCCTTTTATACTCACTCCCGTTTCCTCTTCTTCCAAGGGTGCAGGTGCAAATGCTGGCGGTGGTGGTGGTGGTGGTGGCGGCGGCGGCGGCGGAGCAGCCTCCTCCTCTTCTACTTCCGGCTCTGGTTCTGGCTCGGGAGGCGGAGGCGGCACAAATCGCGGACGTGTCGAAGTAGGGGGAGCCGGTGGGGGCTGCAGTAGCAAAATGTTAAACATGTGAGCTTTCTCGCCAATATCAACAAGTCTCACAGGAATCGCAAATTCTGCCCGAGGCTCAGGCTCTGTAGCACTTACTAATGCAGCCCCAGTCGCACCGATAACTGCACCACCTACAGCTGCAGAAGCAACTTTGGCACCAAACCTTCCCTGTGTCTGACTGCTACTTGAGCCTGTAGATGCGGGGCTTTGCCACGAAGCCTGTTTACTTCGTTGCTCATCTAGCTTTGCTTGATTCTTCGCTAGAAGTTGGCGTTCGCTCCAGGTAATTTTCTTTGGTCCACCAGTAATACCTTGGGGCGGAGGAGCTTGCTGCTGCTGTTGCTCGAATTGTGCAAACGGATTTTTCAACCTACCCGGTGTGAGTTTGACCGGGGTCCACGCGGTACCCTAATATACACATCACAAGAGAACACAGCTGTGAACAACGACACGCTTACTACTGGGGCAATACGATCTTCTTCTGCAGGTTTAACGGGAGCACTGGAGGAAAGGACGGCAGGCGAGGTAGTAGGAGCTGCAGGAGTAGAGCGTGCAGTAGTCGTGCCAGCATAAGACTGCAAATGCACGGTTAACCATGATTGAATAAAAAAAATCCCAGGCTTACAGAAAAAGCGGGCCTTGAAGCGCTGGGTATTGCCGGCGGACGTGACGCAGCAGGCGGAGGCGGCGAAGGCGTCGATACAGAAGGCGCTTCTTCTTCCCAAGCATCAGCGGGGGTTTTCCCTGTACCAGCAGGTCGTACAGAAGCAGCGCTACCAACAACAGGGCGTGGTGCAGTGGGTATCGCAGGCTTAGAGAACGACGATGTCGTAACAGGCCTCGATGCTGAAGGCGCGGACGATGAAACATTCCTCGGTGGCGGCTGCGCGTTGCGCATGGCAGTGATGTCGGGGCGCCCGACAGGCGTGTAGCTCGTACCTACAGGGGCAATCGGTTCGAACTTACGCGCCTGCTCGTTGTGTGCTGAGTACTTTGCCCCAGATGCAGCCTCGACACGCTTCATTATGAGCGCAGGGGCGACATCGGACTGCAGGAACACTAAGATTATTGATATACGATTATTCAGGCACGGTACGGACCTCGTTGCGAGCATTGATCACAACATGAGAACCGCGAAGAAACTTCGCAACAGCGCCGGAATGAGTGTGGAATAGACCCTTCTTGGCTTCGGGTACACCATCTCCACACCAGTTGATTTGTACGAACTTGGCCAGTTTACTCTGAAAGAGACGAGATCGACTCATCAGAATTATGCCGAAATGGATATGATGAAAGCATACATTAGGATCTATGACACGTACGAACGCGTACTGCATTCTGCATATAAATCAGAAGGGGAACTGGATAAAGAGACGATGTGCCCATACCGTCCATCTGAGAATTCCTCTTCTAGTTCCTGAAGCCCACCATTGCCAGTGGCCTGCACTTTGAGGTCGTTTCCACCCTTGTCGTATGTATATATTACCCAATCTATATTTCTGCCAGCAACGACATTTTGGTATGCCTCGCTGATCTCTTTGCTAGACAAGTTGACCTGCAAGGACATTGGAGCTAACTGAACAAATGAGGATTAAGCATCACCTAACACACTGACGCGAAAGATCTTACCGCTAGTATACTGATCAACGCGGCTCTTCGACTGCGAAGCTTTGAAGGACCAGTTTGTGATGAATTGGTGATGAAGGGACGTTTCAGGTTTCTGGGTTTGTCCCGATTCAGCTCAGAGTCACTGGCAGTGACCCGCAGTTGATTTCTTGGCACGTGATCGAGACGCGTCTATGATGATCATAAAATATTTTTATCAAGCTTTAATTATTGAATTAGCCGCGTACTTGTACGAAGCTACAGCGGATGTTGATAGAGCAACACTTATCTTAATAAGTACCTAACGAAGACTAGGTAATACGTCAGTGAGTGTTCGATCTACGACATACAAGATGCTCACCTCAGCAGGTACATAAGGGTCTATGGAGGATCTGTGGCCGAGTACTGAGTGGCGAAGTGTCGGAGTTGGAGGAAGACGACGGCTAAACGACGTCATAACAGGTACGAGCACAATGTGTCAGTGTTCGGCCGAGTCGCCTCATCAAAATCATTTCAAACAAATTTCTATTCTATTCCTATTTTTCCCGTATGATAAAATCTGCAGTACCTACGTCGAAGCATCTCAGTCCTTTACCTTGAGACTGAGATGTGAGTACCTATACCATCATTTACGCTACGAGCTAACCAGTCCGTTTAGAATAACATTCTATCTAGGTACATACGAGAGTCCTTTACCTCGAGACTGAGATAATAACATTCTATCTAGCTCATCTCTTGCGCACTCGCCCGCTCCTAAGACTTACAGGTTATGAGCCCTGACTTGACCATGGATACCATGCTCCCCTCCACAAACTCTGCCCTGTTCAATATCCCGAAGTTAGCTGAAGACGGCAGCAACTGGATAACCTACAAGGAATGAACCTTAACGGCAATTGGTGCGAGAGGCTTGATGTGGTATGCAGATGGTCGAGCCATGAAACCTGCCACCTACGTCTTCGACAAAAAGACCAGGCAGCTCATCAAACAAGATGGGAGCTCAGCCACAGAGGCTGAAATCGAAGCAGCAGACAAGAAGCTCGATGAATATGTGCAGAAGGACTCACTAGTCAAACAGCAGGTGATCAGCACCATTAGTGATCGCCTACTCCTCCAGGTCCAGAAGTTAGAATTGGCCTCGAAGATTTGGGCCAAAATCTGTGACATTCATGAAGGAAAGACAGAGTTAGTACAAATTGACCTACGTTTAGGGATCCGCATGGGTATACCCTGGGGTGTCGGGGACCTGACCCGCACCCGCACCCCGAGGTATACCCGGACCCGCACGAAGGGTGCGGGTTTTTGGGGGGTATGGCCAGCTCATACCCTCACCCGCACCCGTGCAGGGTTTACCCGTGGGTAGTACATATAAATATCAAGTTAGAAATATGAAAAAAATGATTGTAAAATAGAACTTACTAAGACATTGCGAACGGTGGGCAACGACTTTGATCAGTATGGCTTGAGCTCGATGGAGGATCGACACGCTATGAACAATAGACAATGACTTCAATCAGTATGGCTTGAGCTCGAACGAGGACGACACACTCACGTTCTATGAACATTGGGCTACGACTTGGATCAGAATGGCTCTTGCTTGAACGAGGATCGGCGCACTCACATACTGCGAACGTTGGGCTACGACTTGGATCAGCATAGCTCTTGCTCGAACGAGGATCGGCGCACTCACATCCTGCGAACGTTGGGTGACGACTTGGATCAGCATGGCTCTTGCTCGAACAAAGATCGGCATGCTCACATCCTGTGAACATTGGGCGACAACTTGGATCAGCATGGCTCTTGCTCGAACGAGGATCGGCGCACTCACATCCTGCAAACGTTGTGCTACGACTTGGATCAGCACGGCTCTTGCTCGAACGAAGATCGGCATGCTCACATCCTGCGAACATTGGGCGACGACTTGGATCAGCATGGCTCTTGCTCGAACGAGGATCAGCGCACTCACATACTGCAAACGGTGGGCGACGACTTGGGTCAGCATGGCTCGAGCTTGAAGGCAGGCGTTGTGTTGAAGAAGATGGAGGGGTATAGCACGC